ACAACCCTCTCGCAATCCCTCACCTCCACGAACCTCCCTTACTCCGCCGAAACTCTCGACATCTACATCCAACTCTCCTCCTCCTACCCCCTCTCCACCCTGCAAACCATCGAATCCACCCTCCACACCTTAGCCACTACACCAACCGAGCGCTCCACGCGTTTCCAACCCGCCAAATCATCCCTCCGCGCCTTCACCCACTCCCTCGCAGCAGACTGGGGCTTTGCCAGCGAAAGCTTCGACCCGGAACCCCACCGCCACGTCTTCGTATTGAAATCCACCCTCTGGACCCCGCCCCTCTTCGGCACCGGCAATGGCACAGCCATTGGCATCGGCGGCATGAGCGTGGGCGACTGCGTTAAGCTGCGTGATCGCCAGCGCCTAAAGGAGCAAGAAGCGCAGCGTCTCGCCGCCGCGGAGGCCAAAGCTCAGCGCGAAGCGGCACGCGCACATAGCAACGGATCCAGCGAGGGCGGCTGGGCACAAGTGGCTGCCTCGAAGAGAAGCAATCCAGCTCTTGGTGCGGGACGGAGTTCTGCTCCCTCTCCTGCGTCTACTTCGGGTACGGTTACTCCAGCTGCTGCGGCGCCGTGGTCTAGCTCTACTATGTATGCTGCGCTGGATCGGGACGTCGGGGATACGGCGCTGCAGCAGCAGCAGCCTAAGAAGGAGAAGCTGGTGCTTCGATCGGGAGTGAAGGGGTCGAGGGGTCAGGGGTCGTCGGTGGAGAGAGAGAAGGAGGGTTCGGTTGGTGGGGATGGAGATGCTTAGTGCATGAACGCAAATGAAGGTGTGATGCTCTGTTCAGCATGCTCTCACAAACCTTGTTTAGGGGTTTAGTGTTGGGAATGGTTATGGTGTTGTAGTTTCTTTTTCATGATGAATGCCATTGTTGCAAAGTTTAGCGTGCATATATGGCGGCTGGGTAGTTTTCGTGCTACAAAAAACAAAAATGAATGCTGTAGTAAATAAAAACAATAACAAATAGGAAAAAGAGAGAAAAAAGATTATATAATGCTCAGGACAATCCTAATTCCCTTCGCATACGAATTAGAAATAAAACAATCAAATACAATCACCCCCATTGACTAGCACCCACGCCAATTGCTATCCCCGAGCACCAACATACCAATAAGACCAAACCATGAAGTGCTTACTTCTTCCTTAAACATTACTTTACTAATGAATTAAGCTTCACCCGCACCTCGTAATCTACATCCCATGTACGAACTCGCCATCGGAAACAAAAAAGAACCCCAGGATCGAATAAAATTCATCAGATATGATGGATGATAAGATTAGATCGACTGTGACTGGACGTGCAGTGTAGAAGCTAAGTAGGTACTAAAAAAGCCCAAACCGCTGATCTTAGTTTCATCTTTCAGTCAGGCACGAATACGCGGATCATAATGCACTCTCCTCTTTCTGTGACTTAGTCTAGCGAGTCTAAATACGATGTGATGCGTGCGTCTTGTTTAGCGTCCGCCCCATGTCAGTTTGGGTGAGTGGCTGAGAGATTTAATTTACTGGAATAATCATGCTGCATGTTGTGTGGGCGTAGGCCCACACGACGGAGTTGTCCATCCAGTCAGTTCACTGGCTTTGCGCCGTGTGGGTGGGCAGGACCCTTGAGGGGTTTGGTTCTTGATCCTTGGACTGGACCCTGATGCAGATTCTGCTATTGTTACTTTGTACCCTGGTTGCCTTTGCAATGAGTGCGATCAATTGAATTATATTCGATGGCGATTGAGGTTCTTTTTGGTCTTCATCGGAATGAAATGTGCAATGAGAAGGGGATCGGAGGATTTTCGTGTCCTGGGTACGACAACGTGGGATGATCCCCATGATGATACGACGAGTCGCTGAGACGGCCGCCCCGAGGGATGAATTGATTGGATTGGATTGGGTCTGATTTGCATTTCGAAACCCAGCTAAGATTCTGTTTGCTGTTTGTACTCCACCCGGAGTTCCCGTTGATGACGATCGGGTGTCGGTGTTGGTCACATTCACTTTCGACTCTTTTTCACTTGTGAGTGTAAGTTTCGGGCAGGATATCTGATTTCTTCGTGGGTGTTATCAGATTGATAGGGGTTATCATCATAATCTATCACTCTAGAACTATAACATTCTATCACAGCCCCGGAGGAAGTAGTAAAGTACACTCCTTCTAGGGAATACATAAGCAACAAAGTGTGTGAGTGAGTGAGACAAACACTCAGCTGAACCCGAACCATCCGGACTGGCGATCGCCGAGCAAATCAAAGCCTCCAACAAACCCAGTAAACTTTTTCACGAACCGAGTCGCACTTGTCCCATGATTGGTGTCGATGGGGCTGTTTATCTGATCCGTCGTGGGTTATCAGATCGGGCCAGTGGGATATTTTTATTTCGTTTATTTTCTTTGGCATTTGCTGGTAGATACTTTGCTAGTCAGTCTAGGGGTTTAAGGGATCGGCTCCCCCGCCGTTCGTTCATTTCTTGACTTAGTTCACTTTTCTGCTTTGCACCGCGTCTCGTGCGGGAAGTGGAAAATTATCTTTTTGGGTGTCTTTTTGGTTAGATACAAATACGTCTGACTGTGTCTGTGTCTGATGGTTTCTGGGCATCCCTGGATTTGATTTCCATCCCTTCTTTCCTTCTATTCTGCTTGGCGATTGGGCTTACTAGGGGTCATATACGACTCTTAAATCTTAAGAAGCATAAGGCTTCTTCTTCCTCTTCTTCGTAACCATGCGCTTCACCAAGGAGGAAAAGACGACCACTGAGACCAACCAGGAGGTCTCTTATTCCGCCGAGTCCCAAAGCAAGGAAGTCACCTCTGGCCATGACGATGGCATCTTTTCCAGTTCAGACCACTCGCAACTGAGTCTGGAAGCGCAAAACGAAAAAGAAGTGGAAACTCACCCTGATGAGGTCACCAAGGATGCCCAGCTAGGTGTGCAGAAAGCTGAAGCGGCGGCCCTAGTCTGGAGCAAGCAGGCCGTATATGCTACTTATGCTTGGTATCTACCTACCTTTCCTTTTCATTCCCATACACCGCTGTACAATCTATCTAACAGCCTAGGATCTGGGTGTGCTTCTTCCTTCTGGCCCTCAACAACTCCATCAGCGGCACCGTCATCAACCGCGCCTACGCCGACTTCAAAGCCGCCCCTCAAGTCAGCACAGCCAGCATTCTCTACAGCATCATCGGTGGCGTGTTGAAGCTGCCGATTGCGAAGACGTTGAACATCTGGGGCCGTGCCGAGGGTCTAGTCGTGTGGGTGGTCATCTACACCATTGGATTGATTGTGCTGGCCGCGTGCGATGGACCGAATTCCTATGCCGCGGGCTATGTCCTCTTCTATGTGGGCTACTCGGGTATCTATCTCGTGCTGGACGTTTATATTGCCGATACCTCGGGCTTGCAGAACCGGGCGTTTACGTTTGCGTTTGCTAGCACCCCGTTCATCTGCACGGCGTTTACGGGGCCATTGGCGGGTGAGTCGTTCCTCAAGGTGGCGACGTGGCGCTGGGCGTATGGGGTGTTTGCTATCGTTATGCCGGTGGTGTTTTCACCGTTGGTGGTGCTGTTGAAGTATTATCAGCGCAAGGCGGAGAGTATGGGGTTGTTGAAGAAGGAGGAGAGTGGAAGGACGACGATGCAGTCAATCGTTCACTATATTCATGAGTTTGATTGTACGTCGTGCCCTAATTCCCTTCCATTTGCTTTTATGCTAACGAACCAGTAATCGGTGCCTGCCTGCTCATGGCCGCATGGGTCCTGCTCCTTCTTCCCTTCAGTCTGCAACAGTACGGACGCGCGCAATACAAGAGCGCCAAATTCATCGCCATGGTCGTCATTGGCTTCGTCTTGCTGTTTGTCTTTGCCGCGTGGGAGAAATGGTTCACGCGGAAGCACTTTGTGCGGTACGAGCTGCTGCGACAGCGCACTGTGCTGGGAGCGTGCATCATGTCCGCGGTGTCCTATTTCAGCTTCTACTGCTGGGACCTGTACTTCTATGACTTTTGCATCGTGGTGTTCAATCTCAGCGTGTCAATGACCGGCTACATGACGCAGATCTACAACGTGGGATCATGTTTCTGGGGCGTGGTCTTTGGCATCTGGATCCGCTACACCAAACACTTCAAGTACACTTGCTTGTGCTTCGGCCTGCCGCTGCTCTGCCTGGGGGCGGGACTGATGATCCACTTCCGCGGCGAAGCCAGCAACGACATCAACTACGTGATCATGTCGCAGATCTTCATTGCCTTTGGCGGCGGCACGATCGTCATTGGTGATGATATGGCGGTGATGGCTGCGGCGGATCGCGAAGGTGTGCCTATGATGCTGTCGCTGTTGGGGCTATTTTCGAGTCTGGGCGGCGCTATTGGGTATGCTGTTGCTGCGGCGGTGTATACCAATATCTTTCCGCAGGCGTTGGAGAATCGTCTTCCTGCGGATTTGAAGGCGAATGCAACGGATATTTATCTGGGTGGGTATACTGCACAGATGGAGTATCCAGTGGGATCACCGACCAGGAATGCGGTGGATTATGCTTGGGGAAGAAGTCAGATGTATGGGTCTGTTGCTGGAACGGCAATTTTGGTGCTGGGATTCCCGGCGATTGCGGTTTGGAAGAATTATCGGGTTGATAGGAAGCAGAACAAGGGTACGATGATTTAGTGGTGCTGATATATCTGTGGGCAGGTATTTGTGAGAGGAATGTTGGGTGTTTTACTTTCCTACAATTTCATTATTTTAACTTCAATAATATCCTGTATTAATACTCAAGGTTCAATCCTTTATCCTCTGTCTGCATCTATCCCTGCGATCCCTGCATAACCCCGCTTGAAGTGCCTTATCCTTGAATGTCTCCCTGCATTGTTGTCTCTCCCCTCTGTCGATCTCTCCTCTCCACGATGTCTCTCTTCTGTTCCCCATATCTGGTGTCAACTCATTCCCTCCAGGGAAGAATTAACACCAGACAACGCCATCACCATCACCATCCACCCCCACCATGCGCCCCCTCCTCCAGCCCTACCTTCTCCTCCATATCCTCCCTCTCCTCCCGCTCACCCACAGCACCGACCCCAACACCGACATCCTCACCCACATCGACCCCCTCATTGGCACCACCAACGGCGGCAATGTCTTCGCCGGTGCGACCCTCCCCTACGGCATGGCCAAAGCCGTCGCCGACGTAGACGGCCAAAACACCGCCGGCTTCTCCTCCGACAACAGCAACATCACCGGCTTCTCCGCCCTGCACGACTCCGGCACCGGCGGGAATCCCTCCCTCGGCAACTTCCCTTTATTCCCTCAATACTGCGCCGACGATCTCCTCGACAACTGTCCCTTTCCCAAGTCCGCCCGTGCCATCTACTACCAAAATGACTCGGTCGTTGCGCGACCTGGGTACTTTGCCCTAACGCTGACGAATGGTATACATGCTGAAATGACTACTACGCAGCATGCGGCGCTGTTTCGGTTCCAGTTTCCTGATACAGGGCAGGAGAAGTTGAGTCCAATGGTGTTGTTGGATTTGACGGATTTGTGGGAGAGTAGGCAGAATGCGTCGATTAGTGTGGATGAGCACACGGGGCAGATGAAGGGGAATGGGACGTTTCTGCCGAGTTTTGGGGCTGGGGAGTATGTCTCGTATGTATGTGCGGATTTTGCGGGGGCGAGTGTGAGGGATACCGGGGTTTGGGTGAATGATGCGGGTGGAGTGGAGAGGAAGGAGTTGTTTGTTACGAGGGGGTTTAATAATTTTTATCTTCAGGCGGGTGGGTTCGTGAGGTTTGAGAGGCCTGACAATGGGACGGTGAGTGTGAGGGTTGGGGTGAGTTATATTAGTACGGAGAAGGCGTGCGAGAATGCAAGAATGGAAATTCCTAGTCCGTTGGAGGACTTCGATGCTATACGAGCAGCTGCAGAGGATGCCTGGAGGGAGAAATTGAGCCCTGTTGCGATGAAGCCGGGGAATGCGAGTGCTGCGCTGCAGACCATGTTCTGGACGGGCACTTATAGGACTATGCTGGATCCGCAGGATTTGACGGGGGAGAATCCCCTCTGGGAGAGCGATGAGCCCTACTTTGATTCTTTCTATTGGTAATACCTACCCACAGCATCTCTCTGCGAGGCAACATAACTGATGTCTTCAGCATCTGGGACGCCTTCCGGGCCCAACACCCCCTTCTCACCATCATCGACCCCCACACTCAATCCCGCATCATCCGCAGTCTCCTCGACACCTATCGCCACGAAGGCTGGCTCCCGGACTGCCGCATGAGTCTCTGCAAGGGCTGGACCCAGGGCGGCTCCAATGCAGACGTGGTCCTCGCCGACGCCTTCGTCAAGAACCTCACAGGCATCGACTGGGATCTCGCCTACGAGGCAATGGTCAACGACGCCGAGAACGAGCCCCTGGAATGGTCCTACCAGGGCCGAGGGGGGCTCCAGAGCTGGAAGAACCTGAACTACATCCCCTACCACGACTTTGACTACCTAGGTTTCGGCACTAACTCGCGCAGCATCTCCCGGACCCTGGAATACGCATACAACGACTTTTGCGTGGCGACTGTTGCCCGCGGACTAAACAAAACAGACGATTACTTGAAATATCTAACTCGATCGACAAACTGGAAGAATCTATTTAAACCTGACCAACGCTCCTTCTTCCCCAATGGCTCGGATACAGGGTTCGTAGGGTTCTTCCAACCCAAATATCGCAATGGGACATGGGCACATCAGGATCCCATGGATTGTAGTCCGCTTGCCACTGGTGCAACATGGTGCTCGTTGACGAGTAATCCCTCGGAGACATTTGAGTCGAGTATTTGGGAATATCAGTTGTATTCCCCCTACCCCATTACCCTTTACCCATTACCCATACTTCTACTTCATCACTGACCAAAGAACTATTGATAAATGACAGTTACGTCCCCCACGACCTCCCCACCCTAATAACCCACTACCTCTCCGGACCCCAAGCATTCACATCCCGCCTGACCACCTTCCACTCCACAGCTCTAGCAGACTACAGCAACGAGCCCGTCTTCCTAACCGTCTACCAATACCACTACGCCTCGCGACCCGCCCTCTCCTCGCGACTCATCCACAGCTTAATCCCTTCGCAATTCAATGCCTCTCGCTCCGGGATCCCGGGAAACGATGACTCGGGGGCAATGGCGGCGTTCACGGTGTTTGGCCTCATGGGCCTGTTTCCGAATCCCGGTCAGAGTGTGTATTTGATTTCGGCGCCGTTTGTGGAGGAGGTCAGCGTGAAGAATGCACTTACGGGGAGGGAAGCGGTGGTGAGGGTGAAGAATGATGCAGGGGTTGGGGTGGGAGGGACCGTGGTGAGGAAGGCGTGGTTGGATGGGGAGGTGTATGCGAGGAGTTGGATTGGGCATGAGTTCTTTGTGAAGGGGGGAGTGTTGGAGGTTGAGCTGGGGGATGAAGAGGAGGAAAGTGAGTGGGGGATGGGGGTGGGAGAGGGGCCGCCGAGTTGGGGGGGAGGAGGGATGGAATTGTAGTCTAGGAGTACTTTAAGTAGTGGTAGAGAGATGAGAGGAAGATTGTGAGGATGAGATGCGTTGTTGTTGTTGAATGGTGAGTTTGGAGCTTGGAAATGATAGATAGAGATGGTGATGTTGTGTGTACAGGAGAGTAAAGTAACCACACCGTTTTTATGAAGCGAATGTACTGGTCTAGTGGTATTCAAAGACTGGTGAAATTGTAGACGAAATCCAAAAGGACGAACACAAGAAAACCGAATTATAGAAAGATGGAGTGACGGAACTTGAATTTACGAAAGAAGATTCATATAACTGTAATATCTTTATCAATGACAGGATATATAGTAGTTACTTAACAGCATCAAGTTTTCAAGAGTAGTAGTAATAGTAGTAGTAGTAGTATATCTTATATCTGATCTGTCTATGTAGCTAAGCAACATCAACTATAAATAAAGCCTCCCCTTCGTCGGCATCATAACATCAAACGAGGTGAACGTGCAATGACCATAGCCTGCTCCCTCACCACCTGCACCTACATTAACATCTTCAGTCATGGACTCCATTCCCAAATCAGAATGCAAATCTATCGGGACAAAAAAGGGATCTGTCCAATCGACCTCGCCCCACGCAACAGCCTTGAGTCCCGCATCATCATCACCAGGCGGGGGATGACAAGCAGCACTAATAGCAGCGCTACAATGCGCCGCAATTGGCATGCGGGTCCGGAACTTCCTCATCCCCAGCGCTAGTAGTGAGAAAAACGACACGCCCTCCAAGATAATAATACAAAAAACGGCGATAGGAGAGAAGCCGCATCCTCTGATAGAGCTGGTCGTGTCCTCATGGCCGAAGACATCATACGCAGTGATGTTGACGTAGAAGAAGCTTTCAGAGAGGAGCCAGTGCAGGGTAACAGAGATGATGAAAAGAGGGATGCTGTAGCGGTAAGGCAGGGCGAGGTAGTAAGTTGAGCGTTGTTGGCCGCGGGGCCAGGAGACGCGGAGGGGTTTGCGCTCGGAGGCGTAGTCGTTGTACTCAGCTGTGACAAGCATGCAGGAGAGGAGGCTGTTGGTGGTGAAGTAGATGATTGAGAAGACTAGTTGGGGGGTGTTGCTTAGGAGGACGAGGGCGATCATGTTGACTTCTTGAAAGCCGAGATAGGTTTCGGAGTTGGCGGAGCCGAATCCCAGGTTCCATTGCTTTGAGAGGGACCAGCCGTCTCCCTCGATGATCATGAAGAAGTAGATGAAGTAGGAGATGAGGAAGCAGAGGGTGAACCTGCGTGGATGGGTTAGTTAAATGAGGATACTCTGAGGCATGAGGTACTAACATGCTTATTACAGTCGCCCAGCGGCACAGGCTGGCTGCTCGAAACCATCGTTTTCGACGTGGTAGTGTTCTCGGGGAGGAGGTTTCTGAAGTATCTGCCCGCTCTAAGATACGACGGTTTTCCATGGGTATGTCCTCCGTCAGATTCTTTGGATCACGGCGAATCCTCTTTCGTATGGACTCCTTCCACCGGGGCACTGGCTCCCATCGATGCGGCCCTCGAGCCATATCAGCCCGGGACATCAGACAGCGGCCTTTAGTTGTGGGATCTGGCTGGACTAAGAAGGAGGATATGGCATCTCCTACTCGCAAGAAGATCTCAGAGCGGTCCGTTTTGGCAGTCAGGTACATGCAGACTACCTTGGTGAGGTTGAACAGAATCACAGCCAGCGCAATGGACGGGCTGAAGAGGAGCCGACACCGCTGGGTCATGGTTTTGCTCATACAGTAGGAGATAGGGAATTCCGGAAGGGTGCCAGGAGCATTGATGCTTCGTGATGCCCATTCAATTCCCTCGGCTGTCCACTGCCCTTCATCAATTGACTTCTCGGCTTTGCTTTTCCCCACAATCTTGACGTACTCATATACTGATGAAACGCCCCATATGGTCCCTTGAAGACTGCTTGCATTGCCAAAGTACTTTCGCTCAGCCACTAAAACCAGGGTTCCGAGATGCGTGTTGTATTCCACATCATACTTCTTCAAGCACTCAGCATTACTCAAGTTCTGAAAGGTACCGTTGAAGATTTCAGTCTGAATCAGCTCCGGCGTGCTGCCTATGGCTTGTATGAAGGCGCTTGTTTCTCCCGCGCCGACCAGGGACTCAGTTGGTGTTAAATCATCAGGGATGAGAATCATGCCATAATCGAGCGTAGAGATGGATGAGAAAACAACCGAGTTATATCTTGTACGCAAGTTAGTGGTGACATGACTAGGAGTCTCTGCTACTGACATCATATGAATAGGGACTGAGCTGAGGAGCAAAACCAGCCAAAGGAGTTTCCGCTTGATATTCATGACTCGAAAGTTCCGAAAGCTCATGACACCAATATCCAGCCAACGGCGCTTTTTATGAGCGTTGTCGACATCCGTGCGGGATGGCCCGGACACGCATTGCATGGCATAGTTGCTGGCCTCGAGTAAGGTAGTGGACAAGAGGTTGATGAAAATATGTATGCCCGTTCCCCATCTACTTGACAAAGTGCAATTGCCGTTGTACATTTCAGTTGTAAGAAAACTATGCGAGTTGGCGCTTTGAGAGTAGCTCATGCCAATGGCAATGAGCGCCAGCAGGATATTCAAGGTCGCGATGCCTCCGGTGGCCCAGGTACCGAGTAGGACACCATGGATCCATTCCTCGTCGGGGTGTGCAGCAAGCGATGAATTTCGAGAAGACAGGAGTGTCGCATATTTCGCACGGACTGGCCATTTCCAGGATTGCTGGGATGACTCGGGATCATTGTTTGCTGGCTCGTCGCCTCTGTTCCATAACGAACTGATCCTCATATCGAGCCAGGAAATAACAAGAGCACAAATCAGGTCGCTCGTTCATTTTTTGGGCACTTTAGTCACGCTCTATTTTCTCTTAATGTATTTAAGCACTATATATTTAGATTATTATGATTTTTTTTTTCTTTCCCTTGACCTTTTTCAAGCAAGCGCCTCTGGCCTAGATTATGTTGCAGATTGACCAAGCCCACATTATGCTAGTATTGGTCGGCCCGGCGTCTCGATTGGTGCTGCAGCCTGAAGACGCGTATACCAGGAGCTAGAAACGTATTTAGCATATTAACTAGCTGGGTTATGGCTGTGGGTATCACAGCAGTTCTTGCTCGACGGGGCTGAAGTGGGTCGATTGGCGAGCGCTAGACAGTTCTTGAACATGTCCGAATACTCTGGCCAGATATTCAACATATTTGTCGCCGGCTGTTTGTTTGGTTTTTTTTATCGCATGTACGGGATGTTCCTAAAGTTAGTATATCATATCCACTGTAATAGTGCTGTTAAAAGGCGTACTCTGAGCCTCCGCCTTGGTTTGGGGTGAGTCAGTGGAGTGAACATGAATAATTATATTAACCTTAGCGATAACACTGAAACCCACTCGGATTGGGGGCACCTATATGCCAAATTAGATATTATTAGAGGCGCTTAGGGCAATGCAGGAACAGTCAAGGGTCAATAAGAGAACTGTGTGCAGTTGAAATCAAGAAGTGAGCTTGAAGTGATTGGTAAGTAATAGGACCACTGCTTCATTGATTTACGTTGTAGGATGTTCAAGTACCTTTGGAACATTTCATTCAGTTGGTAGTGTCCGTCTTGGTGCCTTGCTTTTCAAGTTGACTGTATTTGGACTGTTACCTGTATATGTTATTTTATTCCAGTTTGAATGACCGCCGACGCGATATCCACTCGCTAGGAATATAACGTGAAAGTACTATACGTATCGACTTGTTCGATGTAACGATCCATGTGGAATGGTTGAACATATATTCTGCTTGGCTGCTAAAGTTAACCATCTATGTGGCTAGAAATTCTGTTTGAGGGCTATCGTCAGGCGCCTGTGTTATCTACATTATCCATGTTGCAGGTATTGAGGACAGCTGAGTGTGAGCATTTGTCTGAGCGACCGGTGACCAGTCGCGACGTTGCATCATATCAACAGGTGGAATGGTTGCGGCGACCCCCGCCTGCGATGGATGAAGCCATAGCGATTCGGTGTGAAAGTGTGGCTCGCTACTTCGGCCATGTGGGAACGTAGTAAAAGTGACGGAGTAAATAGGGTGGTCCGCCGTCGTGGCGGGGGTAGGGGTGATGGTGAAACTATAGATTCGGGAGTGATCTGGGGGAAGCATGTCATTGCCCATCATACTCTCCTCAAGTTCCATGATCCGGCTGCAGACGGTGTGGTAGTTCGGGGTATAAAAGAACAGCTCTTGCTTCGGAAGTCGTTGTAGCAGATCCAGGGCCCGACGGCGAAGGTCCGGCCAGCGGCACTTCCAGGCGACGGCCTGCAACGGATACAACAACTGTACGTCAAGGCTCATCGTTTTCGATACATCATCCGGGTAGTGTTCCGAGTCATTGAGCAGACGTTCGGCAATCAAGACGATATCTTCGTAGGCAGCGCGAAAGTCATCCCAGCCGCATTCATTGGCCACACGGTACCGACCGAGTCCTAGACGGAGGCAATACCAGAGCGTGCGAGTAGCATCGATCTCATTATCCATGGCTGGTCCACATGCCGACTGCTTCCGTTGCACTAGCAATTCAAAGCTTGCCATCCATCGCTGGGCGGCATGTTCGAAAGTATCGAGCCATCGCAGAACGGGCGAGTACGGGAGGTCCGTCAGTCTGGCCAGATCTTGCCAGTCGCGAAAAGTCCCGATGTGGTAAAGCATCAAGTCAAGGAGGGCGGTGCGTGCCTGATGAAATGTTTGGAACCGCCAATTGACTAAGAGCTTGCCTTGAGCATCCACGGGATTGACAAGCACTTTTTCTCGTGGCGCACTTGTGAGGTGTTTGAGACCTGATCGTTCGTACGTATTCAGAGAAAATGAGTTCAATATTGGAGCCAATTCAGCATCTACCCAATGTGTCCGAGAACTCTTCGTGTGGTGGAATCGCCCTCGATGTTCCCGCCAGGACCGCACCAGGTTAAGCCCGCTTCTGGTATGTGATGCAGCCACGGCAGCATTTCCTCGGAGGAACTCAAGGGCTGCGAACAGAATGCTGGCTGCTATGACTAGGGGTACAACGTCCATTCCTGATGAAAACTTATCAATGGTGGTACGGATGGCCCGGTTGTAAAGATGTAGCGCCAAGTCGGACCGGTGAGACAGCAAGTGATGTGCCATTCCCGGAGTTGTGGACGTCACCTCTACTTCATAGAGAAAGCCAATCGCAGCAATCGCTTGGCGAATCGGGGGTTCGGTCAGACTGAGCTGTAGAACCGTGCGGGTCCAGAACGAAGCATTGAAGTAACCAGCCAGGTGCGCTGCAGACTTGCGAAAGAAGAACTCGAGGGCTCGGGACTCGGCTGGACTGACAAATGCAGTAACTTGTGCCAGCTGTTTGGTGATGCGTATGGAATAAGGCATGGGCATATAACCATCACATCTCCGGTCTGTACTGGTACATCTATCCGGGTGGTCAGTGTGGGGGTTCTTCGCGACGGAAGCATCAGGATCTCCCAATGTTTGCATACCGAAAACAAGCCGGCTTCCGCTCATCACATTTGACGCGACGAATTCTGCCGTAGCCGCAAGATTAGGAGTAAGTGAGTTGAGCCGGGGGAGCAGGTAGGACACAGGGCTTCCTCGCTCACCGACATGTAATGCAACCCCTCCGCGATCTGGTAGTCCCCACCCGCAGTCGCTGGTTCGGGGAGGGGGTCTCCGCATTCATTCTTGTTTGTAGAGCTGCGGATTGTGGATTGTCAATTCAATCAGGACCACAGGCACCATGCAACGCTTGAGATTTTATCTTGACTGATTTGTGTTCTGTAAAGCTCATCCTGCTCCGTGGCCCCCATCCACCGTTGTCACGTGGCATTGACAGGGATCTGGCCGCATCTCGGACTGAATTGGCTGCTAGTAGCCCGTAGTGGGAGACCGCGCAGCTGGCGAGCCCCACTAGTTGTCCAGCATGAGGATATGCCCAAGAAGAAATAATGATAAGAATGCTTTGCGACGAGGGATGAAAGACCATCTTGCAGGCAGGGATGCTTTAGAGATGTAGAGCAGCAGGTGGTACCAACTCGATGGAGACTGAAGTATATCACAAACGAGTTGTCTATTGGAACCCCATGCGATGCGCGAGCAGGACGGATGAAAGAGGGAGTTTGTTAATCACAGATACAGTGAAGACTGTGAGTGCCAGATACTACATCCTATACGGTGGCGTCGGACGGTCAAGCCCGGACTCTCTTCCTCCCCTCGTAGAGCCATTCGGGGTCCTGAGTGGGGAGGATAATGAAGAATTGCTGCTGCCTCGGACTGTAGAGGAAGTTAATTAAGAATTCTCGAGCCTACCCGGCAAGTTCAGTAACAGGCTTCTCGGTCAATCGTGAAACAGGCATCCACGCGGATAGAAGGAGACCAAAAAGCATTGCAAATGAATGGTCCTTGTGGACCAGTCCCTCTAAGAATAACATACTTTTGTACAAATAAGTTCCCACAGGATCCGCCCATGTCAGGTACATTGCTGAGTCAGCACGCCACCACCAATCAGCAGTCTTGTTAGATAAGCTGACACCGGCAGAACCTGCCACAAGGGCCTCAGGCCCGGCACCAGCTTCCATTCCCTAAACGGCGAGTCCCGATCCCGATGGATGGTGGATGGAGATTCGGGTTACCCGCAGCTCATGTTTCTCTTATTTCCATCGTTCCATCTCCAACAGCCATTTCCCATTCTATTCCTATCATTTAGGCTTGGTCTGTCCGCTGTATCGATCCTCTTGCCATCGGACTGTGTGCTGTGGTCAATCTGGATATTCTCGCCCTACGCACTACTAGTACTGCTTAACCCATTCTTCACAACAAGAAACCACTGGTACTATCGTCGCGCAGCTTCCACCTTAACCGAGACTAGATAAGTTTCGCCCTTGACGAGCTACGTCATTCCCCTTCCGTGCCTGGCACTCTTCCGAATGCCCTCCCGCCGCAGTCATACCAAGTCCCGGAAGGGTTGTCTCCAATGTAAGAAACGGCATGTGAAGGTCTGACTTCCTTTATTTTCTCCCGGTTGTCTTCTTTCAATCTGGTTCGCTACCTTTTCCCACTCTCCGGGATCGGTGGTCCCTATGCCGTCGCAGTCGTCGGTATAAATACATTATACATGCTGTTTTCCTCCAGCAGTATCATGCATGTTATCGGTTTCATGCTGACCCACGGAGTAGTGCGACGAAGAGACACCACGATGTGGCTTGTGCAAGAAAAGAAGACTTGATTGCACATACCCTCCGTCAAGTGAAGCGGATAGCCAGCATGCATCCACACCCCAAGATATGCCTGATGTGTTTCCTGGTCCCGAAGGAGAACCGCAATCGGATAGGATGCTTGAGATGAAACTCTTCCACCACTATCTAACAGAGACATACATCACACTCTGTCAAGGGCGTCTAGATGCTCACCACTTTCAAGTGGTTGTCCCACGGATCGCGGTCTCCCATGCCTTCTTGCTGGACAGTCTACTAGCAATGTCTGCTCTTCATCTAGCGTACCTGAACACTCATGATAACCGTCCATGGCTCGAGATTGCCCTTAAATACCAGAACAGAGCCTGTTCAGCATTCACCCGTGTACTCGCGGAAATGACACCCGAGAACTGCGCACCAGCATTCCTGTGCTCCATCTTCATTATGCTCTGCGCAACGGCCTACCCGTGTGTCACCCAGGATAAGCATACATTCGAGCCTTTGTCCCATGTCTTGGAGATCCGGCAGCTCATAGCGGGATGTGCATTTCTTTTTGAACAGCTTAGCGGCATGGAATATCGGGGTGACCTCCAAGGGTGGCTGAAGTACAAGGATGACGAGATCGATCAAGATGGGAATCCCTACCAGTACTTGCTTTGCCTCTTTCTTTCCATGACAGTAGAGTGCTAATGTCTCTCTAGCGTACAGGAATCCCAGATCAAACTACGCAGGTATGTTATCTCAAAACCTCGCGAGAACTCGGCCAACGGATGCTAACATTCACAAGTGCCATTATAGAGTCTTTGCAGCGGGTGCAAGACAAATTTACCAGCCTTGGTGGGCCGAATCAGACAACGTACCAAAACACGTGGGATATTCTTCATGAAGCCATCAAACGATGGCCATTCGGCGGCCCAAACGGTGGCATTATTGCGTGGCCCATAAACATCAGCGAAGACTACATTGCTCTGCTAAAAAGTGGAGACTGGGTGGGCCGGGTGCTATTTCTACACTACGGGGTCGGATTGCACCTTCTCTCCGACAAGTGGTTTGTCCGAGACTGGGGCCGACGTCTTATTGAAACAGTCCTGCAATCGCAGGAAGATATACCCCCAATTTGGACCGAAACCATCACCTGGACAAAGGAGGCCGTGGAGCTTTAAAAGTGAGAGAAGCAACACGGAAAATTGATGCGCACGAGCTCTGCTATATACGAAAGGAAAGCACAGATAGCGACAATGATCTGGCACTATCATAGTCGTCAAGACTGAAAGCAAAGATGTGAGGTTAAGAGTTCTGTCTAGTCCATGGTTGATTACATACCATGACTCGACATTCCGGGGAACCTCAAAGGCCTTGGCGGGATGGCTGCACTTCAATTGGAGAGGCCACCGTTCGGCTCATTACGTCGGGCAAGCCGAACCCGGCCAGCGTTATCGCGTGACTTGGGCCCGCGAGTGGCGGCTGACTTCCCGTTGGCGGAACCGCCCTCGATAAGCACGACCCAAGAGTGCGGAGTCCCAGTCACGTCTCTTGATTGCAGGGCGACATCCACAGTCCCTCGCTGCTTATCTCGGCCCAGGACTGTCCCCGATATGGCTGGGGGTGAAGGCTTTCCTTATTTCTTGCTTCCCTGCATTCGTTGGGGCAGGTCCTCTTTCCCCTCTCCTATTTCTTAGGGTAGCGTGTCTGCGAATAGGACGCCCTGACTCTGGCGCACAAGGCTTACAAGGGTCTTCCGACGCTGATCCTCCGCACCCGCTAAGTCTGGCGGACGTATCTGCGCTGTCGCTTTGGCCCTACCCATCCCAACTTCGAAACTCTTTGCGACATGGAGACCTATCAGTCAAGGCAAAGTTCGAGCCAAGATGCGGAGAAACAGGTAATAAAATCGAGTTGCTTTCACCGACCCCTCTTTCGTGCGAGTTTGCGCTATGATTATGATTCTGATCCGCTCTGTTTCTGCAGCCACTTCTTGAAACCTGGGAGACCCCGATCCAGCGATCGCAGTGGACCTTGTTACACGACACGCGACTCAGCACTTCAACTATGTTCCGCCTTGCGAAGTTCACAGTATTGTCGACGCTCCTGTTAACTATAATAACGATACATCTGCCAAGTGTGCTCACCTCACCTCTTGAATTTGCGACTAGCCGGTTTGACCGAACGAGTGAATTGGAGGAAGGGAAGCGCGGTGCAGTGGCGAGCGAAAGTGCTATCTGCAGTCGCCATGGAACAGATATAATAAACATTGGTGGAAATGCAGCTGACGCGGTGAGTAACGATCTAGCTGATCTGTCGGTCGTGCGTCACCCTGCTGACTCCAATCTCTCAGATGGTTGCAACAATGCTTTGCGTCGGAACTGTTGGTGAGTTGGCCTGTGATAACTGGAGAAGTGCTTGGACCTGATGATAGCCGGGAAGGCATGTACCATAGTGGAATTGGAGGAGGTGGATTCATGCTGGTTAAGACCCCTGAAGGCTCCTTCGAGGCCATCGATTTTCGCGAAACTGCCCCGGCGGCAGCTTTTCAGGATATGTTTGAGAATAACACAGAGGCAGCCGTTAGTGGTGGCCTTGCAAGGTGAGCACCTTCAAGTTGTTGGATGCTGCAATATCTAATATAATTTTAAGTGCCGTTCCTGGGGAATTGCGTGGTCTTGGGTATCTCCACAGCAAGTATGGCTCGCTCCCCTGGTCAGCTGTTGTGCAGCCTGCAATTCAAACCGCACGGGAGGGGTGGCCAGTCGGGCAGGACCTGGTCCGCTATATGAAAGCTGCTGTCGGGGACGGCGAAGACTTTCTGTCTCAGGACCCTACCTGGGCGCTCGATTTTGCTCCCAATGGAACCAGGCTCGGTGTTGGTGACACTATCACGCGGAAACGTTATGCGGCCACACTGGAGACCATCGCAAACGAGGGCCCCGATGCCTTCTACTCTGGATCAATCGCGAAGACTATGATAGATGCGGTACAGAAAGCCAACGGTACAATGACGCTTGAGGATTTGGCCAATTACACGGTCGCTATCCGAAACATCTCTGAAATTGACTATCGCGGCTATCGAATTACTAGCACCTCGGCCCCATCCAGTGGTATCGTGGCTATGAACGTTCTCAAAGTTCTGGGTACCTACGATGACCTTTTCAGTCCGGATAATCGGAACCTGAGTACCCATCGAATGGACGAGGCTATACGGTTCGGATATGGATTGGTATGCTTATCCGCTCTATTCAACCGCCAGTCAGCTGAATTGGTGGAGGAAGCGCTAACTTGTAATATAGAGGACTAATTTAGGGGATCCGTTTTTCCTCGATGGCATGGACACGTACCAGGAAATGATGCTGGCGGATTCCACTGTTGAAGAGATCCGGAAGAATATATCCGACCAGCATACCCAGGCCGTGTCTGCCTACGACCCGCAGGGATATGAGAGTCTTGAAACGTGGGTGATCATGGTTGGTACCATAGTATAATCAGGCAACTGACATGTGTAGACCGGGTACCTCACATATTGCAGCCATTGATCACAGTGGACTTGCCATTTCTGCGATCACGACCATCAACCTGCTTTTTGGCTCCAAAGTTATGGTTCCTGAGACTGGTATCATCATGAACAATGAGATGGATGGTATGCCTCATACTTGCTCCTGTTCATAGCAGTTACTGACTTATAGTTGAGACTTCTCTATTCCTAATTCGTCCAACTCCTTTGGCTATATCCCCTCTGAAGCAAACTTTATACGACCCGGGAAACGCCCACTGTCCTCTTGTACCCCAACCATTGTGACCCACCCTAACGGAACAGTGTTCTTCGTCGCCGGCTCGGCAGGAGGTAGTCGGATTATTACTGCCACCGTCCAGAACATTATACACGCCATCGACGAAGGACTTTCAGCGGCAGAAGCCTTGGCCCAGCCGCGCCTTCATGATCAACTGGTCCCGAATCGTGTCACTTTCGAGTACGATTATGACAATGAGACCGTGTCCTTCATGGAGGCAAGAGGTCACAATGTGACCTGGGTTGGTCCAGGGGAGAGCACGGCGCAGGCAATTCGGGTTCTACCGAATGGAACTTTTGACGCTGCAGGGGAGCCTAGACAGGCTGATTCTGGAGGGTTCGCTGTTTGAGGGATCTAGTTCGGAAGATCTGCATATGTGCACCCTGACTATACATATAATATGAGGGTTTTGTGAGCGATACTTTCTGTCTTGGATTTACAGACTCCGATTTGGGTTGCATCGATAGATCAAGTATACTATATAGCATTAGACTTAAGTATTGGAACGAATCATGATGAATTCCGAGGCATGTATGGCACTGGCGGGATAGTAATGGCCTGGTGTAACTGCGGTAGATAGGCACCTATTGATACCCTTCATTCCTTTGTGTCTTCTCAGTGGCCGTTGTACTTCGCTGTTCGTTGGCTTCGAATGCACTGGTAATATTATTCGAAGCAAGGAAACGTCCACTCGACTGCCCCGCATTATATCTCGCACATTGTAGCGGTATGAAACTCTTTCTAGCCACATCACAACGTGTGAATACTTGAGGAGAGTAGAGCAGTACTACAACTAGAATCCCTGTAACCTACACTCCCATTTCAGTCCTCGAGTCGATCGGTCTGATGCGAGTCTGTAACAGACGCAAGGACCTGACATGGAAGGGGCGGGACACATCAGATGGCGGGCGTGATCTATCAGAGGTGGCCCGTGCGCAGGCCGGGTTCCGCGTCGGCGCGCGCCAGCAGAATGAGGAATGTGTGCTTAGTTGCTTCCAGTTTGCCCTCGCCTTGTGTTCGGCGTGAATGGCCTGGCATTCTGTCTTGCTGACCGATTGGATGTTCTGGAAGTTCTTGTCATGAGCAAATTTTAAAGAAAACACACCGTGCTGGATTTATTCACTTTCGCGGTCGATGTGGCTGCTTTAGCTTGCACATATGGCTGTTGGAGTCGCGAGGTTTTGGATATGGTGGATTGGTGTTACTCCTGTGAGTGGATCTCCTGCAGATAGAGGGAGAGAAGTATTCATTCACTAATTGTTTCTCTTCTCCCCGTGTTAGTCTTTTGACTCTTCCTTGTCGAATTCCTGACCATGCGCCTCTATTCCTACAATTTGTTCCAACATACCGCTGCACTCTTGATATACACACCCAGTCAGCCTCTACCGAACGCACCATAGCAGATAGATCGTCAATACATACACAACGCAGCCATGGCAGGTGGCAAAGGTGTCTCCACGTTCCCCTTGGTCCGGATCTCGCCTCCACATATCAACGTTGACCTCTACGATTCATTCGATGAGCTGCACCAACGTACGGTGGATCAGATACTCTCCGACGAGGCAAGCTTTGAGAACAGCTTTGACGATTATAGTGGTAGTGATGGTATCAATGGAGATGATGACATGGCGCAACGTGGGGGTGAACACACCTCGGCATCTACCGCTACTACGCAAATTGCATATGTGAACTCTCCTTATTTCCCAAGTAAAAGGCGCTCGAAGACCCAGAAGGCGGCACAGAGACATATCAGTCGCATGAACTCGATTGACGATGAAAACGATAACGAGAGTGGTATGAATGTGGATGGGCCTGATGGACACACGATCGTCGATAATGGCGAAACTCTGGATGCCGCTTCCGAGGAGGATATCGTCTTCGCGTCTGTGGACCTAGACAAGAGGATGAGACTTCTTACCTTCATCAGCTCACACCCTTTCATGAAAAAAGGCGAATATCCTGTGCTACGATCTGCGCGACGGAAATTCGTTCGTGAAATACGTCGAGAGAGTCTATCGCTTGGTATGAAAGAGGCTGATCTTGGAAAGCTTGTTACGTATGTTAAGAAGATCTACCTTGAGCTCTTTGGAAATGGTCAGATGAGTCTGGATGGTTCTGGCTTTGGCGAGGAGATCAAGGACGAGACTGGTACGCAAAAGAGTCGATCAAGGTCGTCTATCAAGGACAACAAGAGGAAGCGCAACACAGGCAATGATCAAGCAACAACGTCGAAACAGGAGGAAAAGAAGACTACATCGAAGAAACGAAAGTCACTCGAGCCAGTCACCAACGGACACCGTAATAAGCGTGAAGCCGTTGGTCTGGATGCGAACCATTCGACCGCGAAGCCTCCTTCGAGTCATTTTCAAGTCAGCAGGGAAAGAACTACGAATGTCGCTAAGGGCATGCCTGAAATTACCATTGACCTATGCCCGAGTGATAACGAAAGTCCCGAGTTATTCGCCAAGCAGGATGCCCCGGTCAAATCACCATTGGTTGGACAGGCCTCGAATGAGCACAACGATGCGCATAAAAAACTTCCATCACCACCACATTCCGAGGAAGAATGCCAAAAAGGTTCCGCTAAGAGCAAGTCTACTCAATCCGGGGAGGGGATTCCAGAAACACTCCCATCGCAGCAAACATCAATCAAAAGGTCCATGACTCCCCACTTATCTCCGCAATCCCCAGGCCAGCACACTGTTGGTGATTCAGAGGAGGAGGAGGAGATTGGACCATCCCAATCTGCTTCGGCGAAAGATGAAGTTACCTCGGCTACACATACCAAGCAGCCTGAAGCTCTGGAAGGCGACAGAACCCAGCATTCTGATCGTGTGCTGTCCAAGAAAGAAAAGAATAGAAGGAAGCGTGATAATCGCAAACAACGAAAGAAGAAACTTTTTCGCGCAAGCCTAACGAACACCGAACATGTCGCGCTGTCAACGAGTGCAGATGACGTTCAGCAAGGCTGTGCTGCTAAGGAAGCACCTCGAACGACGAAGCCTAATGCAAAAGTGGTCGATGATCTTTCTATGTTGGACGAGGCTTTCTGGAACCTGGAGGATTTTTAGATACCAATGATTCGCAAAGTTCAACCACCAGCGATGAGGTGAGGTCAAAGTATTTCATCGCTCCTCAGAAATTGGAGAAAGGGAAGATGCATTGCGAAGAGAAAAGATATGAACCCTCAAAGAATGTCCCTGATCAGATACCCGAAGAAACCCGAATTCTCCTTGCTAAGCTGAATCTTTCCTCAGACTTTCTTTCCACTGATTCGGACTTGAGTGATGTACCTAGCGGTTTCGATGATATTCCATTTGATTACTCTCTCAGTGTCTCACCTATAGAAGCACAGCGTGCATCAGAGGCTGTAGAGCCAAGCACACCGACTAAAGCAAAATCAACGGGGGGTGCTCCTGTGCTGCCTAGCCCACCACGTTTGAGGCCTCAGAAGATATCACCTTACTTTCCCAAACCTCTGGTCGACCCTGATTCATGTCTTCCGTTTCCGCCAATCGATGCGCCATCATTCGGCTTAGTACAGGAGCAACTTGCCCACGATCCTTTCCGTCTATTGATTGCCACCATCTTCTTGAACCGTACCCGTGGAGGCGTTGCGCTCCCAGTACTATTCAAGGTTTTCGATCGATTCCCAACAGTGGAGGCGATGGCATCAACGGACACAAACACCCTGGCGTCTATGATACATTGCCTCGGCTTCCAGAACCAGCGAGCGAAGAAGTGCATTACGCTAGCCCAGACCTGGCTGGCCTTTCCACCTACGAAAGGAAAGCGCTACCGCAAACTTCACTACCCCTGCAAGGGAGATGGACGTGATATCGGCCTGGATGAATCCATTGCTGATGATGACGCTCGCGTGGGTTGGGAGATTGCTCATCTTCCTGGAGTCGGGCCCTATTCTTTGGGCAGCTGGAGGATATTCTGCCGTGACGAACTACGGGGACTTGCCTCGAATTGGAGAGGACATGGGGCTTCCACGGCGCATTTCAGTCCGGAATGGAAATCAGTGTTGCCGCAAGACAAAGAGCTACGGGCGTACTTGACGTGGATGTGGTTAAAGGAGGGTTGGGTGTGGGATAGGAACACTGGGGAGAGAACACCGGCGAGTGAACGAGTGATGCGAGCAGCACGTCGAGGAGGGGTGGCTCATGAAGAGGATGGGAATTGGGTCCTTGAGATGTCGCCTGTGAAGAAGGCGTCGAATGGATTGATAGCATGGAGTTAGGCCTTGGCATCTAGGGATGAGGAGTTATTGCTACGCTTAGATCGGTCCAGTAGCGTTTTGATACCCCGTCGATAACAAATTTACTCTTTTTCTTTGTTTTTGAATGCGTGATCCGGTGGATTCCGTAGCTCTCCATATTTGGATACGGGTGTTAGTTCGTGTCTGAATGTGGTATGCGATTTATCAAACGACCTACGAACTTACGGGATACTGTAGATAACCACGCAGCTGATCTGCAAGTGCCTCTCATACCGCTGATGCATCATGATCACGAAAACAGGCTCCATCCTATTTGGATACGATATACCAGCTTCGCTTGTGCTGATCCACTTGACGAGTGAGTCATTGGGTAGCCATCGATCCTTGCCTCAGGCAGAAGCCGAGCATGTTGCCTGAGGCAAACGGGATCACGCCCCTCGCAATGGATCGTGAAGTTTGATCTTCTTGCTGGGAAAGTCATTGGATGTGAGAACTGAACCACTCCAGGCATTATCCTCCTCGGCACCATCCCCTCCTTCAAGGCAGCAGCATCCAGGCCAGCCCATCGCGGTGGCGTGGTCCTTGCTGCTATTTGTACTTCCTTCTGTGCTCCCACTTGGGTTTCTATGCAGCACCACGTCACCGGTGGTCTCCGAGCTTCTAGTGCTGCTAAACTTGGGAAAATCCCACGGCCACCGAATCGCTGCGGGGATCCTCTCCGCCAGCCCGTCTCTCACCGCAAAATCCCCCGTCCATCCATCGGGCTCGCGATCTTTCCCTTATGCACCGTCCCTGAACTACTCGCTATTTGATTGTTTTATTCCCCTTCTTCTTCGCTTCTGTCACCTTAGCTAATCGTCGAGATCTCCTTCACTTTCCTCTTTTCGTCTTCCCCCCCCCCGCCCGCCGCCCACGGGATGTTGCATGCCCTCCAGCAGCGCCTTTGGTGGTTTGGCACAAGCGCCTAGTTAGGCATTCGACCAGTGAGAGTTGCATTCCTCGATATCTCTTAAGCGCCAGACGAACATCAATCGGGTCTCGGGTCATCCGACAACCCCTTCCTTTCGTGACATTCACTTGGGAAGCTGACAACTCCTCCGTCATTTCTCTTTACTTTTTTTTTGAAACGAGGTAACTAGACGAAAATATCAACCGATCGGACAGTGGGGACGAGAGCAGGAAACAAGGGGTGGAAAGGAAGAACGACAACGCTCTATTGCCGTCTTCCACCCTTCCTTTCACCTCTTTTCGAAACCTTTCCACCTTCTTCCACATAATGTTTCTACCGCTGAGACTAAATGAACGAGATCGCGATAGGGACCGGGAGAGAAAGACTTCTTCATCTTCGACCCTTTCATCCAAATCAAGACCACGCAAGAATCGCTCGTCCCACGGACAAACCTCCCGCACTTCAACCAAGGAACGCGACCCCGACGCTCCCACGGGCCGCGCCTCAACCCCTTCCACATCTACTTCCAATTCCCGCAAACAGCGCCGGTCCTCCATGCCTGGGGTCGACAGCGCCAGCCGCTCGGGCACAGCCTCGTTCCTCGAGTCGAGGACCAGCCTGCCATACCCGACGTTCTCCAAAGCCCACAGTAAAGAAGTCGTCGGCAAACCGAGCATCCCTACACCAGATCCGACCGACCTGACAGAGGGAGGTAAAGAAGGTAGCAATGGAAATACGAAGGACCGTGTCGATAATAACAACCAAGCGCCCCCCAGTCCGCCGCTGACGAGTGTGGACCAGCAATCACACAAGGCAAGCACAGTTGGTAGTAAGGAGGAAAAGGGAGCGGAGGAGAAGCCAGAGAAGCCAAAAACAAAGATTCGGATTAGAGCTGAGTCCACGCGGTCTTCCTCAAGTCTGCGGTCGAAGAAGGATGACAGTTCCAAGACGAGCAAGCCAACACGGTCGGAGACAGTGAAACCAAAGCGCTCCAGCTATGAGACCGATTTGCCGTCACGGACGGCCAGCCGCAATTCGACTCGGTCAAAGATCGTAGAGGAAGCGGCTTCCCCTAAGCGGTCATCCAGCCATGCCACTCCCCCTCGCTCCCCCGCGACAGTGCGCGACGTTGGTCCGGACTCCGCAAATGGATCGGACGCAACCATTGCGCCGCCTCATCAGTCTACAACTTCTCGCAAGCCGAAGAGTCCAGAGAAGCCGCCATCACGCAATCAGACGCGATCGTCGACCTCATCGCGCCCGAGTTTTGGGGCTCGTACACCGGTTGACGCAGCCTATGATTATGGACGACCCCCTACGGCGAGCTCTGCCTACGGCGCTCCACCACCACCGCCGCCTCCTCCCGAAGTTCCTGTCTCGATTCCGAAAGTGGACTATCTTCTACAGAATGGTGGGCTAGATCATCGTGTTCCAAAGTCTATGCTCGGTCCTTCTGTTCCCGAAAACTCGCCGTATGCGCCTTCGCCTTCTCAATCCGCAGCAACCAAGATTTTTGAGCCGTTCAACCGGCTTCTTGAGGATTACAATAATGTAATGGCTAAGAACGGGTCGCTAGCAGTTGCCACGGGGTATCGGTCTGTAGCGCGCCGCCTGCTCGATCGCTTGGAAGCGGTGTTCGCCCGTGACATTTCATGCGAGTACTGCAGTTGTCTGATGTGTGAGCATGGGACAATGGAAGAGCGTCCGTCAGGCGTCAGCTGGGGTGAGGTATTGGAGCTTGTCTCCGGCCGTCGTGAACTTCCCAGCTGGCCGGCTTTCATATTAAATCCGGCCGTGGTCGACGCGAATTGGTCTGGGGAGGAACATATTCCGATGCAGAAGCTGGACATTGATGTGCCGGAGGAGTATCGCGATCACTTTATTCGTCAGTCGCGCAAGACGAAAGTTGCTGTGGACAAGTGGCTCAATGAACAACCCGGTCAGGCCACGAGCGCGCCTGAAGAGGTAGATGACGAAACGCTGACCTTTGCCATTTTAACCCATCTCGGACCTCACGAACGTCAACTATATTCCGCTCTTCTCGGCCTCGGCTCTACAGTGCCTACACCACGACCGGAGGGACCACCGCGTCCCCGACCCGCACCATTGGTGTCATCGTCGCTCGCCATCCAGCGGCTGTACCGATTGGCCTCCCCTCCGCGGGATCCCGAAGCCGCCATCTACATGCTTAACAATCCAGGCATGCACCATGTTCTCGCCACCTTGGCAGCAATCAGTGACGACGAGTGGGATATTCTTATTTCGGGTCGGTTTGATGGTTTTCTGCGGAGTGGTGCTGAAGACGCCTTCCCCGGCGCCCCAGGTTCAACCCCACCACGTTATAGCTACAGTCGATCCAACACTCCGTTCACCACCGGCGGAATTTCGCGTGGCCCGACGCCAAACCCAGTTGACGGAGGGATCCGACCAGCTAGCCAGCCATATGGCCCGTCTCCCTCGCCTGCCCCAGCCTCATTTGGTGGCCCGATCGCCCTGGACGAGGAAATGGAAATTGCGGCTCTGGCGGAGATTGAACGGGACATCTACCTTGGTATGGAGGCACTTGAAGATGCTTTTGAGGCCCTTCACTGCAAGGCAGAGGTGGTGCGTCGCGCGCTCCGCGAACGGGGCGCAGGGCTGTCGATTGCAAACCAGAACCGTCGCGGTTCCTACGTGGAGGCTCGCCTGGGAACTCCAGCCTCCGGCCTAGGCGTATGGGATGATGGTGGAGACGACGACTTTTTGGACGATGCCGTATCATTGGCCCCAGATGACTCGGCAAGCAACATCAGCTCCAACCGCCGACGCCGTCCAAAGCGCCGTACTGAACGACGGACACCTGCACCTGTTGAGGAGGAAGACGAGGAAGAAGTATACGACAGTCGACGAGGCTCCCGGAGAAGATGATCGAACTATGGAAATAGTCCCTTAACTGGTGGCCGACTCTTTCCAACCCCTACGAAAAACAATCTGAACAACACAACCGCATCCGCATGGTTCTCTATTTTAGTTCAATTCTTTCAGCGTCATGACGACATTTACACGAGCGCATGGAACCACGAATGCATGAATTGCGACGAGATGAAATGAAATGATATGTTTAAACGCATCGAAGACTTGAGGAAGTCGAAATGGCGGGTGTGTATGTAACTGACATGCACGACACCTAATGTTTATGTATTTTAACGAAGTTTCCTTTCTTTCTTTCTGTTCCTGTTCCTCCGGCTTTCTTGTTTCTCGATTCCCATCAATTGCTGACAACGATAATGGCTTCGTTGTACATACGCCCCTGATGTTATGACTTTATGAATCGGTGAATACCAGCTGCATATAGGTGCCTTTATAGTTAGATATTGTGCTTGAATAGTATATTTGTGGTCTATGCCGTCTGGTTTCGACCTCAATATCATGCCTATTCTCTTTCCACTTTTTCTCTGTGAATGATAGTAGCATTAGGCAACACTTGCGTGAATGCCCATCAACTTAGAGTCCACCATGACATGACACTCAAGAAATTCTTTCTCATAACACACCCACCTACAGTTTACTACTCGACCACAGAAGTAATAAGCAGCGCAAGAGGGCCACGTGCTAAATCGATTAAATAGATTTTTAGTTCACTGCAATTGATAGGGTGAAAGCCTTCCGAAATATAGTAGTACCTCGAAGTACTATCTATCGTATAGTTCACACTTAATGATGTTTTATCCGGGGCTTGAATGCTGAGTATCGAACTTCAATTTGGTTACTGACCTACTAGTAACATTTTGTTCACATAGAATTGGTTACTATTAACTACTACGTAGTAGCTTATATATATCATGTTTCACTAGTAGTAGTATGTCCAATTCAGTCGGTATATTATATAGGATGTTAGTGCTAGTATATTACACACCTCACCTTGTGTATATACATATCAGTATGCACTAACAACGTTCCTATATTCCCAGAATAATCTCAAAGATCAGGTATTCTTGGATTGAGCATCATGTATACCTACTAGTGAATAACTGTGAATACATGATATTGATACTATGATTTCTGTGCGGGCTGAGGGGAGAAAATATATCTTCATGAAGTGAAGTGAGTAAACCGACTTGAGGCACTATTTGCAACAACTACCAGGAACTTCCTTGTGGAAAAAGATGAATTGTTTCATAAGTCATTGGACTCTATAATATAACTATTTGCCAAGGATATTTCCTCGAACACGCTTCTTCGCCGGGTTAGTTCTTTCATAAAAATCCGTCAACTTAGTTGTTCTTTATAACATAGCGAACACTCTACAGGAGAATACTAGGAACAATTATACTACTGAAATCAGAAATACCTTCTCTTACTGTGCTAATAACTAGTCTTTATGGTCTAGGATCGAATATATGTTCAGTTTTCTCTTCAGTAGCAGGCTCGGCACCATTCTCTCAAACAACCACACAGCGACTTTTTATGAGGCGCAAAAGCAAGGGAAGCAACTCCATTTCGAACCGCACTATTCCAGAAATGTATGTTTATTCTGCGGGGAAGAAACGAGACGGGAGGTTATACGAGGTGGGGGAATCCGGTGGCGCACTTCCTTTCCTTTTCTCCCACAGACCAACGAAGGATAGAAATCAGTGAATACGAAGCGGGGAAAGATTCAACGTTGATTGATTGAAATCTTGTTGGTTGTATTCCTTTCTTGTCCTTTGTACCCCGCATTGTGTGTTTGTGGTGGCTTCCTTGCATTGTTCCTGAGGCGTTCCATTTCTCGAAGTTCCGTACTAAGAAAGGTTCCCCTCGACGACAACAGATACTACTGTGCGGAGAGGGAGCTAGTAAGTAAATCAAGGGGGAGAGAGGCACGTGCAATGTAGCAATGGCAATGCTATGGTACTGCTCCAGGGCTGTCTCAGACGTGTGTTGTTCTCTTTGGTTCAGTGATTCAATTAGTTTCGCAGAGGAAATCAAGGAAGCCTAGCAACGCTGCTGAGGTAGCTGGTATGGTCAGAGTCACTATAGGGGTAGTGGTCCCATCTCCTTTCTTCATAGCAACTAATTTCTCACTCATCATCACAAGGTTCAGGGCATAAAAGTGTGCTCCAAGCTAAGCCCAACTCAGTTATTCCTCATCTTGACACGAGTCGGAGCATTCCCACCCCAGATTCGCTGCTCCATAGCTTGGACGATTGCGACCTTCCGGATCAGCTTCGATATCCGTGCATTCTCATTACCTTATCAGTTCCAATTGCTTGATACTCGTGCGACTTACTGCATCCGGTTCAAGATCAGCCATTGAGTATCCATGGTTCATCCAGAAAATGGATCTCGTAGCCACAAGGTTCTTTGGTTCCGCTCCCGGGAAGGGAGAAAAACAAAATAGAATTTCGGCAGCAACTCTTCCGAGTAAGCACGGCTCGACTTGATCTTGGGTTTGGATGGACTATGGAGTGTGAAGAGGGGCGAAAAGGGGAGGCCGGGTTAGCCCATCAACAGGGCAACACTAGTTGCGATAGCCCTGCAGTTTTATCGAAGTTAATCCCCGCCTTGTTCTTTGTTTTATTCCCTCCTCTGTTTAAAGCTAAACCCGCAGTTGACTTTCGGTGGCCGGCCGGAGACTTTGTGAGGGGCTGTCATTGGTGTCGTTTGCTGGAGACGAGAATGCCGAAAGCTACCATATTCCATGGTGGGAACATTATCGCTAAATAGTAAGGTCTCGGCATTCGTGGAACTAGCTCCCGAAAGTAGAAGCCACCAGGGCAGGATTCAGCGAGACGGCAATAGGAAGCAGAGTCTTCGCAAATGTAAACTTATTCTCCACATCACCGAGCCATGTGAGACATAAAGGTGAAGAGCATGTTGGCGAACAGAGAGAGTATGTCTTTCCACGCGACTGCCCAGGCGGGAGCCAGTTGCTTTTTGATCGGCCGTTTAGGCAAGACACCATAGCATCTGCTGCTTACTCTCTTTCTGCCAGAAGGCCATTTGACACCAGCGGATAACAATGCTCGAGCGTTGTAGCATAACGCAGTTGTACATAATATAGGAGAACCCCTCTTGATGATTGACACCGGGCTGGGCTTACCGATTTCACGGGACTTCGGCTGTTCGAGACGATGAGTCCCACACCGTATGAATGGCTCCTTGGACGCTTGGAGGCCTTCCGCCGGGGCCCTGAAACGGGACTGGGCCGAGTCAGGACGCTGGCATGGAGGGGCAGCCAAGTAATTTGACTGGAGACTGCCAAGAGGTGAAGAGATTTTATTCGACCCCTTTCCCAGGTGTCAAGGTTTCGTAGCTTGAGCCCATGAGGCAATGACTTCCATGCAAGCAAGCAAGCAAGCAGCCACCAAGGCAACCACAAGGCATAACTACATAAAGTTATTGTGATGAGATAATCTAAATTAAGTTGAGCCGAAGTCTTTGTTAGTTCGAGATGATTCTGAAAGACGGGTAGTTAGGCCATGGACAATTACCGTAGGGAGCGGCCAGAATGTCGATCGCTTGGCAGTAGCGGAACGTGATGCCTGGTTCTGCCGGGCTGCCGACACTAAAGGCGAAAGGCGCCAAGAACACTCCTCTTCATGGTAGCAATAATAGTGATCGCCACCAATTGTGGAACCCCCTTAACGGCCATGACAACTTCGTTCCAGCGTAACGGTAATAATCCAGTGGTTATGGACACTATTCTGAGCCGCGGTCTACTGGAAAAGGAAACTCGTCGACGACATCCTACCTGAACTCGCTGTGCTCGTGATAGCAGGCATGTGCTGGATCGACAAGATCTAGCATGGAGCAGATCTGTTCAGCGCTGACCCTGAGAGATCAGCAAAAAGTGCTTTAACTGCACGAACGACACGTGAAAGGTATCTGTATCTGCTTGAGTCCACATATTCTACGTGGCACTGGCCAGGCATATATGATCGAATCTCGAAATTCCTGGAGAGAAGAAGCATTGCCCCTTTTGCGCACTTGCGTGCCAACATGTCGGGTCAAGATTGCATTAATTGAAGCCTTTCAGTACTGCTAATACATGCTTGAGAAGATTTCTTCCTGGGTCCTATGCCTTCTGGCATGGTGCTGCTTGCGATAGACTGCCCCGCGGTAGAGTTCACAATCAATGCCGTTTCCCTTGTAAGCGGGCCACTTCGTAAAGTCTATTGAACTTACAAGTTGGGAGCACGTTCATGCACAGAGCCATGATCTTCATGATGACATGTCAGCCTACCCATGATAGCATATGATAGCCCGGACTTGGCAGGTGCATCTTGCTGTTTTGGTATGGCCTTTCGGTGCAATTAGCGCCAAAAACCCCTAGAGCTTATGCTGTGATCTTCCTGAGACCACCCATTTTAGCACCTTACGATTCATGAAGTCGCTTGAGATGGTCTCATTATTGGAAAGGGGGCCTTCGCATTTCAGCACCCGGCAAGATGACTGTTTCTGACGGTCGTCAATTCAGTACTACACTCGTCTGTCAAGCACAGTGAAGATCAAGATACGCCTGACAATCAGCCTGTTGATAAATCCAAGTTGTGAACACATCTTCCATGGATTAGACCAGGATTGTCAAGGGTCCACGAAGCTTTCGAGGCTCTGCGCCGAGGGTTCAAGTGTGCGACCATGATAATCCGGTCCAAACAGAACAGATCAGAGTATACATAGTATTATCGGGACAGGATTTGGGGATACATCAGCGGGGCCTGTTCCCCTAGACTTACCAATGGAAGAAGCTCATTAGCCAAGGAGCGGAGGTGTGTACCAAGGAATCTTATGTAGGCTAGTCCGAGGATTCTGCAAGGGCACCGTACCTAGTATGAAGAAGCAGTATGGACTTATACACCCATCCCAAAGGAAATGCGTCGGTGAACTTGGTAGTACGAGAGCAGACGCAGATGACGCGAATTGAGTTAGGAGCGTCACTGGAGCGATACACCTGATAGAACACAAGCTGCATCGCGAACCAAGCCAAGACAACGGAATAACACGACTATTGCCATAGGCAGAGACTTCCTCAGGCTCGACAAAATGAGCAATGCATTCCCGACGTGGTTGTAGAATGGAAGGAGTACTTTTGTCAAGCCAGTGGGAACCATGGGAGTGCGTGATTCGTCGACACCTTCCTCTTGTGGGCAATAGCGCCGGTCCACAGCCGGTATTGGGTTGATTAAAAACCGTTGGCTGGTACGAATCTCCACTCAGTTTGGCTATAGCTTTTTGCGGACACCGCTGTATTCCTAGACTGCAGAATAGATATTCGAAGAAGCACCAAGATGAGGGGAGAAGTTTTCCTGACCCGTGAATTGGTGTTCGAAAGGAACCTTTGTACCTTCTGTAATTGTCCTTTTTGACGTTGACTAGACCATGAACCCTTCGGTGGGAGCCGCCAAAACCTGTATAGACCAGTTGTTCTCTTTCACTTTTTCCAAAAGCGACATACCAGGCAATGATCAAATTAGACGATAAGGTAGTGCATAGCACAGAGGACATTGTACTACTAGTAGTGAAAAAGGTTCCTTATCAACCTCTCCTAATGCGCTGACCAGGAATCCATTGATACTCAACGCTAAACGGACCTATGTTGGTGCGATTGCAGCCGCGACGGTATCAGATCACTCCCCATGGGAAGAAACCACAGTGTAGTTCCCCAGTGAGCCGCGTCACCTGAGGTGAACTTTGGCACAATTCGACCAAGATGCCTTCTCTGTTAGTGGTGACGGCTCTTGAAACTTATTCGAAGGCGCTAGTGTATCCCGCTTATTAAAAATGTTCCACACTTAAGTTGCTGATTAGCCGCAACAAAACACACATGCAGAACACCGCACTGACAACGACTGATGAAATTACACACACTCAGAACCCGTCGGAGACACTTCTATATTTGCATGGTGTCATTACATCTTACACGTACGATCAGCGAGAAGGTCTTTGCCGTGTGTGCTCATGCCATTCCATGGTTCCGCCCACAGATACCGCTTCGCAGCCGTGAGACCCAGAACATCTGGCATTCCGATGCTGCCGCTCAGGGACGATCGAGACCCAGTGCAGCTGGAGGCGGGTGCTTGCTTGACCCAATCGTTCTGTCCAAGTCAGCGATCGCCACGATCCTGCCTTTGTGCTCCTGCGTGATTATTTCCTCTTTCTTATCTCCAGAGGTAATCGATTACCCAAACAGAAAAGCAACCTAGCGTCGTGATTTACACTTGTAGTAACCAGGTGGATCCTCCGAATCAATTTCTAAGCCGATCCGCGAAGCGGGACCTTCAGGCTTCTGGAATCAATGGCATGGCACGCTCAATGTCCCTCTCGGGGATGCTAACGCGATGCCGACTGGGGCGTTTCCCGCTATGCCAGGGAGAAAATTTGCGCTCCAACATGGCCAAAGAGGTCGAATATACTTTTGTTTTTCTATTTCGGTGTGTTGTTGTTGTTGTTGTTGTTGTTGAGAGAGCTGTTTAGTCGAGATCCGCCCTCGTCGCTTGTCTGTCACACTGTGCAACATCGCTTACAAGGAAAAAAGACTGGAGTTCTGGTGACAGAAATTGTACCCGCGGCCATGGTACTGCATGGAGAATGGTCACTTCTGTTTGGCCCAAGTTTGACTCGCGGACCGCTTTCCTTTGGCCGCGGCACAAGTCGAACCCACAATTATGCTCCTCGCAGACCCGAGGCCCCGTCTGAAAGCTTCTTCCCCTGACACCCTGCACCTTTGATAGGCTGATTCTACACGGCCTAACAATGGTGGTTTGAAGTTCATACTTGAAAAGTGTGTCATCTGCGCCGGTTGCCAGACCGGTGGCAAGATAATCATACTCTCTCCTAAACCCATTCCACCTACGTATCTACCTGGATACTGTGTAGATAGTCGAAATTAGGCTCCCGGAACCAGTCCGTACCAGCCGCTAGTAGACTAAACATTCCGAACCAAAAAACCACGTTCGTCCCCTACGCTTGGCACCGGGTCTGCCATCCAAACTTCAAGGTTTCCGGAACCAATTGAAGATACTGCTAGGCCGCTATAGGTCAGAGTACGTGCTGACCTGGTCGACCTTCCCAGTTGAGAGCCCCCTGGTTTTGACTTCCGTGAGGGGCAACCCTGGGGGGCTTTCTCTCCAATAGGCCAGCACGGGATACGTCGGCCCAGACCGTGATATGGGGTAGACTAGTTTCGAGACACTGATTGACTTCCTAGTTTGCACTCTCTACTTTCGTAGGCTCATGGGCAACAGAATCTAAACTATTCTGGCGACGAAAAAAAAAAGCTTTGCGTGGTAAAGGGCTGGCCCTCCACAGCATATCCACTCCCCGTGCCGGTAGTTTAGCCTTCCATGTGTGTGTCTCTGTGCGTGTGTGGCTCGTCCATTTCCTACTTCCATCGCGCAATGTCCCCTTTCCCCTCTTCTTTTACTTTTCGACTGATCCTTGGATAGTCCTGGCAAGTAAGTGCGAAGGCTTAACCCCTGAACTGAACACAAATCGGCCTTCACACTGCTGTGCCCATTCTTGAGCATTCTAGATACGACAATTCAGGACTTCTCTAGATCGCCTCAACTCTTTATCTTCCATCGGGGGCTGCTTCTACAAAAGCCACCGCCCTGGCTCCCAGGCCCAGCTGCAGCTTTCTCCGTCGCCTGAGGAAGAGAATAATGACAGCAGCCCACCCCGGCTTCCGATTTACAAAACCCGATCAACAATGAGTCTTGTACATGTCCTGAGTGCCCTGGGGGCATTCGATGAAGGGGGGCGAGACCTCTTCCGCCGAACGATCTATGGCCCGGGTGGCGTCACTCTGGACATTGATCCCCTCCCCAGCACTCAGCGCAAAGGTCTCATTGCAGTCTCTGTCATGGCAGTTTTATCCTTCGTAGCGACACTGGCCTTGATCTGTTTCATCAGCTACCGACTCATCTTCTGGCGCGGTTCATATGCGCGGTACATCGGTTACAATCAATATGTCATTCTCATCTACAACCTCGTTTTGGCCGATCTCCAGCAAGCGCTCGCATTCCTGATCTGCATCAAATGGATTGCAGAGGATAAAATATCCGCGGATTCGGCAGGTTGTTTCCTCCAGGGATTCTGGCTGCAGGTAGGAGACCCCGGAAGTGGACTTTTTGTCCTGGCGATCGCCTTTCATACCTTCCTGCTCGTGGCTCTTGGGCGGAAAATGAGCCATAAAGTCTTCGTCAGCTTCGTAATTGGAGTTTGGATCTTTGTGGCTGTCCTTGTTATCATCCCCCTTGCTGCTCACGGCCGTTACGTCTTTATCCCATCAGGTGCCTGGGTAAGTCAACCTCTGCCATCGAATTGGGCCAACAACTAAGATTTTGCGCCTCTAGTGCTGGATCAGCGAAGATTACGAATCGATCCGTCTCTGGACGCACTACATCTGGATTTTCTTGGCCGAGTTCGGTACGGTCTGTCTGTATGCTGTGATGTGGTTCCAGCTCCGGGTCCGGATCAAGCAGTCCGCCATTCTGGGCAGCAGTCACATCGAAAGTCTCAAGCGCCTTCGTCGCGTTATCGGATACATGGTCATCTATCCGATCGCCTATATTGTCCTTTCGCTCCCTCTTGCCGCAGGTCGAATGGCGACCGCGCAGGGCAACTCCCCCAGTATAGCCTACTTCTGTGTTGCCGGTGCCATGATCACCAGTTCTGGACTGGTCGACGCCCTGCTGTACACCCTGACCCGTCGAAACCTGATCTTGGAATCGGAACCCAGTCACGATCGCAGCTACAACCGCTTTGCGAGCAGCAAGGGCCGGAAGACCGAAAACCATCTGACCACCATCACCGCGGATCCCAAGATGAACCGGACGGATATCAGCGCTCTGCGCAAGGGCGTCCGTGATGAAGACGACGATCTCGAACATACCGTGCGCGACGGTTCCACCGACAACATTGTGCAGACTGCCGGTGTTGAACTGACCCCGATGGGCAAGGTGTACCAGCACACCACGATCGAGATCACCTCCGAACCTGCATTCGACAATGGAGTCGAAGAGAGCAGCGATCGCTCGAGCAAGGATTCAGACCGCCACCATGGGAGAATCAATGACTCGTCAGCACGGATGTGGGGAAGATAATCACCCACTCAATGTCCTTTTCGAAATAATGCCCTTTTCATTATTTTTTTTTTTTCTATGTTATACTTTTTACGCCTATCTTTGTACTACTATATACGGCTTTATTGTATTCTTTGTGGTGGCGGCTATCTCAGGTTCCCCCCCCCTTATCAATACTCTCACTCCGACGACTTTGACCCCCCACATCCTTCCTCTTTCTGCGATCTCCGCGGAGAAAGCATCCCTATCTACCTTTCATATTGCATACATTATTATGCACATGTATATACCTTGCACCGGATATTTCCTTATCTTTCTTCTTTTCTCAAATACCTTCCAGGAATGATACCATACTCTTTTCTCCTCTTACGTTCAACTTGGCAGATAAGATATGATGCACTGCGAAATCGATAAAAGTTAATGAAGAAATTTCATTTGTGGAGATTTTTATCTTTCCCCTTCGCCTTTTTTCCATCTTGTACACTAATTCCTTCACATTCTAAAAGTACTCGACTTCTACATTCAAGGATACGTCTAAGTAATAGTATACTATGACGAGAGAGCCATGCTTTGGTGGGCAGGCTGTCTCGAATTATATAAAGTACTACTCGACCAGTCATTGTCCTACACCGCGTATGAAGAGAGTAAAGACCACGAGACCTTTGTAATGGCACATAATGGCGTAGTTGAGAGACGCGTAGCTGATTAGAATCATGGGCGACCGGTATTCTATTGATAAGGTAGTAGGTAGCCTAGCCAACAGGTTTACTTATAATCACGGGGAGGGTTTAGACTAGACGTATCAATAACCAGTTATTCGCGGAGCCACATACGACTCTCGTGATGAGATCTAGTGTTTTTCTTTTTTCTTTCCTCTTTTTGTCTCGTTTCATGTCGAATTTCTCGCGCCTTAGTTTATGAAATAAATATAGTATGAGAGGCTAGAGGGAGTAGCTAGTTGGTAGGTTGTAGATACTGGTATGCGAGAATAATTTATAAATTATTTCTTGCTAGGGACTCGGGAGGAAGAGCTGTACCGGGGATTCTTGGATAGTGAGGTGTTTCACGTTGGTGAGAACTTCGCTGGCTGGTCAGTCAGTAACTATATCTTGTTCTTTTCTAATCAGAGCAGTGTTTTGCAACTTGCTTCCAAGCTCCTTAGGTCAATCTCGTTCGGGAATCACTTGTATATGAAAGATATGTCTGAACCTCACTTTATGTTTCAATGTGACCGCCCGGATGCGATGGCGATCTGGATCGCTGCGGTGCGAGCGAGATACTCAAATCGTGGCATTTATTAGCGTTACACAGTATAACGCCTCCCCATCAATTGGAATTCAACCGTAGCTCAATCCTGGCCTCTCTCGGTGAGACCACTTGTGTCTAAAAATCATACGAGTCCTCTGTTGTACTTCTAGTCTTGACAGTCGTGAAGAAAAGTGCTTCATGCTTGTCATGGGGTTTGAAAACGCATTCTCTTGCTGTTCGCGCTTTATCATCTTATCGCTATCGAGTTGATTTCCTCATTATTGGATGTGGTGACATTTTGAATGATGAGATACTGATGTCACAAAATTCGTGAGAACGCTGGAGTGTTATCAAGAAAGGTTTCCTGGTCCCGAATGATCGAAGACGGGGAATGGATGGTATTTCGTGGGCAGAATAACCCCGAGTGGAGAGCGGGGGTGGAGCCGGAACCCGAAGAACAAATGAAGAGCATACGTCCATGACTCAAGGGCGTGCCCCGGATTGACGGATAAGTAAATCCTCGATTCCCATTATTCTTGCAGGAAAGAAAAATTAAAAAAATTTCAGGCCTTTGCGACTGATAACTGCGTAAGGTGACTCACTTTCGACATGGAGCGACAGGTTGCGCTGTGCGTGGCGACCGCCGTGGCGATCTGGGTTTTGCAGGTATGCATGTCTTCAGCGCAGCATGTCCTCTTGCAGATGCACCCTACCATGAGGCAGTTACTGACCAATAGTATAGATTGCTTACAAGTTGCTCAGATCTCCCCTTCGTCACATACCGGGACCTCTGTACACAAGAGTAACTAGGCTTCCACTGAAGTTCTCGATCGTTACAGGGAGGCGCATCTACTTCATCCACAACCTGCACCAGAAGTATGGCCCGGTGGTGCGTATTGCTCCGGACGAGGTCTCTGTTTCCTCACTGCCAGAGTTCAAAGAAATCCATCGCGTCGGGTCGGCCTTCCTGAAGACCCCATGGTATCAGAAATTCGCCTGGGACCGAAATCCGGGACTTTTTACCATGCGGGATCCCAAGGAACATGCTGCGCGTAGGAAGTTGTTTGCACGTGTATTTTCGAAATCAGATTTACGACGAACTTGGGAACCCGTGGTGAAGGAGAAAGTCCAGTTAGCAGTGTCGCAGATACGCGGTGAATTGCTGCGGGATGGAACCTCCGATATTCTGAAGTGGTGGACTTTTCTCGCCACCGATGTCAGCGGACACTTGATGTTTGGTGAGTCATTTGACATGCTTCAGTATGGAAAGGTGAGCTATCAAAGTGACTATTCCTGCATGAGAGGCTCGGCTAATTGTCAGAAAAACGAATATATCAATGTTTTGGAGTCCACAATGATGGGTTCGGGCATCAATGTAGAGCTTCCCTTTGTGGGACTCCTAGGCCGATATGTCCCACTTGCATCTTGCCAGGCGATGTTTCGCCCCAGCGACTATCTTACTGAATATGGAAGGCGCGCTGTGTCAAACAGTCGAACGAATAGCAACTCCACTCGAAATATTTTCACGGGAATGCTCAATGAATCGGAGAAGGCAAGCAGCATGCTTTCCGAGGAGGATGTGGTAATCGAAGCGGGCAACCTGATCGTGGCTGGCTCAGATACCACAGCAGTCACGTTGACGTACCTGGTATGGGCTGTGCTGTCGCAGCCCACGCTTCAGCACGATCTGGAAGAGGAGGTCAGTGCGCTGGACCCGAACTATAACGAAGCTGCACTGGAGGAACTGCCGCTCCTCAATGCCGTCATCACAGAGACACTACGGCTTTATGGAGCAGCTCCAGGCTCCTTGCCTCGGAGCGTCCCGAATGGCGGAGTGACCTTTTGCGGATATCACGTTCCTCAAGGAGCGACGGTAAGCACGCAAAGTTACACCATTCACCGTGATGAGGAACTTTATCCTGATCCTGAAACCTTTGATGCCACTCGCTGGTTAGGAGGTCATGGCAATGGTTCCGATGTAGCCAAGCAGGCACTCTCCCCCTTTGGATACGGAACACGAATCTGCCTCGGGGTGCACCTAGCTTGGATGGAGCTTCGCTTAGCAGCAACCGAGTTCTTCCGTGAGTGTCGAGGGGTGCGATTGGCGTCAGACACAACGCGGGAGAGTATGAAGCCGGAAAACTATTTTCTGATCGCTCCATCTGGACATCGATGTGACATTGTACCTCAGTAGACAGACTATTCTCAGTAGGCTGCACGAGGTGTCATTCGCTTGGAACACTGCTCTGCAGACAGCTCGCCTAGCGGCAGGAAGCGCGTGAGTGGAGAGGAAGGAGGGTGGTTTTATGGAGATAGTGGCGATCCGGTTATCCGGTTCGGAATGATGGACAGGACAGGGGGACCAATGCTAAATGGACCTGCAGAATGATTGGGTGGATGCAGAGCCGAAGCAGTGAGGAACTCCATGGGTGCAGGGAGAATAGAAGGAAAATGGCCGAAGTGGTGAAGAGTATTAGAACTACTCCGTACTTAGTAGCGGTCGAGAGGGGCTGTCCGTGTTTCCGTGCCGTGGGTCCAACTGCAGCTTCGGCCGAAGCGACATGGAATCACGAAAAGAAGACCATTACTCGGTCCAGCCCGCCAACCACACGGGGTCTGGCCGGGCTGCTCAATTCTCCACCGCCAGACTTGAACAAGCCTGAACAGGTACAACCTTTGGTTCAATCACGGGCTGCAGTCTCCTCTTCCCAAATGACCCCCCCAACTTTGGAATGTCCTTCTCATCCTCTCATCTGTCAGCTGCTGTATCTAGTAGTTATCTACTGCTCGTAGTGTCAACGAAGTACTCCGTCTGTCCAATACTTAATAGTAACTATGGGCCCTGTCTTCTAAATCAGACTAGCAAGTAACCTACCGCGGGTCTGGCCGTACCGGCGGCTGCTGCCAAGCTTGTTGCAAGGGCGCAGCTCTCGTGCGCCATGAAGCAAATCCCACCTCAACTCTATCCCCGAATGTTGCCCCTCTCCGCGGCGTTAGCCTGCCTGTCGGGATTTGAAAGGCCTGATGACCACCATATAAAGATTTTTCGAACGGCTGACTGGGGTTTGCTTCTCTTTTTTCCCCTCTTCTCCCCGTCTCATCATCCTCATGCGGAATAGTACCGTCTTGACAATGGGGGAGCGATGACAATCAAAACCAAACCAATAGAAGCCAGGCGACGGCGGCGTCTGGATCGGGATCTGGAGGAAATCTCGACCCAATCGGGTGACAATGCTGGGTAGGTGTTAAGAACAGATGGCGGGAGGGACTATCAACTAGCGATTGAGTACTAGTCCTGTCACTACTTGGTGCTACTGCTCACTTCGCTGTCCACTACTGGCCGGTCCGATCGGGTTCATGGATTATCCGGGGGGTTGCTGCAGTAGTTCGGACGGAAACCTGACTGATCCTTTGCTTTGACAGCCGTGGGGGGCGCTTCCGTTCCTATGGCTCGGGTCCCAAACTGTGTTTTGGCCCCTTCGTCAGGAATCCCTCGAGCGTCTATATATTCCGTGCTAAGACGACAGCATCAACGCCAGAGACTCCCAGCCCGCGCATACTAGATGCCAAGGCCATGTCAGATCCGCAGTCGGCTCACCATGGGCCCTCAACCAAAGGACCCTCCTCTGCGGGGACAGCATCAACTCTGCATGGCAACGGTATACTTCCTGCCTTTTTCCCCCCATATCCTCTTCTTTCTCTTCGGCTGCTAGACGGTTACTAACCCGCTGGCTTTAGAATGGATGCAGAAACTAGCTAGACTGTGTGGCCCCAGCGCTACCCTGCGCAATTTGGGAACACCAATGGCAGAAATAGAGTCCATGTTTGACTCTGTCTTCCCCCGAAACCCAGTCGAAACGCTTCGGGATTTCCAGTCCGCTCAGCCCGTCAACGCGGTCCAGCTATACGGCAGCAATGAGGACATGTAAGCTGGGAAGACCAAGACAAGGCATCGATTGCCACTGATATGGTGCAGATTGAATGCATACTACATTTTTATACATCCGTACTATCCCATTCTTCCTCCGCCTGATCGTTTGCCTGTCATCCACAATCCAGCTGGGGTAGACCATCCTGATGGATTCAAGCCGGCGAGTCCGCTCGCGCTAGCCATCTCAGCCATGGTGGCGCTGGTACCCCATAAAGATGTGAAAAATCCTGCTAGACCAGAACATGTCAAGATACGAAGAGAGGTTGCGTTGCGATTTGCCGAAGCTGCCTATGCAGCTATTGCTAAGGATTACCAGCCGCTACGGGCTCCCGGCGGGTTCGAGGGCTCCTTGAGGGATTCGATCGGTCGGCCACCTTTTCATTCCAAGCTCCCTGTGTGTCTGGAAGGTGTTATTGCACTATCTATCCTATGCTTCTACGAATATGGCCAGCAAGGGAATCTCGATAACACGGCAAGGCTAGCAAATGAGGCGTTGGAGATGGCCTTCATGCTTGGACTGCATGAATCACTGGAGGAGAATGAGTATGCCTTAGCCCGCCGCAGGTCATGGTGGTTTGTGGTTGGTTTTGCTGCCCCTTTTTTTATCCATACAGCGCTAATTTGGTAGTATATGGCCGCAAGCCATATGGCAACTGTGACGGGCACGGTGAGTGCTACATCTAGAAACAAGGAGGACCATTGACTTATTTTGCAGCCGGCTCCATTCGACGTGTACGATCCTTCATTCGTGACCCCGTATCCAAAGGTGCGTTTCCGTCTAGTTCGATGAATCCATGTTTATGCCTTTTAGGGCTGGAGGCTCCGAGTTGAAGCCCAACAAGCTTTATATGAAGCTGGCATTTTTGCTGTTGAGCTTGACGAGACTATACGACGTAGAGAGGATGCCTCATGGATTCAAAAACGAATGACCGAGCTTGATACTCAGATTACCTCACTGTTATTCGAGTGCCGAGATACGTTGTCGGCATCTCAAGGCCCACAGCCAAATTGCGTCGAATCCGTGGCGTCAAGCGCTTTGAGATCGTATGCTGAGATAAAACTGCACAGGTGAGTATGTGCTTGCTATTGTTGAAATGACTGACTGACTGTGTAGCGCGCGGATCAAATTGCACCGGTACTGTGCCTTTCAAGATGTGCCCATGTTTTCTGAACAGCCAGGTCTGCACCCAATCTCGCCCACCAATGGAAACATAGGAAGTAGTGCATCCTGTGTTAGGACCTTGCCACAACGACCAGCATCGATACAAGAGTTTGGCATCCAGTTTCCCTTCTCAGCGCACACATCCTCAGTAATCTGTGTTCATGCAGCCATAAATCTTGTGACTTTACTGGACAGCCTTCCATTCCCCAACCCGACCAATGATGTTTCTCCGACCAATCTACCGTACATATTCCAGAATTATGAGGTTCCTCGAGCCATGCCCACTTTGATCAGTTGCGCCATGCAGGCGGGCTATACGATGCTGACCCTGAGTTGCAAAGCTAGACCTTTTGTGACAAAAGTGCCCGAGTTGGAAGCAGGTGACTTTCCCTTAGCAGGTCTGAGGAATGAGCTGGAACAGAGCCTGCGAGTAGTGGCCAAGTTTTTGGCGAACCATGCAATTGCCTTTGAAGCAATTCAAGGAATGCGAGGTGCGTGCGTACTTCACCTTGTCATTGATTGAAGCTGACCTTAGTAGATGAGATGATGGAAGCAATAGAACGTGAATTTAGCCAGGTTTGAAAGTACTGATGTTTTCTGTGAAAGACAGCACTTCACGTTCTTGGATCATTGCAGATGGTCACCGTTGTGAGTGCATGATACGGATTCACGCAGATGCACAAAACTCTGGTTGATATTATTTTCTGGTCAATACCAAGAAGGAACCTGAGATGGTGCTGCAGAGATGCACTGAAATTTCTGGGCTTATAGACATAACGAGTTACTATCATATGAGAGGCATTAGCGTGCTGTTAGATTTGTATACCAAAAGTCTTCACAATACTCAAATTTAGGAGGGTTCTGACTCCAACATCTTCTTTGACAACATTCTCTGTGATGTATCTAGGCGACTAGGATTTGTGAATTGGTATCTATACGGCGCTAAAACCACCCGCGATAGAGCCATTCTTAAGTGACACGCGCGGTCTTCTAGGATTCACGCTGACTCAAGTAATGGAGGAAATCCTGAATACAAGGAATGAAATAATTCACACGGCGGGTCACTCAAACGGAGATTCCCACGAAAACTGTTTTTGGGATTTGACCATAAAGTCCCTGCCGTCCCCTTCTCTGCCTCTCCTTTCTCTCTGCATCCTATCTTCTCTCTTCTCTCTCATCAGAACATCAGCAAGCTATATTGTAACTTATATTTGTATTCGTCTTAGGAGTTATGGCTATTATCCCTCGAACATACTTCTCTGTTCATTGACCTCATCTGTTTCTAGCGGTACTCTTGCTTCATGTCGAAGGAGCAATCTATTGCTAGGATGGGAGACGTCCCGTCACTGGATGGACCATCCTAACTTCCTCAGTGTTGAAGGACTCATTGATTGGAACTCGAAAGGTAAAGAGACCCGTTAGAGTTTAAGGACCACAGCACTAATTCCATGCCGGGATTGCCAGATAGGGACCATGGAGCCTGCAGCTTTACTGCCGGGCTTGCGCTCACTATCGGGAACAGGTCATATGATCTACTGAGGCGTACCCCTGGAGCTTTGGGACTCATTACCCACCAGATAGAAATGCATATCATCGAGCTTTCCGAGAGGTCCACCTACTCTAGCTTTTCCAGACGTTTTCTACTGTCAAGACTCACGAAATCAGGATTTTCATGATTGAAGAAAATGGTTTCCGTCTCGACCGGAGATTGTCACTCGCGCTCCTCTAGCTGCATTGTGCTTGGTGGAATCACATGCTTCCTCTCCTGACGTGACTAAACCGTACATAAGCGGTTGGCAGTGGTGCCCGATGGTTAAGGCAACGCTGCAATTCAGTCAGGAATACGAAGTCGGTTCGCTTGTGGAAATGCAATGATTCGGAGTGCTTTTCAACCGGTCGCTTTGAGATGGCTCTTGGGAAAGAGCCACGGGAAGAACCGACCACCGCGTTACGATTTCAGATGTCAGAGACATTTCCCCTTTGTATACGCATGTGTCGCATTAAGTATGTCACCACTCATTTATCATTTTCAGTGCAGCTAATAATCATTCTTCATTACAGAAGAACCCAGATTCGCGAAATTGACCAGCTCAAGGCACACATGCTGTACCTCCACACCAAGAGGGCGGGTTTGATGATTCTATAGAATCGTCACGGTTAACAATTCATACTCTACTTGCTCTTTGATGTGTCATTCAGCGAACCGACGATCTCCGACGCGTGGTTGAGTTGATGATCCATGTCTCATATGCCAGTAACGCCTGCCTCTCTATAGACCGAGCAGAAAAAAAAAAGGTTCGAAAGTTATAACGGTTTACCCTACTATATTCCTGGTGCCTTTGGTGTCTCTGTGGTTGAGCTCATCATTGGACCCCAGAACGACTGTGCTTTCCGATGTTTCTAGCCTTGCTAATCCGGCAGAAGCTATGGTATCAGAGCTTATCCATGCTTTCTCCGCTTACTTTGACAAAAACCTTTATCCACAAGCTACAATAGTGCTGTTACACTATATTCGGCCCGCGCGAGTGAAGCGCAGCAATATATATACCAGAGTGGTAGTCTGGGATGTCAGCGTATACAACGTGATGAACAGTTTTGGATAAAGAACGAAAGAATACCCCACACAATCCAAGATGCAGGACAGTCTCAGGTGGGTACACAGTAGCTGTCTGATACTGGGAGTCTGACTGACCAGTCGAATAGCAGCACTTTGCGATGCGTTATGCGTTCCGACCTCGCCAAGCAGCCTTCCTGTTATGGACGACGGCCGTGTTGACCGACGATTACGCCACAATAGCAGGGACGTTCAATGGGACAGACAAGATAATCATCGAGTAGAGTCACCATGCCACATGGCTGGTTGTATCGTCGGGCTGATGCAATGCTAGAGACAGTCAAAATCTCTCTCCTGGGTAGCTTTAGAAACTTGTTACGAATCTCATTTCGTCGAGAAAGCTGCTTGACCCAAGGCATATGCTCATGGTTGAGGGTTCTCTTTGGGCTCTACCCCTTTCGCAACCTCATTCGACGGCCCAAGTCTTCCATATATGGCAACAGTGTGTTTCCAATAAATTGGACAGTTGGAACGATAGCAAAGAATGATTGTTTCTCTGCGCACAACAGCATTAATGTCGGGTCTCAGAACGGAATAAAAAGCATTCTATAACAGCCGGCATGAGGCACACCACAGGCTTCTAATGGCGTTAGACAGCACCCTTTGTTGAAGTGTAGACATCACTGGCTTCACGGTGCGGGACAAAATGGACATCGGCCAAATGCAGGGCTGGTTGCTCTAAGCGAAGTTACGTGTCTCTGGTCACAGCATTTTCTTGTGTATCGACATGCCCCAAAGGCAAATAAGAGTGGCTACTCCTGAAACTCATTCACCTCAGTGGCCCCTTTGATAATTCGCCGAGATATATGCTCAGCGGAATCGCCTAGAGTCATGGCTTTGCTCACTCCATATAGTCAGTCATTCCCTGGCTTGGTCGCTGCTGAAAACCCCGAGACTTCGGCTTTTGGATATCATGACCTCACGTTGAAAGAATGGATCACTCGCTCCACTGACTCAACCCGAGCTACCATTGTATTTACAGTCTATCTTCACCTCGACAGAAAACCAAAAACTCCCGCTGGAACTTCACGTTCTGTACAGACAGGGAGTTGGTGAAAAGCTATCCATTCCAAGGAAGCCAAATGTCGCAGAGACTTACAAAACCGACGACCGAGGATGGGAAAAGTGCCATTGCGAGACACTTCAAAGACCACGTCAGGGGCCATGGAAGTGGACTCTTACTCTGGAAGTAGCTCAGCTTCACCACTGACAGCTCATTTCTCTGAATAATTGTCTGCCAAACGACGACAAAAAGAATGATAATACGGAGAAAGTTACGACCAAACTACCAGCTTCGCACATTTGTAGTGGCCAAAGATTGAGCTACGGAGCAACATTTGTTCGGCACCGGTTGGTGCCACCAAATGCAGGGGTAGAAGTTCAGATCGATGACTGTCAGCTGCAGACTGTTCCCTTCCGTGGGAATTCTACAAACATGGACTAGCAATTGGGGTTCGCTCAAGAGCCATGCATCGTCAGCAGTGCTGCATTGTGCCTTGAGCATCTTCCAGCCGACCTCTTCTCGCATTGAATCGTATCCGAAAGTAGCCAATGACGTTTGGCGGCGGGGAACCATTTATACATGAGGTCAAACTCATCCTGTCACAGTGCAAGCAAGTGCAAGCAAGACACGCGACTTGTGGTATCACTACCGTGTTTTTGACTTCTGAAGATTTTTTAACGTTACTGTCAAATAATCGAATGGTCGAGATGACTCGTGGAAGACCACCAACGAGATAACCTTCAAGGGAGGACCAGAAAGCGTGAACGGATAGCTTATCTCCCCAATATGGATTGGTTGTCCGACAGCAAATGACTGAATTACATGAAAAAGAAACAAAATTTCAATGCCACGCTTCGACCGAAACGCTTCCAAAAGGTAGTTGAATGTTTGCAAGCTGCTCTGAAAAGAAGTAACCTTAGTGAAATCACTGTCAATGGAGATGGTCACATGGTCCGTTTCGCCAAATACTTGTCCCGACTGCAGAAGTGTCTTTTGTGAATGCGCCAATGACCTCATCTGAGAGAGCATGATTGCAAGATGCCCATGAGCAAGACCAGTGTTTTCATCCAGCCAGTGGAGGATCATATAAGGCTTCCAACATTCGGCCTTTTCCACACGCTATTGTACAGTATCATCGAATCCAAGATGCACGTTTGCTGCTTAGAATGTGGCCTGTGTATGATCGGAAACTGAGAGCAGCCCCTCGAAACAAAGTGGAAGCCGAGCTCAGTGATCGAATTTCCTAACAAGCCTCACATCTAACGGGAAAACGCTGGATGTGTCCTTGGCTCCCCAAATCTTGGAAACAACTGGGAGACAGATGGCCTTGAAAGAAGGAATGGATGGCGTGGGAGAAGACAGACCCGGACAGCGATTTTGCCACTCACGTCGATATATTACGCAGAAAGAACCACAAAAAAAGCACAATGATGCTCTGCTTGGGCTTGGGTCTGAATATGGAGCCGGTGGCTTTGAGTTGGGCCAGAGCAATTGCGCTCATTGAGAAAACCTACCCCTTGTCGAAATCAAGGTTGAACAAATGAGACACGAATCGAGCAGATTTACTTCAAGCTCAAATGCCGCGCACACAAAAAGACCGACTGTACTGTCTGAGGCTAGCAGTCTTATTCGGCATTATTGTCCAGACCTAAAGCAAATACGAAAATATCACTCCTGCTCAGCGCCATGGCATTTAGATTAAGTCACATGCGTGACCTTCACGTCAGTGCCACAAGATCGACCCATTTACTTTCTTCTGATCATGTGTTAGGAGGCTGTGCTTGTTCTAATTCAGATAGGTAACCCACCTGTTTGCGTACTTTAAGTCCCCGTTGCACTCCTCTCTCAAAGTATTCCCAGATACGGTATAGTTCGAGGCAGGTTGCTATAAAGCAAACAATGGGGGGAGGGTGGGATCACCAAGCTCTGCCCGATCGCCATATTCTCTATCGACAGGAGTGGAAGACGTGCTACCAGCTGCCTATCCAAGGGTAGCTGGCCAAAAAACAGAGCCAACGTGGACCGCCCTAGTATCAAACCCAAGATCCGGAAGGGGAAACAGGTTTGGAAGTGCGTTGGCTGCCGGAATTCATTCTCTGAAGCCCTATCACGAATATCTACATTAGCGGGGTTGGAGAACTTGGAAATGAAAGCTCAGCTCAGAGATTCGAGAGCCGAACACCATCCAGGGCTGCAGAAAGGCGAGGATATGGAAGCAGGTCAGACGAAGTGTGTCTCCAAGAAGGACACGCACTGCCCCAAGTCAAAAAGCGCGCATCTGTCGTGGAAACTGGAATACCAACAACAGTCGGGACGTCACGAAAAAGGCGAAGCTTGAATAACTGTCTCCCATTCCACTATCTGCTTTTTCATTTGCTGTTTGAATTTTCCAACACGACCTGAAGGATGCAGTGGGATACACTACACTGGGGTATCAGTTGTGTGTCAGATTATACCGTCTTGCTGTTGAGTGGGCTGAAATATTAAATGGCATCTTGATATGATTCGCTGCGCTATCTAAGTGCTCTTTACGCGCATTGTTGCATGATACATGCAGAGCTGCACTACTTCTCCCATCACGATCATGCCGCCTTACACATGGTTTCAGAAGCACCAGGCGGCAAATGAGATTGTGACATGACTATGAGTGACGCTGAACATGTGTGCAAGCTCATTATAAACGTTTTTACGCGGGCGAATCTGCCTTGTGTTTTTGTGAGTCCCTGCCACTTCGCAGACATTCGCCGAAGACGCTACCGGAGGAAGAAAGAATACGAAAGGAACCTTCTTAACGCAAAGAAATGTTGCCGAGTGAAGAGACTGAATCTTGAAGCTGTCATACGCGGCACGGAAAGAAGACAATGCCGGGTTCAATATGGCAGAGCCCGCTTTACCCCCTGGTCGCGCCAAAGCGTTTTCTGGAGGTTGCGCATAGTTGCTGTGGTTTCTTTGTCCTGCCAATGTTTTAGCGGCTGCTGTCACTCCGGAGATGGGTAGTGGCTACCGCGCTTCTTATTATTCTGCCAGAATCCGCTGACGGCCTGGGTGGTGAAGATGTTGCTGACTAGCTTCGAATACTATTCCTGCTTGGCCGGGACTTTGATGCAGATGCACCACTGCGTGTATTCCAGATTATTCGAACCGGATGTATACACTAAGGTTAGCTCAGGTGCTATATGTGATATACGTGCTCGAAAGAATGTCGGCAGGCAGGTGTGACGGCAGGTTGCGATGACTCGCTGGAATTATGGGGCGGTCTAATTGGTTGGATGGGATGTGATATGCTATTGCATCTATCATGGACATTGACAGGCATCATGCATGCCTTGCAATGCCCGTTTCACTAATCTACCGTGAATTCGGGGTTGAAATTGCTAGTCGCATGGCTAGAACTCTTATTAATTTGACGCATTGGGTTGCTACAAGAATCAGGCTACGAAGAGGTCCAGGACGTACGCGAGAACTTGTCGACGCTGATCTTCTGTTGCCATTCGATGTTGTCTCAGAAAAAGGTGTCACACACTGCAGGTCGCGGAATATCTATTCTGGCACTTTCCCATAGCAGAAGCGGTTTGGGACGTCGACCGCAGCATATAGCAGCAGACCATGGGTTGGCCGCTCAACCTCCCCACAACGTGGACCGACCTGCTGTTGAGGGGAGTCACATGAACGGATTCTCGGTTTTTAAACGCGGAAGGCAGATCAGGAACGGTGGCGAGTACTGTTCGGCGAGGCATTGTGGTTGTTGTGGCTCTACCGGTGCGCCTGGAGCTTTGAATCCTCGGTGCGCCGTCTCGTAACTCCACTCAGCAAAGGAACAAAACGCAAGACGAGGATGGCCATGGTGCTACCGTTTACTCGGTTCGGTCATCATTATACTTCGAATTCACTATATATCAATTGCCATAGCGAGACATGGAGATTGGATATTGCCTCACACACCTGCAAGATAGCCGACGCGCTGTCCAGTCATGCTATGTCTTTGAAAGAACCCACACGCACGATCAGGGCAGGAAAAGGGAAGATTGCCATTGGACATATATATACTCGCCCAAGCCTTTCAGCCTCGGCTTATTTGAGCTCAAGAGCGTTCTCCGCTCTGATGGGCCAAAGCAGCGGAGTAATGAGGTCCCTGCCTATAGTGGGTCGTGGCAGCATCTTGCAAACATGTTGTTCGGATTAGGCTCAACACGTCATTTTGCCGTTGATTTGAAGGTAGGATGACAATGTGCAGTTCTTGCGGCTTGGAAATGTAATCATAAGCGATGATAGTTGCGTCGCTGACGGTGGACTCTGCCTGTGCGAAAACCGACTCGGGGGTTTATACTCAGGAACGGTCAGGTCGCTGCTATGAAAGCGGAAAGAAATTTGCGTGTCTCGAGGGTCGTCAACAAAGGGACCTCAGACCACTGGCTTTGTTGGAAATGACTTCTGGCACTTTGACAGTCAGACTATTTCCGATCAATTAGAAGTACGATGAAGAATGACCCAGCCTCTGTTGAATATATCTCATTCGATGAGATATACTCAAATAAAGTTGTGTCCAGCTCCTTGCAATACAACATCGATGCCAACAGAAAGTCCAGTTGCACCACAGCAGAAACCTGCTTGGTCATCATTTCTCGCCATGTACCGGATCCTAAACTCTACGCGAGAGAATCAGAGTGGTACTCACGCTTTATTACAAGAGCTATGACTGCCAGCTATAAACTCACTGTCTTATTGGAAGAAGAATAATATCATTGACACTTGCTATAGACTTGTTAAAGCCTAATAACGCCCGTGAGGCTTCATCTGGTTCTGGGACAGGAAGAATACCGCCTCCAGGAAATGCAGAGCTGGAGCTAAGGCTCGACACAGTCCGGTTTGGACTCGTACAGCCTGGCTTTCAACTATCTGATCGTCGTCTTACCGCAGATGCCCGGCTATGTGCCTCTGCGAAAGTTTAACAGACGATGATGAGAGAGAGGTCTCTACAAGTGTACTACGTTTGACGAGCTGTTGACACATTCAGCAACATCTGGGGATAAGTCGGGTCAGAGTTCGAGCTCTCAAATTGCACTGCAAACGGACCGTCTGCCAGTCGAAATGCAAAGAAGCAGTTTACTTAAGGCTCGGCTGGGTCGATGATGGCAAACATCTGAATGCCGATCACTGAGGCTTCATTGCTTTTGGGCCCGATCACTCACCTTTCTAACGGGTTAGTGTGTGAGTACGCCGTCTATTCTCACGTGCTCGTCCTATCATGCTTGCCTCGAAATCTCCTGCATCCCGAACACTATGCATCAGGAAGCAAGTTGACATCATGGCAACCCCTTATCGCTTGATACCCGAAGCATTGTCTGTAGCAAAGCGGTCCGCTGAAAATGGCAGTGTTGCTGCTGAGTTTGAGATTGCGTTCCTGGCAAAACATCAAGAGATATGGAATACCTCTCCAAAGCGTGCCATCACGCGGACAATGATCGGTCCGAACCTGGTACAATTTGGAGTGTTCGTCAGCCCTGAATTTTAGTGGGTCTAGAATGATCTCTCAGGAACGCGCGCCGAGTCAAGGCCATGATCGCTTTATAATGGTACTATGTACTGATTACGTGTCTAGGTCGCAGATGTAATGGCCAGGGAATTAATGTGGCTCGAGAGATTCAACCACGCGGCGATGTGCGGTACTGAGCACCATTGCGACCAAAAGGACCTGAACACAAGCGCAGATTATATATGCACACGGCCAAATGGGTTCCTAAGCTTAGATCTTCTTCAACAGCTGTCAGCGTGTGTGCAGGTAACCGTCACTCAATTGAAGCTGCTCGGCTGCTGAGAGATGCATGGAAACGAACCATCGTTCTAGTCTTCTGTGATCCGCTATGAGATACCAGACATAGAATTGCCTGCGGGAGTGCTTAACTCTTCCATCACCAATGAATGAGCCGTTGTGTCGGGCTGTTTTTCTTGGATGGCGAGATGGCGCAGGCCGTGCCCGTTGATGATGAGGCCATATTCTAATCTTGGCCACGGAGTGCGCAGCCCTGTGCGAGAGTGTGGGGATGACGCCGCATGCAGTGAATTCAATACTAGGAGAAGAAATGCGGAAATCCACGTTGTGGATGAAGATGAAATTTCTCTTGAGCACCGTTGACGGGGACCGAGAACTAACAACAACTCACCCAACATCACCTTGGGTGTACCGCGGTGCTAGCAAGCTAACAGCCCGTACAGCGCATTCGAAGACGGAACGCCACAGGGAGAGACATCAGAAAGCCGAGTAGATGAGACTCGTCGCGTATAGTGTCGTCTTACCAAAAGTCAAGTCATAATAGAACGCCCCCTTTGCATCGTCATCTTTTTGTTCAGACGAACGAGATGCCGATCTACCGGAAGGAATCACTCTATCCAGCAGAAAGAAGCCACAAGCTGTCGCACAATGGCAATACAAGAACTACCCGGTCTAGTCTGGCTGTGGTGCCTTTTTCCTCTGCTAGGTTGGCCTCAGGACCGATACCGAACGTTCAGTCATGAGGCCACCGAGGAAGGGGGAATTGACATAATCGATCTAGTTACAATGCAACGGGTCTTGAACAGATAGTACATGATTCATACCCAGAGTACTGTCTGGTTGAGACGCCCAAATCCTATTTCAACATCATTGTGGGTGTCTTTGGAGATGGTGGATGACCAATGGTCGTACCAATATGCGATCCCTGAAGACAGTGATTCAGGCTAGAAATATACATTTCTGGTAATAGTGTCTGCATAGTGTGATAATCGGATACGTGACACATTACATTAGGGAGCACAGGTGTGGAAAGACCTATTCAAAAGGAAGAATCTCAACAAGCTCGTCTTGGTGGGAATATCTGGGACTCAGCCAGGAGTCAACGGATGTCCTTGCCGCCTAATGAAGGTGGGGGCGGTCATTCACCGAAATTTACCGAAGATAAGTGGTTAAATGTGGCCTTTTCTACAAAACGGGCTACGCTGCTAATAGAGGGGTGAGATGTGGACTGATGTTCGGTTTTCCCTCGAGATGCAGATAGGGAGTGGTGACGGCTATTGTTTGGAGGAGCCCTGTGGACGTTGTAGCTGTATCGCTGTGTCTGAAGCTTCAACGGAGCCCAGACCTTCCCTGATCCGGAAGAGGCTCGACGTCCTATACCTCCGAGCATTGGCAAGACACTGGATGTATGTGGTTCCCAGTGGAATTCAGACAATGGTTGGATTTAGGCCTTGAGGTGAACAGAGCAAGAAGGCAGAACGTGCGAGGACCACCGCACGAATTTCGCCCTTCTTAAGAGGACCTCTGACATGAATTTAAATGACGCATCTGGGCTATGCCTATGCCTTCCTTCGCTAATACACCGTCAAAGAAAGTCTCCCGGCTAGATTCAGACTGGAGAGGTATTTGGGAAGCGGAGAGGAGAAGAATGAAATAGCAGTGTCACTTAATTGATCCCGGATGGAACCTTTTCGCCAGAAGAACACAAAGAATCACGGCAGCATCCTTGCTATTCTTCTATTTTCAATCGACGCAGTGACCGAAGGGAATGATAACCCCAGAGTTACATGTACGGGCACACGAAAGAGTTGATCCGTGCTAAATGCAGCTGCAATTTAATCCAAAGTTCACTGGGAACTTCATCGGTGGGTTATGTTGATCCTAAGCAACACCACTCATGTATTTGGAATGTACCGAGCATAACACCCCACGTCCACGCCTACTGTCGTGTGTCTGTTTTTTGAAAGATGATTCTTAGAGCAACATAGCCGTGGATTAGCAATATCTAATGCTTTTGGTTCTCATGAACACCCACATCGGACAAACCCAAAACAGAAGATATGAGGTGACTTGCAAAAATGTTGTGCTTCAGGCCGATAGAGCAAGATGCTCTCGCAAAGCTACTTCCCACCTCGTTCCATTGCTCGTCCCGCTTAATCTCGGCGTCTACTGAGCTGAACGAGTGGAATGTGAAGATGACCCGAAAGAGTTCAAGTCTCAAACTAATGGTTTTTGGATGGCGAAGCATCGATCTTGTGTCTTCAATGCGGAAACAGCAAGTGGGTATGGCGGAAAATGCTCGCGGATTAGTCAAACATCCATTATCTAAATGCAGAAGGCAATAGGAAGATGCAGACTCGCTATGCCTGTTCCGATGTGATCAATCTATTGAGCTGCGCTGCTCGCCATGATGTGTGGGAAACTAATCGCAGTTCTGAGATACAAACACTTTGCTTGCACGTTGCATAAGGCAAAGCATACAGAAACTTCATTTTCTGTCTCTTTCGAAAACTGAAACCGGACTCTACGAAAAAGGGACCGGGAAGAAGATTCACAAAGGATTACCTCAATCAATCAAATGCTCTAGCCAAGCCTGATTGATTAAAAGAAGCCGAAGGCGAGCATGATGGTTGTGGCATATCACCTAATACATTGGATTACTTCTCGCGAATGGACAAGCTGCCAGTGTGGAGTGGAGTGTGAACCTACTTTTCAGTCACTCCGCCTAGATAGCGGTTACGTTGCTTAGAGAAAACCTTTCAGGCTTTATGGTCCCATCTCTCACTATATGACTAAACTCGCTGGATGCCCCTGGATTGGGCGAAGCAGAGAAAATGTCCGTGGTAATGAGATGGCTCGTTGAACAACGTGTGGACATGGCGGCAGTTTGTGAAACCCACATCACCGGAAGTTGCGCGGAAAATATAAACATAGAGAAAGAGGCTGTATGGGGCTCACGAACAGCCCTAATCCTAATGGTGGGAGTGAAACGGTCATGGTACTGAGCTATGATCGCATCTACCCAGTGGTCAGACAAAGATACATCTATTCGAATGGATGGATGAAGCTGAAACGAAGGAGAAAGATCAGCCAAGGGATGCTTGGCTTGACGACCTAAGAGATACCCGTTTCTCTCCAGAACCGTGAGAAACAACATGACGAGAGGAGAAGGGTAGAATATAAATGAATCAGTCAGTCACAATTTATCATGAAAACTGGTTGATCACTTTTGAAAAGAGAGAAACAATTGCAACCGACCATAATTCCCTCCGATTGATCCCAAATCGAAACCGACATGGAAAACGCTGAATTGAAGGAGAAAGATCAGCCAAGGGATGTTGGACTTGACAACCAGAAAACCACATCTCTCCAGAACCTTGATAGACGATGTGATGAGAAGCAAAGGGGAGAAGGTCTACATTGATCACCTGAATCAAGATTGAGATATTCATTAAAGACTGATTGGGGGCCTTGGACTGGAAGAGGCAACTGTACGCAGTGATAATTCCCTCGAATTTTACCAAATCGAAACTAGAATAGAAGATGACGCCGAGTGGAAAGAGAACTATCAACGACGGGAGGTCGAACCTGATGACCAAAAACTCAACACTTGCAAAAATCCTCGATTTCATGGGTCTCCACTCAATCGAATTCCTTTGGTTGAGTCACTGTTCGAACTCCGACACAATTCTCTCCTGATATGCTGGGTTCAATTCCCACACAACAGAGAGATGGTATACTTTCACAGCGTTCATAACAAGAGCATCGTGAATGGCGAGTGCTTGCAATGCAAGTACTCAAGATCGCCGTGATAAAATATATATGTGGCGACGGGAAAGGAATGAGAAACACGAACACGGTCGTGTCGGCCAAATAACTCTGGTGTGCCAGGTGTTTCTGATACACCTAACATCTCATCTAAGAGACATGTCTTCCATCTCGAAGAAGGGTTGTGTTTTTGGAAGTTGATGATAAGATAACTATTTTGTCTCGTCTTGTCCACGCTCTTTCACAACCCGACGAAGAACGGGGAATTGCCACCGCCAAGACGCAACATATACTGCTTGCTCACTTGATTGCTTGTGATAGGATCGAAAGCGATACCAATGGAAAGGTGGGTTAAAGTACTGAAGCAGGTGGATGGAATGTCGGGGTCTCGAGACTGCCACACGCAAGCGAGATCAGATGGACAGGATAAAACAAATGGGAGAGAGACAACAGTCATGAATAGAGGAAACACCCCTTCACAACCTGGCAAAATAAGGGCCTTCAGAAGGAGAATTGCCTAAGAAGACGCCGGTCTCAACCAAAACAAAAGATAAAAAAGGAGGGCTACCAATACTAACGACAACGAGCAAGCGCTCTCAATCCCATGGACACTGGATGGATGTGGCTTTACTGAGAAAAACATTCCTATCTGGACCTACAACTTCAGATATTCTGCGAGTATACGTCGCTAAACAGGCACTGGCTGCCAGCAACAATGACCTGTTCGCGAAACTGGCACATGAAACGGAAATGAAAAAGCTCCCCGACGAGCTCGCCTGGCAAGGATTATACAAGATCACAACATCACCAAACCCATTCGTATCAGTAGTCTACGACACAACCGCAAACACGTATGCAGCGCTCCCCATCGTCAACTGATATTTCCCAGAGCATCGAAGATGAGCCCATGAACATGACCATCACGAAATCCGAGAACATAGGCGGCCATAGGCCGCACAACTACCTCTTCGACGATGGCCCCTTGCCAAGGCAACCGATATTCAAGCGAAGCTGAATACGAACCACCGAAGAGGAAAAGTGCCAGGGTACAAATGTCCCTTCCGCTGTGCCGAAGAGAAAGATGTATCGGGATCGGGAATAGTTTGGTTCTTGTCATTTTTGCCAGGCTGTGGCTAACATCGCCAAGACTTCGAGATGACGGCACGGGGTAAATAGCTGGTGGTGATGAGTGACTGGATACTGGTTTCTTTCTTTGTTGCAGTGAGAGAACGGTGTTAAAGGAGACTATGGACTTAAGTGGGGAATACATGGGACTACAGGTCGGAAATATGATCGGCTTGGTGTATTGGATTGGTAATGGTCAGTCGGGCAGGTACTTTCTTATCAATGGACAGTCACTCTACTTCGGTGGCGGTCTTTTGAAACCATACCTTAGTCATGGCGTGTTCTCAATTCTAAGCTGCCTGATATTTCTGCCATAGGGGATGGATCAAAACAGCTACGAACATGATCCTATCTGGACGTACTTGTCTCACACTCCATAGATGTTGAGAAAAGAAAGAGAAAACAAACAAGAATTATCCCAGGAAATTTATCTATGTACTATTTGTCTATCGTGTACTTGATCATCATAGTTATCGATGATATTATATACAATTTCAGCTCCAAGTCATCCCACTTAATCTCCAACACACAAGTAGAAGGTAGGAATGTATCAACACCTCCCGCGATACATATCGACCATCTCCCCCCTAACCCTCCTAGCAAGCGGCCACGCCCGTCCAAGAACCTGCAGCGCTCCTACCCCTAACTCAATCCTCGCTTTCAGTGACTGTTCCTTCCCAGCTCCCGTCTCGCCCTCGTACTTGATCGCCAGAGAAGACGGAGGTCCGCCCGTCAAGGAGGCTACATGGACCACCGCAGCGATGGCAAGAGCGCAGGTGAAGAACGGCGTTCGGGAGAGGACCGTGCTAGGGAGCGTAGCAAGGTTCGAGAGGAGATCTGCGGCGCGGAGGAGTTTGTGGGAGTGGGTGTTAGAGGCGGGAGAGTCGTGGTGGGGGATGTGCGCGGATAAGGGTAAGGATTGGAGGGTGCGGAGACGGGTGCAGGATGATGTTGAGGAGGAGGAAGCGAGGGTGGTGGCGGAGTGGTAGGAGGCGAGGCGGATAGTGGAATGTGGGTGGTGGAGGTAGATTAGGCTTCTGGTATTTGTCATTGTTAGAGTTTGGCTGGGGAGAGTTGGGTAGGCTTGGCGTACAGGTATGTTATCATTAGTGTTTGAAAGACCATTTCGTCGACGGTTGCAGTGTCGTGTTCTGGTAGGGATGAGGGAAGTCTCATTAAAGAGGTGGCGAGACGGGCGTCTAATGTTTCGGTTTGAAGTTCGGTGTCGGGGTCGAGGCATTGTGTGACTTGGAGGACGGCGCGGAGTTCTTGCGTTGCGAGGATGCGGTAGGTGAAGGGGGAGATGTGGTGGAGGTCGAGATCTAGGAGGGTTGAGAGGGTGGCGGATGGTTTGGGGGGTTTGAGTTGCTAGTTAGGATGTTAGTGTCAAATGAATTCGTTAGCTTGTCCGCTAAGGATGTACCTCGAAATTATATGCCTTTTCGTCGCAGGGAAGCTGCATTTCGTCGTTGATCCATTTGTAACTGGGCAGGATGGGCCCGCCGCCAAAAGCGGACACGAGCCCTTCCACAACGACGAGTTCCCAGTAGGTGCGTCGCCAACTTTCTTCGAGGACAGGACTGCCGCGAGAGTGGCTACGTGCGAAAGAGGGGTTGATCATGTCGAGGTGGCATGCTAATTGAATCGCATCTTTGAGGAGCTTACGGGCCGTCTCTTCATGTCCGTAGGAGTGCTCAATGATAGCGAGAAGAAGTAACCCCTGGACCTTGAATCCGTCGTTTGGGGCGGAAAGGGCCGTGTAGGCGGGCGCTTGGAAGGTATCGCTGAATCCTGGCTGGGGATAGTAGTGGCTGCCGATGTAACGCATGATATGCGTGATGTACGATGGGATGTGCTGGCATAGCGACGAAGCAAGACTGCGCCGGGGCAGGAGGATGGGATGCGAGCGATGAAAGTGATGGTAATAGAGCTGAATCATGGCATCATGGGCAAGGGGCTCAGACTCCGCGACTGTGGGAGTGTATGCTGGTGGTGACGGAGGAAAGTCCGGGATGGGATCGGAGTGAACATCGCCATTGACATCGATGCTGGGGTCGAGGCCGAGTAGCTCTGGCTGGGTTGGTTAGCATGGCATTCATGTTTAGTAGGATAGAAAGGCGTACATCTAAGTCAATGGTGTTGTTTAGCCAGGTGGTAAAGTCTGGGAGGAGATCGACATCGCCCGGGGGTGGATCAGGACTAGATCTGTTCCGTAAGCCGCGCCGTGAACGAACATAGTGACAGTCACTGTTGCTATTGCGACAACGGGTGCAGATGGGCATGCGAGCGTCGCATTTGACATGGCGACGACGACAGGGTACACAGGCGAGGGGAGAGGGTCGTTGGTCGGCCATGATGATGATTCTGCATGCACGAGCCAACTCCAGGGTAAAGGGAGGCCATATGAAGGATATATTATTTACAATGTATGGAGGATTCGTAGCATCGAATGATCGGACTCCATCGAGGCTGATTCCCGAGTTCTGGAATCAGGCCTGCATGCCGAGATCCCCGAGGTTCGGGGACCATCACCAGCCCTGATCATTTGCAGTCCTTAGCCTACGTTGAATATGCTGGCAGTGGCATTCCGATCGACTCAGCATGGGGTCAGCGTTATTGATCGATGGCCTCGAAGGGTTTTGCATGATCTGAACAAGGCGACCAGCTAGCCACTGCCAGGGACAAGCCTTACAGATCTCGAGGGGTTCGCCCGAACAAGGCCTAGTGGGGGAGAAGGCCGCTGCAAGATAGTGCGGGTCGCCGGTGTACTTTTAGTGGCGAGGGGAAGGCGGCATCCAGCCAGCAGTGCTGAATTTATTTGATGCAGGTGTTCCCCGACTGAAGGAAAGGTCCCGAGAAGCCGGATCAGCCGCCTAAACCCGGTGTGTTGGGATGTCACTCATCACACCATCACCTCGTCGATCGGCGCAGTTGTTCTTTTGTTGGTTGGCTGCAGGTATTGGCGGAGATGTTTGCTGGGTGGTTCCCGATGCATGTTCTCGGGCTTCACTTGACCCTCGACAGGCACATCTAATCAATGGAGTTCCTCCACAATTAATTGTCGGCGAGGGGGGCCTTGTGCCACCACCGTGACACAAGCAAATTAACTTCCCACCAGGTCGGCGACTAACGACGGCGACTATTCTAATTATTCCACCCCCTTGGAAACATGTGTGGGGGAGTGGCTCCGGGTCCCCGTCTGTTTAAATGAGGATCCCGAAATCCGAGTCCCTGGGCAATCCCCGAATGGCACTGGAATGGTCCCCGACGCCGCGTGGCCGTTGCCAATCATGGCTGGTGTGACAATGTCACGGTCACTGCGCAAAGCCTCGATGACCGGAAGTATCTGCAATCCTCTGCAGTCCCCTGCAATCTAATCAACATTAGTACGAGGGGTGGCTGACTGGCGGGGAGTGGAAAGGCCATCCATTAAGTTGCCGGTCGCACGCTTCACCATCGGAAGATACTGCCGCCATGGTGTGTTTCGTCCCTGCCTGGCTCGAATGAAGTACTTTGTACGGAGTACCCTCAACCATTTGGATGTCGGCCATTCAATACGAGTTCCCGAGCGTGAAGACTAATGAAATAATCCGGTGGCCTGACTGACCCTCCTCCTGACCCTCCTCCTGCTGACTGATCCCATCTCCACTGACGTCTGGATGTCTCGGGGTTGTTGCTTCCCCTCAGCAGCACTACTGCAGCATCACTGCAACCACCACCACCTTCTTATCCCAACAAGGAACACCCTTTCGGCGACCGCCTCACTATTGCTTGTCAGACCCCGGACCTCCAATATGATCACTCACATCGTCCAATTCCAGTTCAAATCCTCTCTCGCCCCCGAAAGGGTCCAGGAGGTGAGTCAGCATTCCCTTACGTCATGTCCAACTGACACCACAGCATCTGACTGACTGGTTTTCATGCTAGACATGCGCTCACCTCGTCTCCCTGAAGAACAAGTGTCTACATCCTATCACTCAGAAGCCATACATAAAGTCATTCAGAGCGGGAAAGCAGGATTCACCTGAGGGTAAGAATGTAGGTGATTCATGCCCGGAAGTAGTGGGATTGGGAGAAATATCCACGCTAATAAAGACGACTTCAGAATGGAATCACCCATGTCTTCGTCATGGAGTTTGAGTCCGATCAAGACAGAGAGTATTATCTCACCAAAGACCCGGCGCATCTAGGCTTCGTTCAGACCCTGGATGGCCTGATCGAAAAGTCCCAGGTGGTCGACTTCACCGAGGGCGTCTTCTAACCCCTTTCTGAGGACCTTGAAGATTCTAGAACTCCCAAGCCGGCTGGAATATGCATAAAGGAAGACAAGTAGATGAGTGTATAGATGATGCAGCAAGCTACGAATTCAACTTTTCATGATGCCTTGAATGTGGTCGAATTTCCGACCGTGGTATCGCGCACCGGCATGGCCAATCCGGTTATTCTCAATCCAACCTCTCTTCCGGCGTAAATAACCAGCTGGGCAAACACAAAGCCGCTGTCACCGTGGCAAGAACTAGCTTCATTAGCCGATGTCCACATGGAAAGAGATACACCTACTCGGAATGAACTGATAACCGTACTGCAGACTCGATCGGACAACCGCCTGCATGCCTTCTGGCAGCGTATCAACATACCGCGCGTCGCTCAGAACTTGGCGGGCAATCTGCTTTCGTCAGTATACGACTGTCAAGAGGATGAGGAAACATACTTCTGGGGTCCTTTGCCCAAACTTTCCGGCAATATCCCGCATGAATCCCATCCGCACCAACAACGGCGCGAAGGATCCTCCGAGAATCACTCCCAATTGTTGGCTGAGATAGTATGCCCCTACACACGACGCCATATCTTCCTGTGGTGCACGACCGGTCATACCAATGAACTCGCCCGATATGATTATGCCGATGGGGGTGCTCATGGGAATGACGAGGAGCGTTTCCCAGACGGGGCGATCAAAATGCCACGAGAAGAATAATAGAGTTGATGCAACTATGCTAATCGCGGCGGAGGCAAGACTCATTTTCTTATAACGTTTCGTTCTAAAGAGTCAGCGCAAGCCACCCGGAGCAAGATATCGCAACTCACCGTTTAATCGAGAACCCCGAAATGATCGAGCCCACCGCCAGAGCCATGGTGCTTAGAACAAGAAATAGAGTTGCCCCTTCCTCCTGCATTTGCCTCACCTGTGTCAGGTATTGTGTAATGGTAGTGGTGACCTTGATTTGTCAGTAAGTTGCGCAACACAGGACCTCGTTGCAACCTACACCACATCGTCCGCTAAACAGCACCACCTGCACCAGCCAGTACTGCCCAACACCCTTGGTGACCAGTCGTAAGGGTACCAGCGGCTTTGCTGCCCATAGACATTCATGGCAGATAAATACCACGGTGGCTAGTGTACACATCCCTAGCAGGGCATACACCGTGGATAGCTTTCTGTCAATTGTTCCAGCTGCCGTCAAAGCTAGCAATAGGGTGAAGACCGCAGCCGCGAAGCTAAAAATGCCGAAATAATCCAGTCTTTTTAGCTTTTCAATGTTGGACGTCTCAGCGGCAGGAGTGGCTGCTCGAGGTTTTGTAGGGAACTGCACCCGGGATAGAAACAGACACAGTACAATAAGGGGTAGCCGGCCGGTGAAAGCCCTAAGCTATTAGCGAGAAACTCAAGGATGCGGAGAGAAATTCTTACCATCTCCAACCTAGTGAATTGACTATTACACGTCCCAGCGGAGCTCCAGCACCCCTTCCGAGCATGTTCACGACATTGGTGTAGCTGCGCAATAATGCAACCTCGCTGGGCGCCGCCAGATCTACACACGTTAGCTTCCTGCGTGGAATAGAGGCGGGCACAGCGTCGCACCGGTTATGATGATGGAAATCATGACAACCATGCCAGAAGATCCCACTCCACTAATTATCCGTCCAGCTATCAATTGGTTCATTGAATTGCTGAGAGAGCTGCTCGAGTTAGTGACATACTGATCGCTCCAGTTGCGTCCCACCCACCTGATTAGACAGCCAAGGGCGAACACTAGGTATCCCAGAAGCATAGATCTCTGGCGTCCCAGGCTATCTGCTAGGGTGCCGTACTGTGTCCGTCAAAACCAGGCATCTTTATTCCCGACCAACAGTACCTACCACTGGTAACGCGATGCAATAGCCCAAATTGTATCCCGTAACGAGCCATGATGCTTTCGATAGCTCATGGAACTCGGAAGCAATGATATCGTAAGTTGCTATGACGAGAGATTCATCTGTACTGGCCAAAAATGCACCTACTTGTGTCAGCAATCGTTTGGGACAATGCGGGGGTAGAACTACCTAGGTATGCGATGAAAATGGCTAGCCCGGTTCCGCCAGAAATGCTCCCTCTAGTCTCACTTTCACCCCGATCGCACGGTTGTTCATCTTCTGGACTTGGAAGGAGCCGGGTAGTCTCGTCAGAAGCCATCACTGCCAGGAAAAGTGACTTGGATGCAGGCCAGGCGAATATTTGAAGTGGGATGAAAAGAATCAGAGAGATGGAGCAGATAAGCCGAGCTTATCAGGCAGCATCGCGTCTAGGTGCCTTATCAGCAGCTACATCTGGACGTGACTCATCACAAAACACACCTTGTGGACTAACTGGTAATTAATCGAGAGGGGATGGACTGGGATGACAGCTTCCCGATAACCGTGAAGGATTCGACTACTGGCAGTTTACCCCGCTAGCACGCGATCGGCGAGATACCTGATGCTATCTCGGCCGACGAGTACATGGTACATGGCCTTGATTGACCCTCGACTGAAGAAATAGAGCATTAAGTTTGCCGTAGCTAATTATAGTATCGATTTTATAAGGAAACTAGGAATCTGTTCCTGAACGCCTGCCTGGGCTGGATCCCTGGGTGGATATTAGTGTACCATGGCCTAGCCAGTGTCAATGCCATGTGTCAGTTATTGACGGCTGCTCTCATTCTTTAGTGTACTACTGTTCGGGCCGCTAGACCATGGTAGTTCTTGTGGCTTTATAGACCGGACCCTGCATCTTAGTAGCCTCCACTGAGACCTGTGAAGGATTAGGAATAATGTCCGTTTCTCCTAGACGCCGAATAGGTGGCACCCCTACTATTGCAAAGACGTTTGAATACGAATGCAAATTCCTGTCAATTACCTACTCCAAGTGTAAGGCTTCTATAGTATGCTGCTATCTCGGGGTTGAATTCTGTCAAATCTATGGTGCAACTTGGCCGAAGCGGTTTTCGTACTCTGGCTTCCAAGTACCCTGCTACTCGAAAAAAAATTAGGCGCAGGCGGCGGTATACATACCTCTGTGCATTAAATAAACATCCTGATTACTCACAGTTCCAATTTTTCGGAACGCAATATAAGTTGGGTGGGCAATGATCTGGACTCGGCACTTTGTAACGCCCGAGATCTGCCACCCGCGGTTGGCCAATCTCGGGTTTTACTACCACCCGAAGGTCACTATAAAAGTCTCACTCTGCCGTTTGTCAGTCATGGTCGAAGCAAATAACGGACCATACTCCTCGCAATGTCTCGAATTTTCTCACATGCAATAAGCATACCAAAGGCCTTCTCTTCGCTCAGTACCCTGAACCTACCTTATTCCACTGCGGTCCGCACTATTGCCACCATGAGAAAGCCCGCACCGATAGCAATTGTCGGTGGTGGCCCATGTGGACTTACATTCGCACGCCTCCTTGAAACAGCCGGAATTGATTATGTCATATTCGAGCGCGATACCTCACCAGAAAATGCGCTTGAGTTCCAAGGTGGCACACTCGATCTCCACGGAGAAACAGGCCAAGAAGCCCTGCGGCGCGCAGGCCTAATCGAAGAGTTTGAGAAGTTTGCCCGGCGAGACGCCACGACATTGACGGTGCAAGACTTCCGTGGTAATCTTCGCAAGACATTTGGCGAAGGCCGCGATGCCCCCGAAATCGACCGCCTGCAGCTGCGACAACTACTTCTGAATTCGTTACCAGCACATCGCATCCGGTGGGCCAAAGCACTTCAGGGGATTGAACGGACCAGTAAGGTTGGCTATGGGCATGTTGCAGACTGCACACTACGCTTTACCGATGGTTCAGCAGAAAGCGGTTTCAGACTCGTGGTTGGCGCTGACGGTGCCTGGAGCAAGGTCCGACAACTGGTAAGTAGCCATCCGTTCACTATCATCATCGCACTTACTGAATTATTCTCCTAGATAACCCCCGCAGAGCCACAATACTCTGGAAGAATGTTCATTGAAGGTCGCATCTCACCCGGCAACCCGCAGTACGCAGCAGCACACGAAATGGTAGGCGCTGGTAACTCTCTCGCCACGACCCGGGGCTGCACCCTCTGCATACAACAGATGTCCGACCGCTCCTACCGCGTCTATATGGGTCTTGAAGTACCGTCTACATTTACCAGGCCTGGAGGCGAAGCCGACATAACCAAGCCCGAGAAAGCGCGCGCTGCAGTGTTACAGCACTACGCAGACTGGGCGCCGCATCTCCGTGCATTTGTCCAAGCAGCAGAAGGGCCCTGGCGTCCGTGGCCACTGCACCGACTTGACCCAGAGATTTACCTCGACGGAAGTCCGAACTGGACACGAGTCCCTGGGGTCACGTTGCTAGGAGATGCAGCGCACCTGGCGACACCGAATGGCGACGGTGTCAACATTGCTATGTATGACGCGTTGGTATTGTTCGACTCGCTCATGGAAGAGGTGCAAAAAAAGCAGAGTAACACTTACCAGGAAGGTGAAGACGCAGTAGCAGTAGAGCGCGCCATTGCTGCTTATGAAGCGGACATGCGTGCCCGCGGACGAGCGCATATTCTGGACTCGATAGACATGGAGGATATGATGTTTGCGGAGGATGGAGCAGCGCGTATGCTGGCGATGATTAGCCAGGGTTGATACTACTCGCACTTGCACACATAATTTCTGCCTACATCATCATTATCACCAGCAATTACTAGATAGTACATGGACATAGCCAAATACAATAATCCAACTCACACACAAAGCTTGGCAATACATGCCCGTCGATCACTGCCCCGCAGACACCACGATCGATTCATTAATGTAACCTAGTACTAACCATACCCCACCTATTCTCCTCGGGATTATTCTCCTTAGTTCAATCTTCACCAACCCCTCATTCTCCTCACCGCACAACATCCCACTTCAAACGAAAATACATCTCCTCACCACACCCTACTCCTCCCAAAATGGCCACGAATACACACACCACCTTAACGGAAACAATTACAACTTACTTCACCTCCATCGACGCGTCCGACCTCCCCACCACCATCTCGCTCCTCGCCCCCACCGCTACTTTCACCATAGTGACAGCAGCCAACACAACCTTCACAGGCCGGGACGCTATCCACTCCATGCTGGCTGATTTTGTCGCCCGGTCTAACTCAATGGAACACCGTGTTCTGAGCATGGTCGTGGATGAGAAGGCGGGCAAAGTTGCCACGCAGCAGCGGTATATTGGGAAGCTGAAGGACGGGACAGAGAACGATATGCATAATTGTAATTTCTTCGATGTGGATGAGGAGGGGAGGATTGAGAAGGTGGCGGTTTGGATGGGTGGGGGGAGTCCGTTGAAGTAGATAGGTTTTTCTTGTTACTGCTGGTGAGGGATACCATTCCCCCGGGTTTCTCTCAAAGATCAGAAAATCCAAGTATTGCTCATGAGCGATACCTAAAGTTGCAGAAAGGCAAGGGAGAATTTACTCAGAATGCTGCAGACTAGCTACTACAGACTTTAAAGAACCAAGAGAATGTAGCTACCGCCATCATTCCTAGCGCAAGAAACGAAATGAGCGAACGTACATGGTATAACTTCATCCCCTCCCTCCCCCATTTTAAATACCCTTTCAGCCCCTGCCCCTCCTGTCTAACTACTGACAGACAGACATATTCCATAATCCCCCATATATAGCAAACAATAAATCCTACCACACATCCCACTCGATCACCACAACAATCAGGGTGAACGAAATTAGAAAAAATCAAAAGCACTACCCTCCTTGTCGCAGTAATCATTCTTGTTCAAACCACCGTCCACACAACGAGCTTCGGGGCACTGCTTCACGACCTTCAGCGTATAGTCATTGTTGCAATGGAAGAGGATGTTATCCCAAGTTCCCGGAGCATTGACCCTGAAGGAGGAGTAGTCTGCGGCTCTCATTGCGTCTCGGATTGCAGAGTCAGCGTCACCTATTGATGTGGACGACGTAGTTAGTTTTCATTACATTTCTGGGCCACTTGGTTAATCAAGGCACAGGGTGTTACCTCGATTATTCAGGGTCGAGGCGCAGTAGTCGAAGCCAGGCTTGCAGTTGGCAGTGCCGCCAGCGTGGCACTGTGCTGCGGCAGAGCCGGCCAGAGCCATGGTGGCTGCGATGAAAGCAGTGAAGCGCATGGTGGAAGTATGAACTTGGTTTCCTGCGGTTGAGAACAAGTTGAGATGTTGAAGGTTGGGGTCTTTGGAAGACTGGCTTGAGACAGCTTGATTGTGTTGGATGCTTCGGGGGAGCTTCTGGTGTGCAACGAGGGTTTATATAAGTTCAGGACGTAAGTTGGCGACAGTATTTGGATAGTCATCACCATTATTGACCGATTGCTTTCCTTCCCGTGATGAGCGTGTGCTTCTTAGCAAGGCAATAGTTATCTGCATCACATCGCGTGATTCGTTGAACTAGTAGTGTGTTGTAACACGGTGATGTCTCAGTGGACTACAAAGTTGGTTGTAATTAGATCGGACTTACTCTTCTTGGTCACAGTGTCTGCTTTCCTCTCCGTACAACCCTGCCTATACCATCTTAGCGATGCTCATATGATTTTGAGAAGTAAAGTCGCATCCAACTGTTGCCTTACTTGGAAGAAATCCGTCCCCTGGGGAGTTGCCATGATGCCCAAATAGATCGATAGAAGAACGCAGGGCGGCTTTACTGGAGTGCGGTATATTAAAAGATCAAACAGAAGACTATTAATATATTAGCTCCCCACTTAGAGATATTTGTCAGTGCCAGAGGAAGACACTGTAACTGTGATCAGTCCGCATTAGTGGATCTGTACGGCGTTGAGGTCACGGAATACTTCGCTTTGGAGTCTCCGATGCATCCGAGACGCAGTACGGATATAGCCGGGCTTGATCAATTTTTGACCTTGTTCGGAAGATGATTCGCCGATCGAGTCGGCTTATTTTAGATAGTTAGACCCCTTGTGCAACAATGGGCTGGGTTCTCGGTCGGCTGGAAAAGCAACGTAGTTTCCTAGCCCTGGTGGCGTCCTGAGTAACTAGTCACTTAGCAGAGGCACTGTTTTCATTTGCATTGCGCATTTGAGGGCCCCAACACATAGCTTCCCCTTCGTCTTTTTGTCGTTTGATATCTTGGGTTGGTTCCTGGATGTAGATATAAAAAACAAAGTTAAATCGCTCCAGATACCCCGGAAGAAGCAGGGTAGTCCACTTTTGACTGCGGAATCGGGACGGATCTAGCCAGAGGATGGGTTCCTCATATTGCATCGCAGCTGCATACTATAGAATCCACTAGTTATACATGGTCCGACTTGTGATGAGACCTGCAGCTTGAAACCACTGGAAGGAAAAAACAAAGTATAGATTCAGCCCTACCGTATCTGTAACATATTCTGGTCATGAAAGGTCTTCTATGTCCTTTAGCCTGTCGAATGACTCTCCTGGATTATCACCCTTGAAGCTATGTTGTGTATGGGCATGAACAATATTTAGTTGAGATATTAGTATGCTACATGATGTAAGAGTAATTGCGATCTCATTCTCCGCACACAGGACTTGCTGCCACGCTTGGAAGTGAGGCGTGGCGGGTTTGCATCGGAGTGATCGGAGGAGCACATTCAGAGGTGCTACATTCAAATCCACTTTTACGGCTATTGATATGGGCCATTACCATCAGAGGCAATCAGAGATTTTGTTATGAATCGAGGTAAGTGGTATCTCTCAATGTTTTAAACGTGACAATTTACGCGACAACATCCATTTCGATGTTTTATTCATTATACGTGCACGCGTGGGCTTTGTTGAAGATACAGCTCATCATTCCATTGTGCATGTTGCAACCATGTTTATGATTCTCTAAAGCCCAGATAGAATCGAGCAACCCCCCATAAAGAAGGATAGGGAAGCATCTGCTTTCTCGGTTGCATGGAACCACGCCGACCCAAACGGCGGATCGGTTCCTTCCGACCGCCATCGGAGCACTTCCGACCCATCCATCATCTCCCATTCCGCCATGATTCCACCACATCTCAGTTAGAACTATGCCAATTCAACGCATCATGCTGCGTCAACTTCGCCATACCCTGCCATCAGGGTCTCGCTCCCTCAGCACAAAAAAGCAACATCACCTCCCAGCAGCCTACTACCGAGGCGGTACCTCCCGCGCCATCTTCTTCAAGCAAGACGACCTCCCCGCAGATAAGGCCAAATGGGACCCCATTTTCCGGGGTGTCCTCGGCAGCCCCGATCCCTACGGCCGACAACTCGACGGCCTAGGCGGAGGCATCTCCAGCCTTTCCAAAATCTGCGTAGTGGGTAAGCCCACCCACCCCAGCGCAGACATTGATTACACCTTCGTGTCTCTGGGCGTGAAAACCCCCGATGTAGACTACTCCAGCAACTGCGGGAATATGATCAGTGCCGTTGGACCATTCGCCGTCGACTCTGGGTTAGTAGTGCCTGGATTGACATCTGCATCCGTGCGCATTCACAACACCAATACGGGGAAGATCGTCCATTCTAGTTTTCCCGTGGTGGATGGAGAGGCTGCTGCGTCGGGGGAATTTGCGATAGATGGGGTTTCGGGAACAGCGGCACCTGTACAGTTGGATTTTGTGGATCCAGCGGGATCAAGGACGGGCAAATTGCTTCCTACGGGACAAGTGAGGGATGTGTTTGATGGGGTGGAGGCCACTTGTATTGATGTGGCGAATCCGTGTGTGTTTGTGCGTGCGGAGGATTTGGAAGTAGAAGGGAACTTGACACCGGAAGAGATTACAGCGCATCCGGGTCTGCTTGATCGGTTGGATTCTATCCGTCGGCAGGCGGGTGTGAAGATGGGGTTGGCTGATACCAGGGAAGCCGTGCCTGGCAGTGTACCTAAAATATGTCTAGTATCGCAGCCAGGGACGGATACACGCGCAGTGGAGCAGAAGCAGACGAAGGAAAAGGTGGACTTGCTCGTGCGAGCTCTATCAGTTGGCCAGCCGCATAAGGCGGTGCCGATTACAGTGGCATTAGCTGTAGCGTCTGCGGCGCGAATGTCAGGCAGTACGGTATCGCAGGTGGTCGGCGAAAAGCGCGTGGATGAGGCGGGCATTACGTTGGGACATGCGAGCGGAAATCTGCTCGTCGGAGCGACATTTGATGAGGAGGGTATATTGAGGTTCGCAACGGTGTTTCGCACGGCAAGGAGATTGTTTGAGGGGAGGATCTTTTGGAAGGGCTGATTGGGGGGTATTATTAGTGACCACTATCAGAAGGCGCTTATTTGATTTTCCACATATATCTCTAGCTGACAGGGTACTAACCCTGGCTGGTACTGGAGATTAATCTACAACCTGTTAGATATGGGCAGAGGGTCATGCTTACAATATTCCCTTCCCAGGTCTAATTACCAGCTTTCTGCCGGAAAAATACCTGACCAACAGGTTTCTTAGCGACATCCCTATCATTCTCCATGTGTTTCAAAGTTCCAGCCTCGTGCTTTGCCCTTTTCGATAACCCCCGCACCAAGTCAGCTGCTGGTTGGACAGTCCCTTGCTTAGTTGGCATGAAGTGACCGGCCCAAGTGGAGCCGGCGGCAGGGACAAGCCTCGTCTCAGCACTGATTCCCAAGGGTCCCATGGTAGGGAAAGCTTGAGAGAAAGCTATTGCTACGAGAGAGTACACAGCACTCTCTGAATCATCTGGATAATGCTACGACCACCCTGACCCACTTTGGATGAATCAGTTCTCCAGTATTGGATAACCCACCCTGGACACCATCAACAATAACCGTCATCGCAGCCTTGCCGCCAGTGTCTGCCGCCAGCGTCTCAAGGACGCAAAAGGATCAGGCTATGCAGGGATTGACGGTGGGCTGTGCCGCTGCGGCAATCCCTTGCCCAAAACGTCCCTACTTATACCTGAGGCTCGAACCGCCCCCACGTCAGATAATTCTGACGAAGTGAAATCATCGTCGAAAGACAACTGACGAGCGGTGGTGTCTGTTGGTGTCCACGGGCTATCTGCGTCAAAAATGCTGGGCAATATCTTGCCCAATGCAAAAACCTTTGCGCGTGTACCCGGGAAACCACCATCTACAGGTGTGAGGGACGTGTCTGGTCAGAGTGATGGCGACTCGCTACCTGGTTATGCACCACGGCGACACATGTGGTCCCCCGTGATACTACGCTCCGTGTCTCTGGCCGTGTTCGGTGTGCTATTCATATGTTTCATTATTGTTATTGAGGTGCTCTATTCGGTATCGACACAGAAAAAAGGCCTGAGCACAAGTGAGGAAAGGTATCACTATCTGTGGACGTATGGCCCGACAGCGGGTAAGCCATCCTTTGCTTATCCAGAGTTCTTTACGTGAAGTATGCTGACCCCGCAGTTTTTACTATTGTCGCCGGGTTTTGGGGCCAGGTCGAGTATCGGACGAAACAGCTTATGCCTTGGAAGTTCATGATTCAAGAGCCCAAACCCGCTACACGCTCTTTGCTACTGGATTACGTGTCTGACTGGAACGTGGTCATCCTTTTTCGCGCTCTGAAGCAATCCTCTTGGGCTGTTGTCCTTGCAGTTCTGGGAACACTGCTCATAAAGCTAATTACTGTGGTCTCGACTGGTCTGTTCATGCTGCAAAATGTTTACATGAAGGATGTTCCAACCACTCTAATGACTCAAGCGAGCTTTGACGCTGCTGGGTTTAATGGCTCCAAGGTTGATGGAACGGCTGCAATGGTTGTAGCTGGAGCTTGGTGGCTGAACCTGCCATATCCGTTAGGATCGACCGATAGATATGCCTTCCAACCGTTCACAACCTCCGACAAGAAACTAGGTGGGACTAAGTTGCTCCGCTATTGTTGAGACAAGAGACTGACTACCTTTCCAGGAGCCGATGCAGTCATTTCAGGGACAGTCGACATGTTCTCTGCCGATCTTGTAATGCGACGTAGGCACAGTCGCAAATTGGACTTCCGGTTGCAGCACGCAAATGTGCGAATACGATGAGCTCAACATGACTCTTAGTACTCCTTCGTGTTCGAAGTACCCGTTCACAAGCTTTCAGAGGAGCTCCTCTTCGGTGGGGGGATACTATGCGGACGTTTTCACCGCCACATGTACGGATACAGATACGGCTAATGGTCTCAATGACACACGCCTGATTTTTGCTGCCGCCCACTGGTCTGACAATAGCACCAAGATTCAAGCGCTCGTTTGCAGTCCTACCTTCAGAATATCGCAAGGATCCGTCTCGCTACTCTACGGCAATCAGAGTGTGACTAGCATCCAATCCTACACTAACATCTCTGGCAATAGTACAATTCCGGGGTTTGAGGGTATCGAGCTAGGGACAGGACTTGTTTCTTCCCTTTCGTTGGCTGAGGACACCTTGGATACTCTTAACTATGTGGATACGACAACCCATTCCCTTACAACCTATCAATACAATCTGTCGAACCCGAACAGCACCTATCCCAGTGCATTCTACCTAGTCGCCAATCTAACCTCTCCTCACACAATGCCTGACTTGCTGAACGCATCAATCTTGGAAAGGGTTTCCCGTCCGACATTCAATGCCATGGCTGCCCAAATAGCACGGCAGTACTTACTGTCCTCTGCAGACGGTAATTTCGCAGGGACATACTCAGCCCATACTCAGAGAGTGGTTGTTAGGGAGCTCTCCGTCCGAATAATGGAAGCTACCCTAGCAGTCCTCATTATTCTGACTGCAGCGCTGTGGATTTGTAGGCCAAATCGCTGCACGTCGCGTGATCCCGGCACAATTGCTGGGCTAGCAAGCATACTGAGCCGCAGCCCCAAAGTGTCTGAGCGGCTCACAGGCTGCAAAAACGCTCAAGACCTCGCCACCAACCTAGCAGATGGGAGGTTTTACACCCGCGTGACAGACAACGACGGTTGGAGAACGTTTGGCATCGAGGAAGACCAGAAGGCAACCGAAGCGTCTCGTCCTGGAGCCAGCTCTGCTGGCCCTCTGATCTGGTGGCGGCCAATTTCAGTAACAGTATGGTGGTGGATCATCTCTATAGTGCTCCCCGTTCTCATTATTGCTGGGTTAGAGGCATCCTATCAGGTATCCGCCCGTCAAGATGGACTCGGAACTGTTACCTCAGGCGGCTACATCCACTACGTCTGGGCCTATTTGCCGGCACTGATATTCCTCATCGTTCGCATATTCTTTGACTGCATCCATTTCTCCGCTATGGTGTTCCAGCCATATCTGGAGCTCCGACAGGGTGGCGTGACAGCACCGGGCAGCCTTATGGAAAACCACCTGTCCAAGCTAACCTTGTTCTCATTCTTGACCGCAATCAAGCGGAAACAGTGGGCTGTGTGCGCAACTGGATTTACGGTTCTTCTAGCCCCTGCGCTCACTGTGGCAGTCAGTGGGTTGTATTCAACACAGGACATTATGTACACACGCTCTGCTTCCATAGCGCGAACCGACACCTTCAACACCACCATCAGCCCTCTTTCCTCCACCACCAGCGACCCTGGCCTCGGCCTCACAGGAGCCCTTGTGGTGGGAGCCAATCTATCGTACCCAGCTTGGACGTATGACGAGCTAGTCCTCCCTACCCTCAATGAGGCGTCCCTCACCGATAAGGACGGGACGGTCCAAACCAATTCCTCCTCGTTCAACAGCACGTCCGACAGTCTGGTTCTCCTCAACTTAACCCTCCCTGCCCTCCGCGCCAACCTCACCTGCGAAGCGCTCCCCCAAGACATTGTTTATTACATCAAACCCGCTTGGTATTCCTTTCCCATGTTCGACCTCCGCATGCAGCTTGACAAGAAATGTCAGGGTGAAGACACCTCCACTGACTTCACCATCACAACCGACTATCCCAATGCAACGCGCACTACATTCGGTGCCTTCAAATACCTCAAAGATGAAATAGATTTCGGTGACTGCCCAGCGCTAATGGGATTCTACGGTGTAATTGATGGCAATTCCACAGCCCAGATCCGCGGATTTACCTGCAACCCGCAAATCGACGAAGTCAATGCAACAACCTCGTTGTCACTCCCCGGTCTAGATATCCAGTCTGCGACCGCGGATGACTCAACAAGCCGACTTTTCACAACAAACATTTCCACCACCCTCAAATTCGACAGTTTCCTTTCCCAGCCCGTGAATAAGCAAGACCAAGCCTTTGACGCCTTTTTCTCCGCCATGCTCAATGACCAGAAAACCCTTTCCTTATCTGATATTACCGACCCTTCCCATTACGCCACTGTCATCAACGCAACACAACATCTCTACCGCACGTTGATGGCCCAGTCAATGAACGGTAACGCACGAATCACCTCTAATGACAGCCAAACATCCTTCCCCGCCACGATCGTAGACCCGAATCGTACCCGTCTCACGCAGAGCGCCATATCCACCCGCATCCTCGAGGCTTTCCTTGCAGCCATGATTGTCTCCACCCTAGTTGCATCGTATTTTATGCAAACGAAAGAAGTTCTCCCTTTCAACCCGTGCAGTATTGCTGGCGCCGGGGCGCTGGTCGCGGGCTCAGACATACTGAAGAGTGATACATTACCTGTGGGGTCAGAATGGTGCAATGATAAGGAAATGCTGAAGAGGGGATATTTCTCTGGCCTGGTGTTTGGGTTGGGATGGTGGGCTGGGGATGACCCAAGATTTGGGATTGATGTGGGGAGGGCGACAGAGGAGAGGGAGTAGGCTGTCTGCATATTTCGATGATATCCATGAACATGAATGGCAATTTCCCGTATAGCGTGATACAAAAGATATTAATTTACTATATATGTCATATACCGATGTCATCATGCATCTAGTGGTACTAACTCGGACTTCCTTATATCTGAAACAAGAACCTTCCATAATATACGTAAACACATCCGAACTCTATATAGTATTATCATAACCAATAGCCACCATAGTACACACCCTCATCAATCAAAATACTCATTCCCATAAACAAACCCCATACCATAACACATCTACAAAAGAGGATCCTCCTCCGCCCGAGTATAGCAGTAGACAGCATCAATGTATGTCGTAGGGATCTCTCCCGTACCACCAATCTTCGAGAGAGCCGGGTAATCTTCGGTGTTGCTGTACAGATCACAGATATCAGGGGTAGAGAAGTAAGAGTAATCGCCGCTGCAGACAAAGACATTAGTACAAAAATGGCTTGCAATCCTAAAAGATCCAGGTCGTGGAAACCGTACGGGTAATCCAGCTCAGTGAGCTTCTGCAATTCAACCTTCTGTTCGTGGGCGTCGTATTCGCTGGTTCCGTATTCAATCTGTTAAGTGTGATGTCCATATTAGCCATTGTTCTATTGTAGTCCATCATAATTTCATCCTGGTAAAAAGGAATAAGGATATCAACATACGTCGATGATCTGGCCGATAACGCCGGAGGCAAAAACGGCCAGAGTAGTGGCCAGGAAGGACTTGTTGAAGAACATTTTGTTTTTGTTTGGGGCGTTGGACTATGGTCGGGGTTTGAATGGATGTAAGATGCTTTGTTTTTTGATTGAATGTTCTATTGCATCCGGTGAGTGTCCTTGGAGGGGGTTTAAGTACTATTGAAGAGGCGGCAGATTTAGTCTTCATGTAGCATATCGCTTCGATAGTGTCGGCCAGCTTGAATCCATTTTTGGATATGCTTTGGTCTCTTCTGTCGATCCGGATAATTGCTCGGAGCCGTCGGGGGAACTCGATGCCGGAAGCTTGATACTTTTTTTGTGGATCTGGGTAGGGTATCGGCAGCTGGGGCTGAGATTGAGTGTACACTCCATATGTCTTGCGTTATAGTGGGATTATTGGGGACATACATCATAGTCATTATATTGCTGCAACTTGGCAAGGATTCAATTGTAATTGTCAATTCAGTGTCTCAGTTCCTATCATGTTATCTTCTTCAGATAGAGAGGATTTTTCGCCATTGCCGGAGGCGATCGGTGCACGCGGGCGTCAGGCCGCACTAGCGCGGATAGTAGACGATCTTCATATAGACTATATGCCCAGCTTGACGATCAGCGCTGCCACCACTTTGGAGCTCTCATCTTTGTGTTCCTGGCAATGGCAGACATTTGTCAGTCCCTGCATGGAAAGAATCGGTGAGCTAACTCAATTCCAGGCTCGGGAAGTATCCTGCTCGCTGTGTGCCGTGGGGGTCGGTAATTACTTACTATCATCGTTGACCGGGGGAATGTATATCTCTGTTTGTAGGGCAGTTCAATGATATCATGGAAATAAGGTTTCTAGTTACACGAGGGGCTGGTCGGACGGGAAGCTTGGTTGAGTCTAAAGAGGTACTATATGCTGATCGGCTATAGATCGGATCCTGGGCTCATGATAGCGGGTTGGCAGAAGTGGTGATGGCTATTGCGGGTTATGAAAACAATGAACAGGGGATAAGTCTTGGGTATATAAGTGTATCTCCCCCAGTTCATCACGCGAAAATCAGATTACCTGACTTCACTGCAATAGCGAGGTACGTTTCACGCGTTATACCGCTGGCTTTGTTTCCCACAATAATCACTGTGAGCCTTACTGCACTATGAGGATCTGGAAGTCCTTACATTCACCTAAGATTTTAAGGAATGGGTGTTCTGAGTCTGTTGACTCAGAACTCTAGTCTTTTACCGGATGGCCTAGCGTTTTAAGTCCGGAGGATTCACTACCTGAAGCGCACCAGGCTGGATTTTGACATGCACTATTAATCATGTACCATGTATTCTAAGTGCTGTGTAGTCCTCCAATATCTTTAGGCCCGGGGTTACTGATGCCTAAGAACAATACACAGTATCCATTAGGTGCCTTAACAACAAAGCAGACTTTGCGGCTTCGCACTAGCTCCCATTTTGGGGGCTGTCGCAGTCAACATAGAAGTAGGCACGGACGTCATCCCTGTAAGGGTATTATTACCCAGAACAGTAGTTATATTGCCGTTAAATGCAACCCTGTCAGAATTGGCGTGTTAATATCATAGGCCGTCACTAGTTAGACAGCACGTGTGGGGCTTACAGAAGTAGACAACTGGTGCTACACTGGAAGGCCATTATAATGCCTCTATCGTAGTGTATTTGCACTATACATAGCTTCGTTGGAAACAAGACATACTTATATTGCATTTGGATAGTTAGATTGTTTGGTATCTTTTGGGTATAGGTGGCAACATTAGAGATATAAGTTATTTGGTGAATAGCACGTATCAGCATCGCAAATTAGAGTAGAATTGTAAATATATAAACATGGGGGAGAAGCTTTGATGGAAGATGTGAAGGGTTGAAGGCAAAGAGTGGTCTATTGTATTCATACTTCGGCATCGGCAGCAAGGGCTCCAGAGGAGAGCGCCATTGGAGTGGCGAGGAATTGCTTGATGAATTGCGTATCAGATTGCCTTTTTAAACAACTGTTATGCCTACCTGCCTGCCAATCAAAGGCGTTACCGCTTGACTGGAAACTACATCCGTATACGTCATTTGATGCATTAAGATGTGGTTCTACAGCCAATGGTTACAATGATGACAGGACTCACAGCATATAAATATACATTTTCAATTTTTGCAATGATTGAATAGAGGTCCTTTACATATTGAGGGAGATGTGGTAAGATACACAGCACATGTGGGGTTTGCTGGGCAAAAAGCAACACCATCACCCGAGGAATGCCCGATCCAACCGTGGACATTCAAAGAAAGCCGCGGTTGTTTTACATTGCAATGACGCTTTGTTTCCTTGTCCGCGAGCACATTCTTTCAAGATTATTGCGATGTTCTACGGGCGAAGACCTTGGATGTTTGATTTGATTTCGGCTTGGGAAGCGAAGCAGGAAACTATCTACCTCATGGAGGAGGAATATGCTCTGTGGGCATTTGAATCATCCTGTGGGTCATCAGGCTGCTCAAGACATGCAAAAAGCGTTATTTGAAGTACTGGATGGGGTAAGTAGGGTGGACCTGCATCAAATTATAAGGTGGTCCAAGCAAGATGTTCTCCCCAAGCTGATACGTGGAACGACCCAGTAGCACTCCAATAATAGCAGGAATACAAGCAAACCACAAGTGAAGGAAGCATTTACTCTACTGTTTCTGGGCTGCCAGTCTATGACCGAAATGGATACATTTGGCTCGTTCCCAAGGACCTCCTTCCATGGTCATCATGAGAAAGCTGATACTGTGTATGCATGTGTCGTCGCAGTGTAGCATAACCAAACATATAACATTCTCTGTATCTGACTAACACTATCTCATGATGCTAACAATTTGGCTTCCCATCATGTCACTCCGATACCCTTGCATACCCAGCATTGTGTACCCCAGCTACCTGAAGCAAAATCCACCGTCAAATTATCCATTGCGATGATTATATCATGTCATGCTGGTACTGATTTAGGTAGAGGAGGGATCTTGGCACTGGACGAATGCAGCGTCGACTGGGGGGTTGATGTTCGTCGCACCCGCGGCAGCATAGTAGACCTCCTGGCCATAGTAGCTATAACGGCTCGTGTTAGTGGCAATACCGGGTATAACCATTTTAATAGGAAAGGTGATAAGTACGAGAAGAGATAGCAATTGGCAGTGTTCTGGAAAGTGCTGATGGATCCACTGTAGAGTCGTTAGCATTGCACTTGGACAAGGTCCTTAACAAGGCAGGTAACATACGGCTGACTCAAAGAAGTACGGACATCGGACTCCACCTGCTGGTTGTAGTAAACGCCATTAGAGGTGTAGGCGATCTAGAGCCATACTTGATTAGCAGATAGACAAAGAATGGATCTCGATATAGTGATGTCGAGCGAGAAGGCGTGAGATAATTCTTGAACATACATCGACTGTAGTTGCAACAGCGCTGGAAGCGAAGAGAGCAAGGGCGGTAGCCACGATAGACTTGGTGAACTGCATGGTGGAGATATTGTCTGTTTAGGACTTTGCTGCTATTGTATGCGAATGTTCCGTTGATTGCGATGAAGATGATGCTCTGTTTCTGCTGGGGTTTCTTGACCATTATATAGCCTTGAACGGAGTAATAGAATCAAATGCCAAGGAGTAGATATTAGGCCTGCCATCCATCTGATCGTATCATTCAGAGCCAAGAAACCCCGGAAACCCCGGATGCTCACCGGCTATAGAAAGCTTCCATCTAGTGTAGAGCTCGGTTCGACATGTCGTGGTCAAATAGTCTTAGAAATGCGACATGGCATCCACTCGCAGACGACTATCAGACAACTGCATACACGAATGCACCGATTCTTTCGTAAGGCTGTGATCGGCAGACCCCGGCTGCTTCCGAGTGGACTTCCCCGCGCCTTACAGGGAGCCATAACACTGTGAAGCCCGACTTGATTTTGCGTTTTCCTACATTTGGAAATGATTCTGATATTATGTGTCAAACTTTCTAAAACACCCCATCTAAACAATCTCAAGCCCCAGCGCATATGGAGAGTATCACGTTCCTTGGGATACACAGCATAATATCGGCAGTTTGGGCATTGATTAATCGCTCAGCGGACGCTAAGTATATGAGCCTTGTGACCTTAGAAACCTTTCGCAGGAGATTTCCTAGGACAAATTTATATTCGGGTAAATTGCTTCTATGGTCCGTACGGTGATTGCATATTCTGTAAATGAGCCACAGCAAGGGCATTATGTTATTAAACATCCGAATATTCAAGTCAAGGAAATAGTCTGTAGTGACTAGTTGGAAAGAATATGACAGTACCCTTGGCCATCTGAAGACGACTCAGAAGTATACTGAGTACGGACTATAAGCCATAGTAATGGTCTCAAAAGCGCACATATAATATAACTATCCAATAATCCATGCATATACCATTCTCAACCGGCATGACACTCAGATGAGCCACTACCATCTTCCTCAGTACCCCACTCAATCACACCTCAACACCTAGGACACCCACTCATAACTCAACACTGGAATAACAAAGTCCGGCGCCGTACACGTCGCATTGAAATACTCATCGTGCGTGCATGACAAAGTAAAATCCGTGCTCCCAGAGTAAGTGATCAAGCTACCATTTGCACATTCCAGCGCATGCCCATCTCCCAGGACATAATCCATGTGCCCGGTAGACGTCGCATAATTGGAGCTACCATAAAAAGAGACGATCCTTCCCTCGCCGCGATCCGCGTATCCACAATTAGATGCTCCGTTTCCGATGTCATGTACTCGATACCCGATGTACTCATCATGACAGGTCAGTCCATCCGCGAAGTCGATGTCAAGTGTCTCAGGAGGGCCATAGCCCCACGGCTGGTAATTGGGCATCCCGGTCCAGCAAACATTGACCATGCTTCCGTTGCAGGTGGCAGGGTCGGGGGCGCACCAGCCATGACCGCAGAGGCAATCTTTGAAGTTGATGTCGGCCTGATTATGGACACAGTCCAGGCTCTTTGAACCGTTGTACCAGTGGAAAGTGGTAACTTCCCAGGTGGGGATGGGACATCCGTCTGGGGGAGTGATCGAGCGGGGATGCAGAAGGGCGGTGGTGGAGGTTGAGAGAGCCACGAGAGTGGCGATTGTGGGGAAGATCAACATGTTGGGGATTCCAGAAGATAATAGTCCTCAAAAAAGCAAGGTGATGTGATAAATTGGGAGATTGGGCTTTGCGGTCTTTCATGGCGCTTTTATATCTCCCCATTCTGTTACCAACAAAATTCTGGCCATCTCTGGTATTGAAGAAAACTAAACGAAGAGAGCTGTTCGGTTAGAAGAATCAGGGTCTTTTACATGCACATAAGCTGGTGGAGGTGAGACATCGCGAATGAAGAGCGGAGGGAACCGACGGGTTTGAAACATCGGGCTCGCCTAAGCTATAAATGGCTGTGGTGGTTGCTTGGCATCGGCGATCCCAGGTCTTCCCGCTTATTGTCTCAACACGATTTGCCTAAAGAAGTCATAATGTCGGGAACCCCGTAGAGGTGGCCAGTCGATAGATCTCATTTTGAGATTTAACCCTGCTTGAATACGAGCTTTGGGCTGTCCCACACTCTGCGCGGCGGTCGCGGGGTAGGCCAGAGACTAGCGCTTTAGAAGATCGATTGCAGAGTTGAACGTGGATTGTGTTCAAAATTGACCGCAGGACGCGGTACTCGGAGATTTTCTAGAAGGGTAAGCAAGAATTCTGTTTATAGTAGTATGATCTGAGGCCGAATGGTCCTTTTCTACAGTCCATGCTGATTACATATAACTGCCAACGTGACGTTCACCCACAAATGAAGTTGCGCATCTCAAAGCATTAGACACTTGAAAAGTCTGCTCATTACCTGACCCCGTAGTTCATAAGTTTTAAAGCATATAAAGACTAGAAATGACCGACATTCGTACTTGTGTTACAGCAACTTTCACTGGAAAGTAATAGTGGACAGCCAGCCGTGAAAGAGAGACGAGTCCCCTGATTTACATAGCACAAGTCACCTGCCGGAGTGCGTCGAGTGAAAGAAGTATCTAGATTTTAGAGTGACTATGAGAATCCACCATCGAATACTTCTGTCCATTAAAATATACACAGATTAGCTTCGATGGTCTGCCAGTGTTCTATGACGTCACCACATCCGAACCCGATCTTAAGCTGCCGAAATTGTTCGGCAGACCGAGTCTACCGTGAACTCAACTTCTGACATTTTAACCATTAAGCCAACAAGTGCTTCCAGTTGCACAGATAGTTCATTGTGCGTGGCATAGACCCTAAAATATCCATACTCTCTACACATGTCGATTGGATCCCTCTTCATAATCTCGGAGCCCCGATCTGCCGCACAAACGTACGTATTTTATAGCTACAATATCGTGATGTATTTTCTGAAAAAAAACTCCGTATGTATGGCTAGAAAAGGCAAACCCAGTGCTGTCCATTACATTGATCATGATTTATGCAAGGGACGCCTGCCGCACATGCTGTGCTGGTCCAAGCTACAGCACAGTAAATGTGGGGTCGTATATGGGTCGATGCAGACTCGCCGAAGTATCCCCGAGCAACTTCATGCTATGAACAATTGGGACTATGAAACTCCCATAGTTTGTCAGTGATCTATGAAATTACAGCACTCTAGTCTCTCTACTCCATTCCTAAGACTAGTGTAGAACAAAAGTGCAACCCCAATCTCATAACGGTACACTCTCAGCTTAAGCTTATCTCGCGGAACTGGAACCCATAAGCTTCATCCTCGGATCCTCACCGAGAACACCTTAACCAGTAACTCATCCGCCCCACCCCAACTCTTTAAAAATAACTCAATCTTGCCCGCCCACGTTTAAGAACCCCGTTACCCCTCCATCCCCTCCTTCTCACCCACAACATCCCCATTTATCCCTCCCATCACACCGTCAAAATGGTCTACACTATCGTCGTCCGTACGTTTCCTCAACCCCAAATCTACCCTCTGCAATATACTATGGCATTGATCATACTAACATAGCAATGAACAACAGACCTCCGCGCTAAGCCCGACGAGGAGAGCATCTCCAAGCTCCACGCCAAGCTCATCGAAGCCTCGGCCGTCTACTCCAAGGACAAGGAGACCCTGTCCTGGTTCGTCATGCAGAGCGTCCACGACAAGCAGGACTTCTGCATCGTCGAGCGCTACCTCAACGAGGGCTCCCAGAAGTACCACCTCGAGAACCCCTACTGGAAGACCTTCGACCCCTACGTCATCCCTCTCTTGGAGAAGCCCATGGACCTCAGACGCTTTGAGGAGATGGAGGAGAAGAAGGAGTAAATGTGCATACTATAAAACTTGAAATGGCATGTATATAGATTGAATGATATTTTCCGATGCCGTGCGTTGGAGTTTATTCATGGCAGCATCTTTCTTCTATTGAATGATGCTCGCATTGATATGAAGTACGCTGTGATCTACAGGACTCATCAGAATTCATAGAAAGTAAGGTGTGAGTGCAAAGCTGGATTTCTAGATACTGAATCTGCGGCCTCAGTTGAGCTACTTTATTCATCTATCTTACCTTGACTTAGGAACTAACTTAAGAGAAGATCATTGCAACGAGCTTTCATTGAGTGCTTCAATAGTGCACCAAAGCACTTTCATATTTTGAACAGCAAATGAAAGCACCATAATCCATCATGAATGGATGGGAGACGAGTACACGTACTTTCATTTGAGTAAGCCAGCAAAAGTCATAAAAACGATAATAAGAAAGAACAGCACACTAGCCACGCTTATTCGTCTGACTGAAAAACGGACTAGACACATAAAACGGCCTCTCAGCCACATTCCTCTCCCCTCCTTCACCAACAGTACTGCCCTTCCCCATCAACACCTGCATCCTCTCCCTAAAATCCTCATTATCCTTCAACTTCCCAACCTCCTTCTTACTATCTCCATCTCTATCACCGAACCTCGCATCCGGCTCCCCCTCAAACGTCATTTCCGGCCCATCAATCCACTTCCTCCCGGACTCCCCACACGCACGCTTAATACTCTCCGCACCCCCATTAATCATACTCTTCCAGAACGCACCCTCCCCACTCGCTACAACACCGGCATCTTCCAGCATGGCAACCGCATCAGCCACCCAATCCTGACAATTACCGACACCGAATTCAGGAATATTAGATGCGTCGTTCCCAAATGAGGAGAGTAGGTTGTTCACATGTTCACATCTCTCCTGATGGAAGGTGATCAACTCGCAACGTCCTCTCATGACAGGGTCATCCTGAAGAGGCTGGACACGTGGGTCGTAGATGAAGTACTCGTCGCTGGGGTTGCGGATATGATGCATTTGACAGGTTGAGCCGCCGATTTCGTATACGGCTATGCCCATGTGCGAGGGGCTGTCGCCGAGGGAGGCGTCGCCACGGCCATAGATGTTGACAGAGAGGGCGTGGGTTGATGGTTCTTTGGTTGAAGGGTTCATTTTTGGTTTTGGATGAGGTTATGGAGCGGTAGATGGCTGGACGTATTTGCTTGGGAACGAAGGCGATTGCTGGTTGCCTAGCCTTGTTGACTTCGTTGGAAGCCTGGGTGTTTGATGAAGGGGTCACGTGGAAAGGAAGTTGGACAAAAGAATACATCCTGGGGGTCGAGGGGGGGAGAGGCGGCTATTTATGTACAGAGTATAGAGCTGAGCGCTACATGCCGTCTAGGTATTGGCTATTATCTTTCCCTACTTGAGAGGTGGTCTGTACCAAACTTAGTTGGTTTTGCTCCAGGTGCTTCAACATCTAGCAGTAAACCCATAATCCTTTACTCTGCCTTATGTCACAAATTTGCGAGATACGAAGCAATGCGAAATTGTATGTACAGGATAGTCCTCGATGAAGCGATAAATTGTACTGGAAGGAGAATACAGTGTCTCACTGACGGGGCAATCCTTTGCAAGCCACCATCCACTCTCTTCACAGCTAGTCATTTGCCACTGCCTACCTGATAATTCCGCTGTAGATATAATCTGCAACACTTTCCCTGGGCTATTTAAGCCGGGACGAGGTTGGAGTCTCCAAATTATGTGGATGAAAAGGTTAACCTTGCTCAAGGAAGCAAGTCACAAGACTGATGCGAGATATCACGTATATTTATTTCTCGATTATGGTCGACACGTACATAAAAGCTTTGCTTAGCATGTAGGTAATAGTCAACTGATCAATTCGTATCTACGATCTGAACTACTACAAGTAGTAACTTAGGTCTTATATACTCCCTGGTTGTGAGAAAAATAGCTGTTTCTAATCATTCATCATTCAATTACATGTTTGTAAGCGACGGCGCGATCGACCTGTTTAGACAGCTTAATAAATCCGACCGGGGCAAAGGTATATGGGGAGGATATCTCTGTCATAGCACGCTTTTTTTTGTTTCTCTGACTTCGCTGTTCACTAACGTTTCGCCATAGACATACTATGTTTGCTCAAACCCAATTCCTATGTTTAACTACCTTTTTTTTTTTTTTTTTTTTTTTTTTTTTTTTTTTTTTTTTTTTTTTTTTTTTTTTCACAGTGTTTGGCTCTGTGACTCGAAAGAATGCGCATCTCTTTGCCTGTCTCGTGATTAAATCCTCTCAGGGTCAAGTACCCTTCATTTATCTGTGTGTGTCGGTAGCATAGCTTGTAGTTCTGCTTCGTTGGGACGAAAAGCCTAGGCGTAATAGCCCGCTGAGCGCGACGAACTTTATACAGACCATTAAGTAGCAAGCATGATGGAAGACGACATTGAACTGACATAGGAACAGTAGGATAAGGATGTGGAGCCTGCTGTGCTATACTCATGAAACGAACGCGTATTCTATGATCCCAAGCACAGTTGTTGCAGGCCCCCTTGAAGAAGTGGTCAAAATCCGTAAGCCTAACTATCGCTTCGTGACAACACCGCTAAGATGGGCGAAGTTGTCGAGATTTAGCTTGCCGATGGGCCTGCCCTTTTCGGTCTTTCCATACGTTGCATCTGCTGGTAATCTCTGTGTCGATTTCACATTTGAGATCCATGGCTTCCCATCTTCAATCATTTGTTTCCCAATGCTAATGGGACCTTTGCCTGTTTGTTCTCGCCAATACCCCGCTGTTCCTTTAGGTACGAGATTAGCACGCTCGAGTGACCCCAATGCACCCACAACCCAGTCCTGACAATTCTGCCCGACATCGGGTAGGTGTTTGTCGTTATTTCCATAGGATTCGAGTATTTGATGGGCTTCCAACCTACGTGAGCTGGAAAGCTGCGTGACCTCGCTTCTTCCATATAGACCCGTAGATTCGACTGAACGACTTTGTGTATGGTAGTAAAAGTCGAAGTTTTTTTGACATGGTAAATATCTCCCATTGTGTCCCAAGATTTATAGATCATGATTCCCCAATAGGTTGGACGGTCTTCCCTATCGGGATTTCCTTTCCCGTATATGTTGACTGACAATATATAGGTTTCCTCCATATTCTGGTTGAAGATGCCATGGCTCTGGCTGCTTGTCGTTGCTTTCTCCGGTTCATAATTTGAAGACATTGTACAGATTAATCAACAGAATACTTTATAACCGTGGTCCAATAGGTATGAAGGTGAGGACGCAGGCAGTATCGGCTTTAAAGCATAGACAGAAGCCGCTGTCAAGGGGTAGCGGAGTGAATTTGACTGCAAATTCGTTTCATTCATTATGCCGTATAATGCTGGGAACCTAGCTGGAATGGTGATTGAGGAAAGAAAGTATTTGGAGATAAAAATATAATGTGAATCACTGCAATTTGAGACATCCCAGCTGATGAATATAAACTTCCTAATTTGTAGCGAATGTACGGGCTCTCTCGGGGAAGGATTTTTATGTTAACTTTGGATACTTGGCAGTAGCCATGCCGGTGTGGTTGTTTTGCAAACATGCAATATTCATGGTTGCATCAGGTTGGCCCAAAGCCAAGCATGAAGTGTACAATAGTATATTAGATATATATATATATTATACCCGGAAATAGTTCGTAGAGCTAGAGACTGCGTGATTATCAGCTATTTTAAAGCAACAGTGGATACAGTAGTAGGTATTAGCATTCAAGAGCATGAAAAGCCCAGTATTGGTAATAGCCGTGCAGTTGATGGCATCTTCCCCTAGTAAATGTTGCCAAAGCGGAAATTGCCTTAGTGAATAGTATGAAAAACCTCGGCATATTCAGGTCGAGAGTATAAGATTTAGGCTCAATATATGGCTAGAAATAGTTCTGGGGTCCGCGAGCAGGAAAATCAGGAAGGCCGTAGGTAATGCCTGAAAGGATTTAGTGAAGGCCCAGCTACGGTGAATGTCCCAACATCTTATATCACTGTCAAAGAAGCATGCAATGGTATGCTAAACTTGAATCACTGATCAGCGTAATGAATCGTGATTAGAGGTGTCTTAGTGTGATATGCTACAAGTTGTGCGAGCTTTGGGTGATTCATCGTGGGATAGTTCCCATTTTTCTGTTTTCCTTTTTTTTCCCTTCCTTATTTTCTTTTTCCAATATATACACCTCTTGTCTAGTAGTACAATCATATGAGAATATATTTTCAACTTAGTTTTAGATATGATCACAAGTCGAACATTTAACTGTCGATGATCTTTATACAGAAGCTCTAATTTCTTTTCTCCAAACAATTCTGGGTATACCTCGTATCAGGTAGGTGATTTTGATTCAAGAACTTAAACTCTCCAAATCTTTCCTCCTTGGACTGGCTCATGTTCAACATGCAATTAGGATAGGAATGAAACATATGCGTAGCTCCTGGACCCTCGGAGAAAACCACCAATCTTCTTACACATCAAAGCCAAAAACCGCTTCGTAATACTCTACTCTTGCACCAAATTAAATGCGGCTAGAGGCGTGGTAATGGCCTTTCGGTTGCTGCCGCTCCACAAGGGGAATGAACAGAGTGGAGTACTTTCACTGGTGATACACAGGGTCAGAGTAGCCCAAAATGTCTTCCAATATAAAGCTTTGTCTTCCAGCTTCACAAATCTCTCAGGGAGACTTAATAGTACCTTATGGTCCCGGATAATGCGTGTCCAACTGTGCTCACTCCAAAATTTCTATTATAGCCATATCTAATTTGATATAAGGGGCATTCCAACGAAGCCGTTGCTGGAAGTATGAAGCCATCCACTGACGGGGACGTTACCAAACTTCTTCAGAAGCTGCCTTCACTTATCTCAGATGCGCATCACTCGGAGATTTGGGGCATACAACTCGATGGTGACGACGATAAACGCAAGGAGATAGTTATTGAGAAGGTAAGGTATGCTTCTGGAAATACAATCTCAGCCGCTCACAAATCAACAGTTCCTCGAACAGCATTCAATCATACCCTCTATCAGCCTTGCCAGGGCGAGTGCCTCCCTCCAGAGTGCCCTCAAATGGAGACGCATTGTTCAGCCTCGATCAGCACTGACGGGGTCAAGGGAAATTCTCACAAAATCGGGGCTCCAGCACATAACGCGTACGGAGGACAGACTGATCATGTGGGTAGTCATCGATGAGAAGACCATTAGAGATCTTCCAGCAACATACGAAGGGTTCATGCAGAAATACGGGCTTGCAGATCTGGGTACTGCGGCCCTCGAGAATGTTGCATCTGCACTTATAGACGCAAATTGTGAGCTTTATGATGAAAGCAGCCTGCAAGCTGCCTGTGTCGTGCAATTCAAACTTTACTCTGTACCACCTGGCCGCAGGATAGGTATTTCATTGCGTGATAGAGTTCGTGACATGCTTTCAGGCGTCGTGACCGAGTTGCAAAAGTATTATCCTGGCTTTCTTGACCGTGCTTATCTTATACAGCCTTTTGACGACTATCTCGACTCTCTAGAAATTTCCGAAAGCCTGCTCAAAAAGACCACAATACTGCAAAGTGCTGAAGACCTGGTAAACTACCTGGGGCCGGACGTACCACCGGAATTTGGGGGAATGGGTATGCCACTCTGCAACCGTGATATCATGAGGAACATATGTGGTGAACATGAAGAACCGCCCACCTCACGGGATCCCCTTAAGATCAAGCGGACAACCGACAAGACCAAAGAAGACACAGTCTTTGGTGTACAGGAAAATGACAGCGTGTCTAATGCGGAGAACCCCGAACCAGAATTGACTTGGTCTGAAACTATTGGACCGCCAACAATAATCTTGGACCCTTCAGATCTGAAGAATGCACACGAGCTTTGTCCCGATAAGGGGGGCGCGTGTCTAGCCTGGGCTGATTCAGAAACGATAGTCAAATATGGACACGGCGTTCGACTTGCGGAGGCTGAAGCAATGCATTTGGTATCCACTCGAACCAACATTCCAATCCCCAGATTGCTCAGTGCTTATGTTCTCCATGGAGTATGCTACATAGTCATGGAATATGTGGAAGCGGAGTCTTTCAACAAATACTGGGATCGTGTCTCAGAGCCAGAACAGCAAAACGTACTTCGCCAGCTTCGCAACTACGTCTTACAAATGCGGTCCATAAAAGGCGAGTTCATTGGGGGCGTTGACTCATCTCCATGCCGAGACGGTATCTTCGACGCAGTCTGGGATAACTACGGCGCTGGCTCATATGGTCCCTACGCTTCCGAGGCTCTTTTCACAGAGGGGATAGTCCAAGTTTTGCGTGATCGGATTCCGCCCAATTTACCCGAGGAGTCTTCAGATTTGGATTCTGTCTTCTTCACCAATGAATATGTGCTCTACCAGACAGTCAGAGAGCTTAAGAAGATGAATCATTCTATTGTTTTCACACATGGTGACCTTCATTGTGGCAACATGTTGGTCCGTTCTGATGGGACTGTTGTGATCGTGGACTGGGGACAGGCAGGATACTGGCCTGATTATTGGGAATTTTATCGTGCCATGTTCCAAGTGCCTTGGCGACCTTCCTGGGACAGGATGATAGAGAAGTTTATTCCGCCATCCTATGTAGAGTATGAGATCATTAAGAATGTGTTCTCATACGTATTCAACTAGTTGTGTCGGCTCTCTGGCGTCGTGTCTATAGCTTACTTCTGCGAGGGATCCAATCCTCATATCAGTCAATATCTGTTATCTGCCTTTTGATAATTCGAAAAGCAAAATATAAAGTCAAAGAAAAGTCAAAGAAGAAAGGTAAAAAGAAAAAGAGGGGGCGCGGGGGGACGTGCTTCGTCTCTCGCATGACCCTTCTGCAACTTTATCCTGTCTAGACGTGAGAAGTGAAAACACTTCAAGGATCGAAGAAAAAAGCAACAAATACAGAGTTGAAATGGATGATTTTAACTGGAGCAATGAGTATTCGACCTTGAAGTAATGCTCGTCAAAGAATCGGGGATGACGTGCATAGTTGAGTCTCTCACACACGTATTGGAAGACACCCCTCTGAGCACTCTGAATGACGACCACTGAAAAGTTAAGGTAGGCTTAAACCATATATGGTGGCATGTACGGTATCTAGAACGATGGTTTTCAGATAACAGAAGAACCACAAAGAGACAAAGACCCGGACTGCAGACCACACAAAGTAGTGACTCGATCGAGAACAAAGCCTTTCATAAAGTAGAAGAATTGCACAAAGTACTGAAAATAACACCCTTGTTCACATAACATTGTAGGTCAATGAGCTAAAGCGGACAAAACCAGACCCGAATAAGTCATCAGTCTATGTTCAACATAAACGATGGAAAGTCCCCGTCTAGGTGCAGGTGTATCCAGGAATACCAGTCACCGACTCAGCGACAATAGCCGCAGGAGGGTTACATCCCATTTTACCGTTATAATCGTAAAAGCGCCCTACGTACCTAGTTAGTGGACGACATCAAATGGTAGAGTACAGCTGAATTTACGTACCATCAGCACATTGGCAGTATGTGTCTGAGAGACCGCAACGAGGGGAAGCACTATTTTATCAGTCAGCGAGTGCAACCAGACATTAATCAAGGTCTCGGGGTAGTTTCATACAAGGGATAGCATCCGCTGGCAACGCTGCGAGACCCGAGGCCGGTTATTGGCGTGTCTTGGCCTTCGGTAGTAGGGGCAGCCATAATTGATACAATAATGGTCAGAATAGTGGAAATAGTAGAGAGCTTCATTTTGATAAAGGCTATGGCGTGTTCTGGTGTGTATAGCAAAGTATAGTGAGTAATTGATGGTTAAATACATAGGCCAATATAACAGCGAGGGTTGTAGATGGACTATATATCTTTGGCTCAGAGGCCTTAGAGACAAAGGAAATCAGGTGGCTTTGCACAAGCAAATAGTACCATGGTTGTATGGATCTTTGTTCACCAGTTTATACAATAAAGTATAAGGTATCTTGCGCTAAGCTGGTATCAGTTGGAAGAGGTTCACAATGGTGTCAGTGCTATCTGGCAAGAGAGGCAAAGAAGCTGCTAGAGACTTGATGAAAGAACAAGGGATGGGCTTTTTAGCCTTACGTCGTCTGAAGCGTTACATCTGAACGGAATACGAAGGAAGCCTATGCACAACCTGTTAGAATACTACTAGGCCAAGATCTCATTTGAATAAAAATCAGTCTTGATACTCATCATTAACACAATCCACTTTGTAGTTTGCAACTAATACACCACAGGGTTGATGAGAGTGCACTTATGTAATTATTCTTCTAGGTGCTAAGGTGCACTACGAACATGAAGGATCACATAACAACAAGGTTGCAATAATTCTGACTTTGTGTAGAAGCGTTTGGCATTATCTCGGACACAGCGTCGGACCATGGGATGTCTGAATTCCCCAGATGGACAAAATGCGGACCCTTTTCCCTTACTGCACGCTTATACCAACCATCAAAAGCTATAGTTACACTAAAATGACATTCATAAGGTACAGGATCGGTTCGGTTACAATTATATAGTAACTTGAGGAATGATGGCGGTTGTCGAAATGTACAGAACACTATCTACTTTGAAATATGTCCAGATAGGGGTCTCAGCAAGTGAAGTCCCACATGCTATTGGATAAGTGACCTTGTCGAACAATACACACATCATAATAAAGTAATAATTTGAAGTAGAGCACTATTTATGTCCAAATTAGTTCTATGTTTGAGGAAGATGATGTCGTTAGAGTGGGAGGAGAGAAACTATTCTAGTGCTGTCACATGACCGTTTGGGTAACGTATTGTCCCGCTGCAAGGCAATTGGCGTTCAACTCTCCAAACTTCTTCCTACTCCAGACTAGTCACATTGAATCAAGCTTGACTGGCATTCATCATGTTCAGATCATGCTATACTTGCCGGCGTAGGCATGTTGAATGCCAAATGACCCATCCGCCTTGTAAGAAGTGTCAAAAGGCAGGGCTAGAGTGCCTTCAAAAAAGACCCCTCCGTTGGGTCGATGGGCCGGCTTTCCGGAATAGAGCGCGAACTTCACAAGCTCACCAAAGAGATAAATCCAACACCCTCAACAAAGGTGATTACGGGGAATCTTGTCTCTATGAATCTAGGCTGGCAGAATCAACATTGGAGGCCACAAACGCTGTGGAAAGGAAAGGACAGTCGGCCATTTCGCACAAGGGAGACCACATCAGCATCCACATAAGCATTCCGCCAAGTTTGAAGGATCCTTCCTTTGACGCCCTGGATGATGCATCCATGTATTACTTGAATTATTGTCAGTGTGCTCAAGCAAATGCGATGCGAGTCACGCTTACTGATGAAATCAGACAGCAAATGTGTGTGCAAGTTGTTTGTCATGTTCGACAGCCAGCGAAACCCTTTGAGACAACTTATTCCGGCAGCGTTGGCTAATCCAGCCTTGACTGCCTCTGTGATGGCCCTCTCAGCTCGGCACATGGCAAATGGCCAGCAAATACAATGTCAGGGGCAGGACGAAGACCACGCGACGCGCTTCAAGGCACATACTGATGGCTTAATGTACAAACAAAAGGCCATATGCGGGCTGATCCAGGCGCTCAATGATCCAATATCGAGGTCGAGAGATGTCCTTATTCTGAGCGCGTTTATATTGATTTTCCTCGATCTTTTAGAGTCGGGGCGAGACCAGTGGAAATCCCACCTAGGGGGCATCAAAAAACTTGTTAGTGGCATGCATACTGCGGAGACTTCTCGGCATTTAGAAGCAACTATTGAAGGCACGCGGGAATTTATAATGGGGCAGATTTACCTGTGAGGCTCCAGCATCAAATTATATGACGAAAAGCGCAATTTAACATGTTGCCCGTTGCAGGATCGAAACACTTGGTGCCACATTTGGCGGTCGCGAACTATTGTCTGGGGCGGATATTTCGCCCCAACAAGCTGCACCGCTGCAGATGAGCATCGACAGGGCTTATATCGGTTGCCCTGAGTACCTTCTATATGCCGTTCGCTTCTTTTCAAAAGCTAGGGACCGCTTAGCTGATCCGAGGCACCTTGATACGCCTGAGACCTATTCTTTCCTCCAGTCAGTCACAAGTATGCTCGATTCTACCATGAGCTTTGATTGCCACAATTGGGTGACCGAGACCCTGCGAGCCTCATCCACCACTTCAACAACGCGAAATATACAGTCTCTCGAACATTTAGCCCAGGCATATAAATCTGCAACTCTAATCTACGGTTGGCGGGTCTGTGATCGGCTTACTGGAAATGAAACCCCCTTGGATGACCTGGTAAAAGCGCTGGTCGTAGAGGCTGAAACACTGAGGAGGGATGAAGCGCTATTCAAATGCATACTATGGCCTCTTTTTATTGCGGGGCTGGAGTCCCAAGAGCAATCCCAAAAGAGCCACATCAGGAATTGTCTGGAGAGCTTTTGGTTTGAGACCAAATGCATCAATGTGATAAATGCGGTAACAATACTCGAAAGGTTCTGGGTGGACCCATCGAACGTGGAAGACGACTCAAGCAGCTGGGTTTTCCGCATGGGCCAGCTAGAAGGCGATTGGCTATTAATCTAAATACACGGGCTTCACTAACACTATACGATCTGAGACGTGAAATTGTGCCCACTGGTGGTCACAGGGTGGCCGCGTCTGGCGGTTACGCATTCGCTACAGGCACTTGAATTCCACTACTGTCGACAAAGCAGGCAACAGCTTATACATTTTGAAAACGGTGAAACGTAGGTTTTCTGGCCCACATTTCCATATTATCAGGTCTAAGAAAGCAAAGCCAGAAGAATACGCCTTAAGCCTTCATCAAGATGACCACGGTGCTGAGAAAACGTATTTTCATACCACCCGGGCTCCTCACATCCAAAACTGTCACCAACTCACAGATAAATCTTGTCCTGAAAACCACTCCGAACCAATCCCTCGCTCGTATTAAGCCTGCTACCAGCTAAATCAGAGTTTTGTATCCGCATGTAAACCGTCAACAGTTTACACCAAACAAAACGCCCAGTGTTCGAGCCTCACGCGTATAATATCTCACGCAGATTGGGATACGCAGTGGCATGATTGAAATAAGCAGCAAATTTATCATGGTTATGCTTGACATATGCGTCGATAAACGCCCTGTCACAAAGGATGGATGGATGGAGAGTAACCAACATCGGACATCAGCGCGACATCCTAAGATGTTCCCGTGACCCACTGACGGAAATCTATCCTGCTATTGGTTATATATCGAAAGACCCACTCCAAACTACTGCCTAATCGAGTAATCCGAAGAAGTGGGGCCCCCGATTGCGCTGCCCCAGGCCCGCATCATTGTAAACCAAGTAAACCAGCTGGACGCCACGTCAAAATACTACCAAGAAGGGTGATATCACGAAAAGGGAATGACGAAGATCACAAATTGTCGGCAGCAGGAGGCAAGAATAGCGCCGAGATGTAAGCTATATAAAGGTCTGATTCGACGTTATCGCATTGAACTGAACAACACCCCAACTAAGATAAATTCTTTCTTCTACTTTACTTAGTACCAAACCGTCGTATCCTAACACAAAATGTGCCACGACGAAATCAAAGCCAACGGCTGGTCCAGCACTCCCGCCAATGCCGGTGCCATATTTACGGACCAATCCTTCATTGAAAGGGCAGAAGCCGTGGAGCTCGATACGATCCAGTTCCCCTTTGACGACCCTGTAGTCTCGAAGACATTGGAATATGTCAAGGCTGTTCTTCACCCCGAGACTTTGAATCATTCCATGAGGGTTTACTATTACGGTACGTCTCTAGGCAAACTATCCTTAATCCATATACTCATCACGTCATATAACCACAGGAATGGTAATCACCACCCAACAATTCCCCGAACAAGCAGCATCCATAAACCCAGTGACCTGGGCTCTGACTTGTCTCCTCCACGACCTCGGAACCGCGGAGGAGAACCTCACCGCAACGCGCATGTCATTCGATATCTACGGCGGCATCAAAGCCCTCCATGTGCTGAAGGAGTTTGGTGCCACTGCGGACCAGGCCGAAGCAGCAGCTGAGGCAATCATTCGACATGAAGATATGGGAGTCGATGGAACGATTACCTACTTCGGTCAGCTTATTCAGCTGGCTACGACGTATGATAATACCGGGATTCATCCGCATGTGAAGGGCTTTGAGGGGTTGGTCCATCGCACGACTCGCAAGCAGATTAATGAGGCGTATCCGCGGTTGAAGTGGTGTGCGTTTTTCTCCGGGTTGATTAGAAAGGAGGAGACGATTAAGCCTTGGTGTCATTCGACTCATTTGGTGGATTTTGATAAGGAGATCGAGGAGAATACGCTTATGAGGGAGTGGGAGTAAGGGCGGCTTGGGATGCGTTTTAGTTGAGGGGGACACTACAATTCTGTGCGAAGAGGATAAATGTCGTGAAATATGCAAGTGTTACGAGTATGTTGTAGATTAAGCTGGTATAACTGAACATGTAGATATATCACCGCATCGTTACTTCCCTGGCGTGCTGGTAAGGCGTATGATGGCCATCACAGCCCATCAAGTGGACGCCAGACCTTCATCCAGCGCTACAGTCATGTTAGCCATTGCTCCATGCGATTATGCGTACGCAACATACCTTATCATACGGCTCATTAGAGTTCACGAATCTCAGATCAGTAGCCAGTCGAATCCTCCTTTCAGGGTCCTTGTTCTTGCAGCTGGCATGTACCAGGAAGGGGTCATGGAAGATCACATCACCAGCTTCATATTCCGTGATCAACCACTTACGCTTGGCGTTTTCGCCATACGCAACCGTATCACGACTGAGAAAACCCCCATCATTCATATTCTTATTGAAGGCCGAGACCCGCTCCTCATCCGTCAGATTTGTTGCATTCCTGGTGAACTCTTCCTCGGTCTGTCGACCGATATCAACCGATTTCTCAAGGTACATTAGCCCGCTGCCCTCAAGGGAAATATCTCCGATCGGGACCCACGCTGTAATGCTGGTTGGGGGACCCGCGCGAAGGTACATCTGATCGAAATGAACAGGGGTCAGCTCGCTATCGGGCACAAAGGCACGAAGCATTGTCCGCTGAAGCATAGTGATATCTTTCCACTCAGTGAGTTTGTGGATAAATTCACGCAGTTCGGTACTCTCGCATAATTGAAGATAAAATCGCTCCTCGTGCGCCTTGATCATCAAGTCCAGATATTTCTCCGACTCGTAGTCGTCCTTCAGCCCGAAGAGCCGTCGGAGGTTGCCCGGAGGTAAAAACTTGCGGCTATCCTTGTCACTGAAGATCCCGTCGACTGGGTCGGATCCTTCTTTGAGAAGGCCAGAGGGGGCCATGTATGAGAAATAGTTGCTGCGGCATTCTAGGACTTGGTTTCGTGGGAGCAGCTGCTTGACCTATATGTGGATTAGTATGAGATGTATGATAAATACGGAGGTGACCTTACGAATAGATACCCATCACGGATAAGTCTCTCTCGCATGACCTCAATCGGGGTGTCCTTCGATGTGGGCTGGAGATATCCGATCTTTTCCGGGAGCATGGGCCCGAAGTTAGATTCAAGCTTAAGATTCTTGGGATCAGTGGGATAGTATTCTCCGTATCTGTCGTTTGGAGGCAGTTTGCAGTCGCTTGCTACGAGACGAGCGGAGGTAAAGACCTCGGATTCACGAAGGCTTGTTGTTGACATCTTGTGGTGAGTGAAAGGAGTTCCGATAGCTGATAACAGTTTCACTGCCACCCAGGCAAACAAATTCAATAGACTGATGGCTTAGAAAGTACCTGTGAATGAGACCTACGGGGTTGAGGGTTGGGATGGCGCATCTTGATATAGCCCAAACATCGCCAGACGAGACCTACAGCCGTCTATTGCCGAACGTGGGGAGCCCCGCATTTCTCCCGCACTTCTACAGCCGACGACTCCCTCATACCCATTCTGTCTCTGACCACAGATCAATTATTTCGTCCAAACGCTATGACTAGAAGTACAGGCGTAAGGCTTTACCGGGCCTGCCTTCGTTGTCGACAACGCAAAATAAAATGTGATTTGTGGGTACAGCTCATACTCCGCTCCATTCTTCCTTCTTACATCCACCATCGTAGGAGATATACGGAGGGAGGGACCCTTGGGCCATGCTCAAAGTGCATCCTAGAAGGCCATCAATGCATGCCAGCCACCTCGAGAAGAGGGGGTGACTACTCTCGCTTCCGGGGTCGACGTCATGGACACGCCGAGACGCAGCCTCCAAGGGTCAGTGAGCACGGCGAAACCAAGACAGAACTACAACCGAGTGCATTGCACGCCGAAACTGTGGGGGTGGACAATGACACTCTTTTTCGTGGGGGTGTTCGAAACCCCTTAGAAGCTCTTCAAATCCTCGCTCAGACGGCCGCCACTGCGGGGGATGACAGCATACCTTCGCCTGAGAGGCCTTCTCAAAGATCGGATGGCACAGGGCGTGCAGTGGGGAAGTCTGTGCATCATGATTCACGAGAGCAACCCAAGGGATCAATAATGGCCACAGAGATCATCAAGGAGGGTATCATCGACGAACTGGACCTCGAACCCCTGGTACAATAGTATGTCCCGCTACCATGGCCGATTGTGCCTGCACTAACCGATACAATACAACAAGCTATACCATAAACTACCATCATTACTTTCCTATCGTGTCCAGCAATCTATTATACACAAAAGACCGCAAGCACCTATGGGCTACAGAGACGTTCCTCCTCGCCTCCGTCCTTACAATAGCCACTCAGAACAGGCCGGATCAGAAGCACCTTCACATCCGAATCAGAGGGTATATCGATAAGCTAATACTTCGTGTCACTCTTGGCGCTAGAAGTGTGCGGCAAGTTGGGACCGTAGAAGGCTTACTGCTTCTAGCCGAGTGGATGCCACATCTAATGCTCTCCCAGGATCAGCCCTACAGTAACAACTTTGGACAAAACAGCGCATACGACGAGGACTGTGTAGCCTGGAACCTGATAGGTCTTGCAGTCAGACAGGCATATTTGTTACATCTGGAAAAGCAATCCTTCCCCTGGGAGGTGGAGTCGGAGCCATGCAGTATGCGCTGCCGGCGACGACTAGCATGGATATGTAGGTGATTCAGACCTCAATTTAGGATAATGCCTCCTAACCGGCTATCGCCAGTTACCTATCTGGCCGACCGGCACATATCAATCCAAATGGGCCAAGCATTCTGGTCCCGCGGACCAAGTCTATCCACCAGATTCAGCACCCAAGATTACCCATCACTACAACCGGCCATTACTGGCGGAACAGACTACGCCTCCTTCATACAGGCGCAAGTAGAGCTAACAACCATCTTCGGGAATATCCACGACATCCTCTACGCATTAAAGTCGCGCACACTTCAGCTAATGCTGGTTGGAGACTACTCCAAATATCTCGACGATTCCGCCAAAGCAATGGAGATGTGGAAGGGAACCTGGTCAAACGTCGACATTCCCTCCACTCTGTGTTGTCTCCTCACACTACAGTACCAGTATCTACAACTCTACGTGAACGCCTTCGCCTTCCAAGCAGTCCTATATCGCTCTTCTAAGACCTCCACCAACACAAGACCAGGAAGACAGCACATCCTTATTCCCAGATAGTGTCATGGCCAGCCCCGACGCTCGCCACATCTACGCAGCCATCAACGCAGCAAGAAGTTTACTTCAAACGCTCGTGGAAGAGATAACTCCATCCGACATTGTGAAATTTCTTCCTGTTCGCTATTACCTGTAAGGATCCTATGTACCCATGCATAAACAAGCCACTAACACACCCAAGCTACGAAATCTACGCCTCCGTATTCCTCTTCAAAGCCTACTCCGTCGGAGCCATCTCGCCCGAAGAATCTCACGCCTGCTTCACCCTAACCCTGCAATTCATCTCTATGCTCAAAGGCGCCGCTACAAGCCAAACGCATATTGCTCATCGCTACGCTAAATTACTAGGTCATCTATGGTGTCATGGCAAGGTTACTCCTGAGTCGCATCAGGGAAGTGCTATCCAGGAGAGCGAATTTACCAGTCTGCAACAGTACACGGCTGATGCGCCTGTAGATTCTGGGGATTTTCTTCAACCAGTCAATGTGGATACTGATTTCATGGATGCGTTTTCGGGTTCTCTGCCGCTAGATTTGGACCGCTCTTGGGATTCTGGATTTTACGATGAGACGCTGTTCTCTAGTTTGCCTTTTTTTCGTGGATTTCGGGAGCTAGAGGGGGGTTATGTTCCGTGAGTGGGAATCTTCCTGTTTGCGCTGTACTAGTTCTAGGATTAGGGGAAGTTATATGTCTTTGATGGGTTGCATGTGTGTGATTCAGGCTTTGATAAACCCGGTGCAAAGGAAGATGAAATTCTTCAAGGGCGAATAACTTGGTCGTTCAAGGATAGTCATACTATTAAGTGTGTGTTGTAAGTGATTTAGCTCATGGCCTAACGCCATCATGATCAGTATCCCCTATACGACCTCATTGCATGACCCCTTCCAAAATATATAACTACCAATAACCAAGGAGCTTCATGTATTCCTCCACCTGTTTTGCTTTGTCCTGATAAACCTCATCCGGGTCGGCATTGGATGCTGGATCATCACGGTACAATCCTCTCCCGCCGACGGCCGCACAGAAGCCAAGGAATACGACCAACTTCTTTGCCCCCTCTATATCTTGTGGCCTGTCCACCTCTGCAATCTGCAGAGCCTCATATAGATTCCTTGCTAAGTTATATTGGGATTGTGCGCTCATGCCGTCATCGTAGTATGCATAGTTGTCCAGATCTCTCAGATCAATTTCCACGTCTCCATCTGGAAATCCTTCCAGTATGCATCGAGACATGACGAGACTGTCACTATCCATGGGAAACAAGAGCGCGCCGTGCAAGCTGTTATAGGAGTATATGAACTCCTCCAGAGGATGGCCGAGGGAGGCATAGTTCCAATTGAGTATGTAGGATATGATTGGTGATTGATCAGGTCTTTGTGAGACGAGAAAATTTCCAAGTTCTTGATCGTTGTGTTAGTTGGAAAGCTTAAGGATTGGTGATGGTTCAGGGACATTGCTTACCGATCCTGTTCAATGTAAATGTTGGGCGATACTCAGGTATCTCAGCCACTATATCTTTGACAGACTGCTCAACGAATTCCTCAAGCCTGCTTCTCAACTCTGGGCTTTTCCGCCAGCCTTCGATGTCTTGTCGCTCTTCCGCCCGTCTCAGATCTCTTCTCAACATTTCTGTGAGATAACTCCCTAGATTGGGAAACGGACCTCCGACGCCAGTCATAAGGGCCTCTCCAGAGCGAACGTATCCTTCCTCTGAAAACCTGAAGCCCCCGTATCCCTGACATACCACCATGTGATCATAAGATTGGAAGAGTTTATGTATTGTCGCAATCTGGCCCAAAATCTCGCTCTGATGCTCCGCGGACATTTCATAAAAGGATTGCTTGAGTGGGGCGTCCCCGGGCGGATGAGAGCTATGGATAATCCAAGCGTTGTTGTATTCATCATCGCTTCCGTCACTCCACGCATATACCTCAGGCACAGTGTGAAGATAGAGGGTGTTGTACAGAATCGTTCGCGCAGTATACATTGCAGCGACTTTGTTCTCCGCCCAACGGCCCTGGTCCATGTTTCCTTGGGGGATTTTGAACTGTATGACTAACTGTCTCGAGCCCGACGGCATGCGCACCACTCCATGCTGCTTGGGAGCATCACGTAGGCTCCACATTGTCTGGAGGAAGTAGACTTCATATGAGATGGTATTTGCGTTGTAGTCCAGAATTGGGGCGCGTTCGACTCCGTCCACGGCAATACCAAATATCTTTTCTACTATTTCCTTGGCGCGAGCCTCGAGCCTGGACGCTCCTGTGGTAGATGAAGGGGGTGAAGGTGGAATGGTAAGCCCGGCCATTGTGAGCGATCTTCGTCGGCTGTCTGTTAGTGAAGTAGGCCGACCAGGTTGATAATGACAGTGATGAGTGTAATCAGTAGTACTAAGGCCAAAGTTCCTGGGTTTGTTGTTGAGGCGCTATTTATAATGATAAAGGGTGATATAAAGAATGTCATTTAGACTTTACTCGGTTGGACGTGATCGATTATTGCATATCATAAACCGTATGCAAAAGAGTGTTAGAGCCTAATGAGGGTTGAATATAGTCATATCATAGGCATGTACCTCATCATCCTTTGACGTTGCTGGGGGTATGCATTATGGCGGTGTTAGTTTGTAAGTCCGATATTCAATATGTCGGCCAAAAGTGGCAGGTACCGGTATGGTCGATCAACAAAGAAGGTTCGTCTCAGACCCCAACGGCTATTACTTGAAATGTTTCTGCCTCGCAAGACTAATGTGCAACTCGCAGTCTTTTGTCCACCCACAATACTAGCAGAAAGGAACGTATATGAAACACATTGTGAGGCATCATCCCTGTACATCGCATACCTCTAAATATCTATCGCAAATGTTGCATTCTACCTGACGGAAATTCCAGTGGGCCAGGCACGTACTATAATTGATATAAAGTTCTTCAGAGCATCTCAGATAATCCAAGCTCTTTCACACGTACCTGACTCAATATGCCCTTATCGAATAGTCATAGTAGAGCAACATTACTATCGACTGTTTGGTTCAACAAGAACATAATATTCAGCCACCACGGTACCCATTATTTGTTGCAAATTCCGCTTAGCAAGTCCATTCTATGCCAGTTCAGGGGAGAAGCGATAGACTAATTAGATATAATCACGATCAATGAAATCCAAAGCCTCTACTTAGTTCATTTTCTGATTAAGCAGAACGATGCCCGGGAAGACGAAGTGGAAGAGACAATACCCCACGGAAACAGCCGGAACAGGAACACGAATAAGATGGGCACCTTGCCTAGTGTTCATCCCATGGTTGGCCATTCTTTTCGACCAAAGTGGCTATCAAAACTTTGACCTAACTTGCATTGCCCAGGATGTACACGCACAGACAGAAGGCACATCCTTATATACGAGCCAATGACCGTATTACCATGGATAGGTGGCGCCAATGAAGATATCTCTATATATGCATCGAAACCTAGCGATTATAGTTGGTGGCTTAATAAAACATGTGGCAAATTCCAAGGTTCTAGAAGAGTAAGAATCTAGCTTTCTAGCCCCAATTGTTAAAATGAACTGCTAAGTACACCATTTCGCAGCCAGACTTTCGCGCCTGGTCTCTGGTTAAATACAAACTCAACTGTTGACATTCCTAGTATATGTACGCCAGAACACCACATAAGCTGGAGAGTTCAGTGTGAATCGGAGGATCGGACATGATTCGCACGGCCTCAAAGGTGGATGGACAACCTCGGGAGTCAGCAGCTTCATGCTGGGCACTAGTACCGAGGGGAAATAGTAGGCTTTCCTGTTCATTCCTATCCCTGGTACAGCATAGTCCGTGTGGCGTCCACGCCAGCAGCCACCTTGTGCTTTATCCGCGGGGATGCAAGGTACAATCTCGTTTTGAGATTCATTATGGGCAGAGTACAAAGCCATCCATTGATACACGATAGCATCACCTTAGAAAGAGTGGTAACAGCCAACAGGTTATGTTGTGGGGTAATTTCCCACCTGTCCACATCTAACCAGCAAGCTACAGACGTTGTACCGTCATCGTTTGGCAATCTGGGGGTGGAACTTCCCTCGCATCGAGCCCGCTTAGATAATCGTCGTGCAGGATTGTACTCTTCCTTGTACCCGATAAAGTTGGATTCAATCGTCGGAACTTCTTGTGCCCAATGGAACCTTTCAGATTCCAATCTAGGTTTATATTATTAAGACTTCCATCGGCCAAGGTGCTGAATGTGGTCGACGTTCCATAGAGCACCATGGACAAACGGGCCAAGACTGGATTGTAGGACGATCGCAGCTTCCAGACTCCTGCACTTGGGTCCACCGCATCGTAGAGCCGCTGGCGTGCCCTTATAATTGACTTCGTAGTCATTTCCGATTAGGGAGCTGTGCAAGACTGACTGACGAGCCAAGAAAGGTCGTGCACGTCAGAGGCGGGCAATAAGGTTTCCGCAACCCGCATGAACCAAGCTTCCACTCGCAGTCCTCGGAGGGACATCTTTCAGAATAAACCTTCACGCCTGTCCAGCTTTTCTCTCTTCTCTTTTCTCAAAGACGCTTTGGCCTCAGTCCTGCGCAAAAGGGTCTGGCAGGCATGGCGCTCTGGGCATATTTGCAGCCACTTGGCCAATTTTAGAACTTCCGTCGGCACCTCTTACTTTTTCCTTTCCTTTACAGGCCTTATAGGGTCGCTTTTCGCATCAGCACCACTCTCGGTATGAGACTCTTTGGCCGATGCGACCGACAACGGGACTAGTATGTCGCAGGAGGTCGGTATCGACGTTCATAGCGGCGATTTCTCGTCGCTTACCTCAAAGGACCCAATCCAGAAATATGTCATCTCCGCCTTTGCGGCCATTACCTTCTACAATGCGATAGAGCTCGTCGTGCTTTGTTTCACGACATTTCAAAGGTATCATGGATGTTATTTCTGGAGTTTGCTCGTCACCTCGGCGAGCCTTATCCCCCATTGTGTGGGATACCTTCTCTTTATCTTCTCTACTGTTTCTCCTTATGTGCCTGTGTCCTTGATTATACCTACCTGGATTAGCATAGTCACTGGTCACTCCCTCGTTCTTTGGTCGCGATTGCACCTCCTCGTGCAATCGCAAAAGCTGTTGCAGGGCCTCCTGTACATGATCATTATCGACAGCATCGCCTTCCAAATTCCCACAACAGTCCTACTGTATGGATCACTATCAAATACCCCCCACTTCGCCAGGGGCTACGACATCATGGAGCGGGTCCAGCTCGTCGGCTTTTGCGTCCAAGAGTTCATTCTTTCCGGCATATATGTATGGGAAACCATCAAGATGCTGCGCCTTCGTCCCGAGAGGTCCCGGTTCATTATCCTCACTCAATTGCTTGTTATCAATATACTCATCCTCATTCTGGACGTTGCAGTCGTCGCCATTGAGTACGCCGGATATTATGCACTGCAGGTCATGTTCAAACCTGTCGCATACAGCGTCAAGTTGAAGTTGGAATATGCTATTCTGGGTCGGCTGGTCAAGATTGCCCAAGGGGCCAGTTCGGATCCGGATCCATTATCACCAAGTTCTCGCGGATTCAACATAACTGCATCTGGATTTGACGAATCGGGTAGTACCGGTGCAGGTGTCACAGTTGTCCGACAGGTAAACTCGGGACCGTTGGTCAGGCGATGGTCTGGACAGACTCATGACAGCTTGGGTTTCTGTTAGGAAGATCCCAGCTCGATGTGTTGATTAAGTCGCTGACTCGCTGGGACCAGTGCGGAAACACCCCTCGGAAGCCCTTAAGCCGATTTGTTGACAAGAATTGGTCACACGAGATGGCAAAGGAAGAATCGGCTCTCAGCGTCGACGATCGCATCACTGATAATCCCCGAGCATCGCCCAAATTTACACACAGCCACTTAACGCGACGCCTCAACCCAGACCACGGGCTTATACGCGACGGAACTCTTCATAACGGTCAGGCGAATGGTTCCCCACGGTGGTACTCGAGATGCCTCGTTTATGGAAGGGGTCAGTGGCTGCTAAAACGCATATACGGCATAAGCACCTTTTGGACGGAATGAGGCCATCACCTCCAGAGGCCCATTACTTTGAACTAGATACTCACTATAGAACATAATAGAACAAAAAAGACAAAATTCTACCTTAAACATCCTTGAATGATGCCCCCTTTTGAAAGGCTTGATGCAATAGTTATAGGAAAGCTGAAGCATTCGCACCTTTGCCTATTTTTAAAGCAGGGATAGGTATCTCAATCTCTTCCCAACCGAGCAAATGTGCTAATTTCCCCTGCCATTAGTCATTAATGCAGCCTTGGTGCCTGGTAAGGTTCAGCTGTGAACGTTGCAGCATTCCAGGATATTGGAGACGGAGACTCCCACGGCCGTTGGCCGTCCTTTCTGGCTTCGTCACGTCTTTCACAAACAGAACATTGTCCACGCGGTCGTCCATACAGTGATTTTCTCTCAGAAATTTCAGATCTCTTGCTCCAGCTTGCAACCATGAGTGACAGCATGCCTCCTCTCGCATCCTGCGCCTTACAGTGAAGCACCACAGTCTGGTGTGGAGGTATGCCCAGACGGAGGATGTTGGGGTAAGTGGGTGATTGATTATTTGGTTGGGGAATACTTGTTCTAGGTTTTGGAGATACCCCGCAATTACGATCGGTGGGTCCATTGTCTGTCGAGCTCAATCTTTACTTTGATAGAAAAAATATCTGATATGCCACCTGTACTGGTAGGGTTTGTGCCAAGTAGACCTACCACATGAGAGATTCACTATGCTTGACGCTATAACTTTCACAAAAAAGCTACTCCCATTCTGGCGTTAGAAAGCTTCAGTAAACTACGCCATTGTTACAACAGATCATGTGCAATCAAATAGAACAGCTAAGAGTTTCACCGTTACTGGTAGCTAGCATGTCAGCCGGATGCGGCCCGTGGGGCAAGGCATGAATGGCCAATAACAAGCTTCAGACCTCTCCTTACCCCGTGAGCTGGGATATGACGGCCGTCAGCATCGACGTCCTCGTTGGGCTTTCACTACAAACAACATTCTTTGTCGTCTATTTTTCAATGCCCCCATACGACCAGCTATGAAACATTACATGAAATGTATGAATCATGACTTCGGCGAGGTCGAAGACCCAGAGCCCGATGTGTGGCGTGAGCCCTATCAGGAGATGACGCCTTACTAACATCTGAATAATTAATACTTTATAGTCAGCTCGTGTAGCCTATCCAGTCTAGGATGGCTCACGGCGCAATCTCTTACCAAAATTCTACTGTATCTGGAATTGCACGATTGCGGAAGTGTTTCCGCAAGCATGCTATATCTTTGACACTTACCCTGCGGATAAGTCTGGCACTGCACGAATCACCCAGGTCTAGCCAAATTACTTCCTTGTGGAACGTCCATACTAGGAATGTATGCCTCTAATGGCTCTGCATCAAGCATATTGACTTCCCAACCCGGGGTTCTCGGAGGTAATAATTATGTCAAAGTACGACGACAAGGTCATTGATGGCCTAATGCAGGTTTTCGTTTCGGTGTCTGATCCTTAAGACGACAATGAAAAGACGTCATCTAGGGAGTGATGATATTTTGATGTGTCTGCTGACTTATTCTCCAAATGTGTATTTAAGATTCTAGATGCATCTTCGACTCGTTGCAAGACGCATCGGGCATCATCTGAGTTTGGCCTGTGGTTTTCTAGCACAGGTAGGCGTAGGAACTACTACATCACAAGGTTATACTTGGGAGAGTCTTGACACGAGACGATCAATTCACTATACTTTCGGTCTCTCCGTTGCCACAAGACCATGGTTACTGAGTGTTTTATCGTCGAGTCGGGGTAATCTCGACCCGACCGAGATCTATATAAAGAGGTAACAGCTTTTGTGCACCCCACTTGTTGATGTTCCAAATCCATCACTTCCACACTTACATATGTGACTCTATTTTACGAACGGACCAAAGCCCAAATCCCCTCGTGCTGCCGAGTATTCACATCAAACACCATGAATACCTTTGGCTTACATCAAGATGGACCCTTTGGTGGGTTCGGCGGCAGTGCCTACGATGCGAGGAACAATGAACAGAAGGTCAAGCATGTTAACGCCTGGAAAGCTCACTATCAAGGCTACGATGTCCTTGGTGCAATTGAGTTTCAATTCCAGAACGGCGATTGGAGTGGTCGAATTGGCGGCAAAGATCCTAACATCGGCTACGAACCAGAGTCATATGAATTTGCAGATGATGAAACAATAAATCACATGTGGGTCTATGCTGGGGAAGATGACGGCTTCGTCAACGGATTTCAATTCACAACAAACCGAAGATCCGACCCTTTCAAAGTTGGTGGAACTGAGGGTAAATTAACCGAATTGGAAGACGATGAACTTGGTGCAAATGGCGAATGGGCTGGAGCTACAGGCAGAGACAACATCCACGGTGCTGATGCCGTTGTGGACAACATGATTCTTTATTTCAGGGAGTGAAATGTTCTGAGAATTGAACTACTAGTAGTTGGTTGTCATGACTGTGGTTTCAGAAAAGGATGTGAAGTGTGCACTGCCTGTCTAATCATTGTTCATTAATCCTGCTGGTACTGTTACACGCACCGAGCACAAGTATGGTGGGACATCTGTCTGTGTCATCTTGGTTAGTGATTGAAGGAAAAAAGTGTTAATTAGTTGACTTCATCGCACAAGATGCCTTGGTATGGGTTTTTACCGGAGCTGTTTCCGTTTTCCCCATACTGTCGTGCGAATGCAGAGGCAACTGACATAATATCATAATGGGATAGTTATTACTTTAATCATACTGCATATTATGCTCTACATAGGCGGCATTATTTCCAATCATTCCATTGTCTATTCGAGAACCACGCGAATGATTGCATCGAACGTTCTTTATTTAAAGCCTATAACACCAAACCTACATACAGGGAAATCCTCAGGTCTGCGAAAAGAGTAGTTCGACTTTGACAGGAAAGTCGAGGAAAAAGAAATAAAAAAGGAAAACTTGAATTGAGTTGATCCAATACGAACCCTACAACAGAAAGTAGATTTTGTGCATGAGCAAAAAGAGATGACAAGAGTGGGATTCGAACCCACGCCCCTTTCGAGACTAGGAATACTCCGGATTGGAATATGCGTGATCAGGTGACCTGACCCTAGCGCCTTAGACCGCTCGGCCATCTTGCCCGTTTTGTTATAGGTTGCTTAGCATCTTAGCTATATCAATACCAAAAGTCAGCTTTGCCAAGTTGGTCTCCAGTGGACCGGACATTTCGTTTGCACAGACTCTGCCACGTTTTGAGAAGAATATTGGTGTAACACCATTAATTAAAATTGGTTTAATAATTTGTTTGTGACATGATTGTGGGGGAAGCATTACTTCCGATAACTTCAAAACTAGAGATGAGTGTGGGAGCTTGGTCAATAGTGGTGTCACTTGTATATATTTCCCGCTCTTGCAACAAGCTCTATAGCACTTGGCAACATTCATGGACAACCCAGCGGCAACTGGAAACTCCATTCGGAGGGGCGACTTTCCTAGTAGTAGTGATCTCTACCATTTGGTAGTACTTGCTTAGATCCACAGACTGTGATGAAATACGATTAAATTATTACCTAATTATGACCACTATCATTTACTCCTCCTCCCTCCAATCTTCCACTCAAACAGTTCAGACGCCCTCCCCCTTCTTCCGCGGATACTGCCAGGTCCAGTTCCGAATATAGTCCGGATCAATGCCGTCATCGTATGCCTTCTGCTTGGCCAATAACTGCATATTCAGGAACTTCTCTCTCACTCCGGACGCCGTATTGCCCAGTCCGCGGGCATGATCAATCGCATCAACGGCCAAACTATACCGATCCGTCTGATTCCTCACCGCCAGCTCGAATGGCGTATCGATGTTCCCCTTCTCCTTGTACCCCCTCACATGGATATTCTCCTGTCCGGGTCTCTTATACGTCAACCGGTGAATAAGCCACGGGTACGAGTGGAAATTGAAGACAATCGGCCTATCAGCCGTGAAGATAGCCTTCCATTCCCGATCGGACATTCCATGCGGGTGATGGATCTTGGACATGAGTTTGAAAAGATCGACCACGTTGACGAAGCGCACTTTCAGCTGGGGAAGGTGTTCGCGTAGGAGCGCTGTGGCGGCTAGTGCCTCGTGGGTTGGAACGTCGCCGCATGCGGCCATGACAACGTCTGGTTCCGCGCCCTGGTCGTTACTGGCCCAGTCCCAGATCCCGACGCCCTTGGTGCAGTGGGCAATTGCTGCGTCCATGTCCATGAATTGGATGTGGTCTTGTTTATCGGCGACAATGACGTTAACGTAGTTGGCGCTGCGGAAGCAGTGGTCCATTACGGAGAGGAGAGAGTTTCCGTCGGGCGGGAGGTAGATGCGCACGACTTCGGGAGACTTGTTAGCCACGACATCGAGGAAGCCTGGGTCTTGGTGAGTGAATCCGTTGTGGTCTTGGCGCCAGACGGTCGCGGTGAGGAGGATGTTCAAAGATGCCACTTTGGCGCGCCATTCGACTTCGAGGCATTTCTCGATCCACTTGCAGTGCTGGTTCACCATAGAGTCGATGATGTGGATGAAGGGCTCGTAGCTATTAAGGAGCCCATGGCGGCCTGAGAGGACGTAGCCCTCTAGCCAGCCTTCACATGTGTGTTCACTAAGCATCTCCATCACTCGACCGGCCATGGAAAGGTTTCCACCGTTGTTATCTTCAGGGAAGTATTCGGCCAGCCAGACTTTCTTGCCGGCTTTGTAGATCTCGGAGAGCTTGTTGGATTCAGTTTCGTCCGGCCCGAATACACGGAAGTTGGTCTGATTGAAGGCGACCACATCACGGAGGTAGTGTGACATGTTGACCATGCTGCCGCGGATGGTGGCTCCCGGATCGATGGATGTGAGTGCGTACTTGCGGAAGTCGGGTAGGTCCAGCGGTCGCCGTAGCAGCCCACCATTGCCCACCGGATTGGCACTCATACGGGAATTGCCAGTTGGAGCGAGGGCTTTGAGTTCGGAGATCAAACGGCCGTCGTGAGTGAAGAGCTCCTCGGGCTTATAGCTCTTCATCCACGATTCAAGAAGTTGAAGATGTGAAGGATTGGTGAGGACGTCGGTGATAGGGATTTGGTGGGCACGCCAAAAGCCCTCAAGGAGTTTGCCATCGACTTCACGCGGGGCGGACCAACCCTTTGGGCTGCGCAGTATGATCATGGGCCAGTGTGGGCGGAAGGGCTCCTTCGACTCGCGGGCTTTCTTCTGGAATTTCCTGATTTCAAGAACACAGTGCTCGAGCGTGGCTGCCATGGCTTGATGCATGGTTTCGCGGTCACTGCCCTCTACAAAGTAGGGGGTCCAGCCGTAACCCTTCATGAGAGCAGAAAGCTCATCATGGGAGATGCGTGCGAGGAGTGTCGGATTGTTGATCTTGTAGCCGTTGAGATGGAGCACGGGCAGAACGGCACCGTCGGTGCAGGGATTAAGGTACTTGGTGCTGTGCCAGCTGGTAGCTAGTGGCCCAGTCTCGGCCTCACCATCGCCCACCATGGTAAGGGTAATCAGATTGGGATGATCGAAGACGGTGCCAAAGGCGTGCGAGATGGAATAACCCAGCTCCCCGCCCTCGTGAAGACTACCGGGGGTTTCTGGGGTAGCGTGGCTGCCGATACCGCCGGGGAAAGAAAACTGCTTGAAGAACCTTTGCATTCCTCGCTCGTCCTCCGACTTGTCCGGGTAGACTTCGGAGTATACACCCTCCAGGTAGGACTGTGAAAGAATGCCAGGGGCACCGTGACCCGGGCCTGAGATGAAGAGAACGTCCAGATCATACTTCTTGATCAGCCGGTTCATGTGAATCCAGGTGAAGGATTGTCCTGCGTCTGAGCCCCAGTGGCCGAGTAGGCGTGCTTTGAGATGCTCCACCTTCAATGGCTGTTTCAGAAGCACATTTTCGCGCAGGTAGAGCATGCCTAAGCATAGGTACATGCTGGCGCGAAAGTAGGCGTCCATTTTCCGGACTTCCTCCGGGTCAAGGTTCTGGCCCTTGACCGTGGAGCGAGCAGCTCCATAAGCGGAGATGCTCTGATCATTCGAATCCGATGGCATTTTGGGAGAGTATCACACTTGGTAAAATGCCGTTAGTTGAGATTCGATGTGGTACCGCTCAGCTTCTATTTAAGACGGATATCTGGAAGGCTGGAACTGGCCATTCTTAACGTGGGCTGACATCCCAGTCGGCTCCATGCTCGCACTTCCCGGATAACATCCATGTAAAGTCCATGTAGTAACCAGTCCATGACGCTGGCTTCCGTCACCCTCCGCGCCTGCTGCGTCACTGGATGGGATGATGTATCTTTATTGGCTCGGGTGGTCTTTACCGGAGTTGTGGTACGCTAGTCCTGTTCCGGAGCTGACATCTCGTGTGGGCTGATATCTGATATTTGGACGCATGTTCATGTTCTTATCCCAGAATTTGTTGGTGGGTGGTGGGTTATGAGTTGGGAATGCCCTAGAATGTGACAAGTCAGTCCTAGTTGCACTTGTGTCCTTCAGCACCGAATCCGCCCGGTACTCTTACATTTCCGTTCCTGCTCAGGCCAAGGCGGACATAAGCTGGCGGTGAATGCTATGCTAACAACACGGATTGCACGTCACGAAGCATCTAGAAGCCCAGGAGTTCTCAAGCATTGAACGCAAGATGAAATTATTGAGTAAAGACAAGACAAAGTCAAAAACAACGAATCAATCTCACACAGAGCACATCTCCAACTAAATGTCTGTTTCCACTACCTCACCATTCATCACAGTGATGGTTTTCAATACTCGAAAGTTTCACCAACTATATCCTCAGTCAACTTCCACAGTTGTTCTGCTTCGATCGGATCCCGCGCCCAGCTGCGGACCTCCTCCGGCTTCAGTACTGTACAGTCCTGGACAAAGCTTCCATTGTTCTCTGCCAGACTTGGTTAGCTTAGAACGATGAGCCACCCACAGAATCAACTTACGATGTGTGGTGATGGATGGATGAAATGCGGCGAATACATGCGTCGCCACCCCTTGCGACATAGTCTTCCAGGTTATCTCTCTCTGCCCACTCCGGAAGTACCCGAGTACTGTGAACCATTTCACTTCGGTAATGTCAGCTAGCGTACCTCGTGCAAAGGATACAGATGTGGCCCATACCGAGAGATTCGTACATCTCGGACCAGTCTCCTCTGGCAAGATTCGTGTTGATTGTTCCAGGATGTAGGCTGACCGAGATGAGACCTTTGCTCCCAAGCTTTTGCGCAAGAGACACAGAGAAGAGCATGTTGGCGGATTTGCTTTGGCCGTAGGCCAACCAAGGGTCATAGTTTTTGCCTTCCTAATACTAGCCTTCAGCTCATTGTCTCGACATTGGGATACCACGCATAATTACTCACGTCAAAATTCCAGTCATGGAATCTGATTGAACTCAACTGGTGGCCATTACTCGACACATTACCAACCCGACAAGGGGTTCCAGGATGCACTAGCTTTTTTATAATCAAATTGGTGAAGAGGAAATGTCCAACGTGGTTGGTGGCAAATTGGCTCTCGATTCCATCTTCTGTCAACGAGAATGGTGATGCCATGACACCAGCATTGTTGACCAAGACATCGATATCCTCCTTGTATGTCAGGACTTCCTTGGCAGCGTTTCGGACTTGGGCCTGAGAGCGCAGATCTAGTTCTAGGAGACGGGTGGCTACTCCTGGAGCAATGTTCGCAATCTCCTGGGCCGTCTGTTGAGCTTTGAGAATATCACGGCTAGCAAGGATGATGAGCGAAGGGCTGTGGATGGCAATGACTTTTGCGAACTCGGCACCAAGACCACCTGGACTAACGCCAGTCACGAGAATGGTCTTGTTGGCAATTGCATCCTGGCAATCCTGTGCCACCTGTTCTGCTGAAGTCTGAAAGGAGTATGAAGACATAATGGTAAGAGACAAGCTGCAGAATTTGATACTCAAGTAATTATACCACTTCTGAAGGATAATGGCAAACTGATGATGGTAATGGGAAGTGCTCTAGGTGGAAAACGACAATAGTATATATAGGGCCCTGGCCGTAGTAGTCGTACGGCCTTCATTTACTCATTCCCAATATAGTCACGGAAATAACGAATAATTGAGCCCAATTCGTGTATATTTTGGTCATCATTTTGGCCCATCTTGCTCCATATGCTGGCTCGTCCAGTCGATTTCCTATTTGGGCCGAATTAATTCGAGACTGGTTACCCGATGAGGTTAGCGTGAGTCCGGCGATGACGGAGATAACGGAGCCACGCTAAGCCCGGTTGCCTTCGACAGGATGATTATTCCATATGACCCCGAGTTACTTCATCGCATTTTCTTCCTGTCCACTCCTCCAGAATCTTCCAGGCTATTTCATCTATTTCCGATGGAAAGCATGCCTAGTGAGGTGGTATTCTCAACGGGACCATTGTCTTCCGAATCCGTGGTGTTCCAGTATACCAATGGTCCACTCAAGGTGTCTCTACCGAAGAGGAGGGGCCGTCCCGCAGGATGTGAGTCCACAGACCCATCTACGGTAGACTATCAGTATGGGTTGACCAAGAATAGCGACAAAGAAGAAGCGACCCCCCGAGGGGTCCAGTCGTCAGCCCGCCGCCGCTTCCCACTTCAAGTTCATCAATTTTGGGCCCACGTTGACCCGAATAGATGAAGAAGCCCGCACCACCACCCGAAGCCACACAATGATCAATCGCCGTCGCCAAGAACAGAAGAAAGCAGGGAACACTGAAGCCACTGGCTTTGAGCTGTCCCGTCTGGCCCACACCCATATTCCACATGCATATCCGCAGAGGAACCAGATGGATCCATTTGGCACGCTGCCCATCGACATGGAGCCATATATGTTTGATCTTTTTGCGTTTTGTGAGTTGCAAAGGATATATGCTAATTTCTCGGACACTTCTAGCTAACAAAATGCCTCTGAAGACAAAAATCGCGCATCAGAGACGCTCTACTCAATTGAGAAGAGAGCCGGCTGTAATCCAATAGATGACTATTGGGTACCATTGCTGTTTCAAGACCCAGCAATGCTTCATGTAGTACTGGCGTGTGGATCGTTATTCACTATGGATCTGCAACGATTTCGAGCAAGCCCTGCATTTCTTTGGCATACCAGTCAAGCTATGAACATCATTCGGAAAAGACTGGTTGGTTCTGTGGATGCCCCTTCGGATGAAACAATAGTTGCTGTCGCCAGTATCGCTATTGCGAAGGTTAGTCAATGTCGTAAATGTTGGGAGGATATGTTGGCTAACCGTCTCTCAGAAAGCAGCGGGCCAGCACGATCAATGGGAGGTTGACATGAGAATACTGAAAGCGTTGGTTGACTTGCGAGGAGGTTTGGACGCATTAGATGACAAGCCGATGGTACAGGGAAAAATCTACCGGTTAGCTGCCTGTCCCTGCTTGAGTTCCGGATAGACTCTTACTTGGTCTCCTAGGGCCGATATCAATGGATCCTTAGACGTTGGACGGAAGCCCATTTTCAGTGATCGGTTCCAGCAGTCTCCAATGCCGGGTCCTAGAGATTACCGATTAGTTCAAGGTTTCCAAGAGCTGGATTGTGTTCTGGGCATAGAGAGTGCACTGAAAGCAGTGATCGACGATATAAAATCCTTAGTCGAGGAGTTCTCCAGTATTACAAAGAGCAGCGGTCAAACCGTCGTTGCGAGGATCCGTTTCTGGCTGACGTCAATCCAGTATACACTTCTTTCACTGCAATATAGTGACGATTGTTCCAGAGTTCAAGCCCAGGAGGTCTGCCGTCTAAGCCTTTTACTACTGATCAACGCGGTCTTTCATGAGTCTCCTCCTGGTGCATCGACCAGTGATGTACTTATCTCACAGCTGCGGCGGCTTCTGGAGAATGCTGAAGTGTTGGACTGGTTTCCGCTCACCTTTCGTCTTTGGGCCCTATACCTTGCTACTTGCAATGTTGCATCTTCCACACTGAGAGTTTGGTCGATTGCAGCCATCTCGGAAGTGGTGCTGCAAATGGGCATCGCAGATGAAGAGGAGTTCAGTCGACGACTCACGTTGTTCCCATTTGACCCGCCTACACATAATGTCATCTGTCCAACAATATGGGACGAGGTACAATTCTTTATTCAGAATCAGGCGAGAGGGTAACCGGCGAGTCCGTATTGGCTGCAATAAAGAAGACATAGTAGAACGGGGAGCATCATATGTTCTTATTTTCCATGATAGACTAATAAAGCATGGATTTATTTACATAACTAGCCTGTTCATCAATAGCTCCAGCGCGGCTATCTCTATGAGCCTGAGCAAGCGTATGCTAGTGAAATGGAGCCCTTTGGGCTTCCGTACCTATCTCCACTATTGCCGCACATGGCTTTGTAACGTGTCCTTACTCAGACAATCAGAGTGCTCCCATTCTATAGCTCGGTAATCCGGAAGATTCCAATTCTAAGATCTAAGAAGTCCGTACACGGAAAGTTCACAATGCCTCAGCCATCATGTAGGCACTGGGTAATGGAATATTTACTCAATCGCAACGTACCGGCGGCGTCCGAATATTTATTCTGTTCTTCAGTTAGATAGCAAAATGGGAAAACGCCGATAGATACTTACATCTACAGGCGTTTACCCCGATGTAAGAGGTAATACCCAATGAATAAGACTGTCTCTCCAGAGAAGACCCCTTCTATGAAAGGTAAGATCCGGGGAAGTGACCATTACGAAGCTAACTATATGACTATAGAGGGTGAATCCCGTTGACTATATAGCCGTAGAAAAATTATATAAACCACGTTAATCCCCCTCGATTTGGCTTGAGTCAATCAGCTCTCGCTCACGCCACTACCACAACGAAGAGGGGCAGGGCCACTCAACCCTGCCCCTAATTCAATATTCCTATTGCATGGAAATATATAATAGATGAAACCAGAGACTATGACTCCAATGGCTGAAGTGGGAATGTTTCTTCGGCTTTAGAGATGGCTGTCTTGTCATTCCATGCTGCGCCCTGAATCCCCGGATGCAGCGGTAGAATGAAGTCGTATATAAGAAAGGCATCCAGAGAGTCATGAGTCTTGTCTGGACAATGCAGAACTCCGCAAGATGCCTTCGAGCGTTATACATAGAAGGGTATCTTCATCGACAGCAAAGCCTACCACCACCATAGAGAAGGACCCTGCTCTCAATTTCATGTCATGGAAGGGTTAAAGCGCGCACATGATGGATCCGAGAATGCCCTGCCTATGTAGCACCCTCTCGACATCAGTGCTCGGCACACTATGCTTTCTCGTGAGTTCTATACAGTACGACTTCGCGGTTCGATCTTCGAGCAAGCATGGATGGAGAAGTATCAGAGACTTCAATATTACTGTGGCCCTCTCAACATCAAATCTGCATATGGCCTCAAAAAGAAGCTCAGCCCACATAGAGCAATCAAGCGATATGACGTCTGAGTGTCCTACTATGGTAGCAAAGCATAAGACTTACACCCTTGCCATGGTCACGAGGGAGATTGAGAGGATGTATGGACAAGCTCAAGGATACGCAGAAGATTTTTTCTGTCCCAAGAGGTACAATGGCCTCGAATCACTGGACATGCTTGATCTTGTGTCTCGCTTGCGTCCTTGCCAACGAATTACTGCACATGGTAGCACCACATCGTTGGCATCCTCCTGGTCACGGATGGACACAGAGGACGATACCACAAAAGATTCAACAATCCACTCGAAGGGTTATGGTTATTCTACACAGCTAGCTGAGCTTCATTCAACCGAAGTGTAATGAATATATCAGCATCGATGCAACACGTCATGGCGCTTCTGGTTTGGTGGTATGAAACAGATCGAGCTGCCGCAGACTCTGAATGCGGCCACCATCATGGTTGCATGCTGTCTATCTGGATAAGCAATGCTTTGGCAAGTCACTGCGAAACAACAGTGGTCGAATCATCGAAAAATGATTCTCGTCTACCACACTTATCCAAAAGAAAAACCGACTGCTGAGGAGTAATCGCATTGCTCCAATGGCTGTGTATATACTGACCTGATACAACAAGTCGGATTCCACCACTGCACCTCTCTCACGACCTAGATTCTATATAGCAAATCGAACACGCACTGCTCTGGCGCCAGATGTCAGTGTCTACAACAGAGGTTGAATCAGCCACCTCTGTCCTCTCCGCGTCTCTCCAAACTGAAGACTGACGTGTGCATCCCCTTCTCTACCAACAACCATGCCAAACACTATCCAATCATTCCAGTAGCTTCAAAGAATGGATATCCCTCCCAGTGTGGGCGCGAGACATGTACACATCGAAACTTACCTGATGCACCAATCCCATCAAAAATAAAGATGGATCTTTGTGGCAGGCTCACCCACACCTGAAGCCAAGGTTATAACTGGATGTAAACAAGGCAACGACAATACAAACCACGAAAATGCAAAAGAGTCAAGAACATGACCCTACACCGCTGTGTCGTCGTCCGCAATTCAACTCATTATATGCACCACTTTCAGACTATGAAGGTTATATACAGCAATGGAAGGGACACATCAAGAAGCAACGAATAGTGTTCAACTTCCGCGATGTCACCTCTGTACCACCCACCCACTTGCGGCCTAGGATGGCGGTCCCGCGTGCCGAAATCACTGGGAATACTGTCATTCTGGTCTGGCCTGGGGCTTCTTTCAGACGCCTGGGATACAGGGAAATTAATATGATCAACGACAGGATAGACAATATATTGCTTGGTCGTTGGGTCTTGGAAGAATACATCAAATGATCCTCGGGGACAGTAACAATTATATTCTTGTATCTGGCTTCATTACTGGCTGTGCTACTCGCTGACTTTTCGATGAACTGGTACTTTCCTTCCATGGCTCGGAGAGTCTTAAAATATTCTGGTCAGAATCCTCAAATGACAACAGAATTTTCGCCAACAAAATATCATCCTGATGGAGATGACACTAAGCACAGTCAAATTCCCTGCCTCCTGCATAACTACCTACACATACAGAGTACCTAATGAATCCGAACTTGTCCGGTCATTGATAGCGTCAATCCTGACCATCCAGCAAGCTAACCCCTTCTTCTCGAAGATTACGAGTCAAATCATATTAAACCTCTACTCAAAGACCTATACGGTGCTTCTTCTCCTCCCATGACTTAGCTTCAGAGATCATCAAACCAAGGGAAAATGAAGGGGTCTATGCCTAGTGTGCTACTTCTCCCAGATGAAACAGATCGGTGCTCTTGGCTCTACATACACATTACAAATCACCGCAACAGCCAGGAACACAGACTGGGGATGTGCCAGTACCATCTGTCCTGGTTGGCATCTACTTATGCCTGACGGAGATTCTTCTCATCTACACCTCATTGAACTACCTAGTCCCCGACCTATATGCGCAAATGTCCAAATCCCCATTATATGCAATTACTTTCTCGCGCACGATATTTCTGGTCTGCAAGTTGCTGGAAACTGCTGCTGCTGCCATTCTATTTTCGAAAGAGCTGGCGCCTCTCAGGATTCCTATGAATAGGAAAGGAATATCAAGGGAATGAAGGTTTCGTTGTTCGTTGTTGGGGAATAATAACAATCTATCCAAAGCGATCAATACAACATGAGGAAGAAAATACAGGCTAACCTCAGAGTCCTGGAGAATCGTAATCCTCGGTTACGCAGCATATCTGACTCTCTACAATGTCTCTGCGGGGTGATGGATACTTCACCATGTCTGGAGTTGCGTTCAATACTCGCTACTAAACCGAAACAATCCACATCATGAACATATATAAAAGGTTGGACGCGGACATAACAATTAGACAGTCAATGTTGAAAAGATGAATCCCTACCTACTAAGGTCCTTGTGAATGGAAGAAGCTCTATATCATTGCCAACATCCCAACGAATTGCGATGTTGGGGTGCTCGGGGTTGGGTTTTATATGGCTGAGTTGGTCACGCCTCATGATGGGCGCTGGGGTTATTGTCTCCTCTCTCCGATGGGGGGTTTGGGTTTCACTTGCCTTTCGGGAGAAAGTGCGTCTGCCACGTGGTTATATGATTTTGGGGGTTGCTATTGCTGGTAAATGTATCTGTAGCAGTGTGTCATGGTGGGTTCGATTCAGCTTGTTGGTTGAATGTATTGGATGATGGTGATAGGGGTATAAATGACAGGGGGTGGGTTAGCTTAAGGTTGCACAATCCATCCATTGTCAGTGCTTGAATTGGATAATGTAATTGAATAATGAAGACAGCTGGAATTTAATCAAGAACCATTATGATCCCAGAAGATGGGTATTCTTTGCGAGATCTATTGTACAATCTACCTAACCATTATACATTATTAATAAACATCACCCACGAACATCTTCCGTAGTTACAGCATCCTGTGATGCCAACATCCAGAACACCCCAAAAATTACCATAAAAGACAATACAGACCCAAGTAGCCAACAACTAAAGTGGGACCCACGGCCCTCCAACAGGCGTACCCGGCGACCTCAACAACACCCCCATATTCTCCTCCTCTGCCAAAACCGCCTCAATGTCCCTAGCCCGCATTAAATTCCACCAACGCTGAAATTCTTCCCGGAAACACTCAGGATCATACAACGGCCCAAACATAACCGGCTGAGGGTCATCATCCGGACCATTCCCGAAGCCAGTCGTCGTCATGCGAGCAAGAGTCAACCTCCACCACCTGGTTTGTTGCGACCAAGTACCGAAGTTAATCCTGAGAACCAGCAACGTCTCAATAAATCGAGCCGGCTTTGCCATTATAACCGGGGCAATGTCTTGCGGAAAGCGGCCGAAGTTGGGCTGACCATGTTGATACCCCGTCAAGGGTAGTCGGCCATCGTTACTCAACATGTAGGATAGGTTCGTAGGACGTGGGATCCCAGTCGGGATAGGGGGATTGCCTGGGAAATACCACCGCTTGGAGTACAAGCATATATCTATATGGGGTATCTCTCCGTGTACCGCTGATGGTCCCTGAGCGCCAGGTTCTTGCGGAGCTTGAGATGGCATCATGGTGATCTCGGGGTGGCTGTAGACGTGGAAGCGGTGGGTAGGCTCTGGGCGGCCTGACTCAGGGGTTGTGGCGGTGGCTGAGGCACAGCGTAGAAAGTAAGGGAATTCGTGGGCATATTCGTAGTTGCGGAAAACAGCGGCGGCTCGTGTCAAGTGCTCGTCTTCGAGGATGAGATCGAGGTTCTGTAGGGTAGTTGGCGGGCAGAATGGGGGATTAAGGGAGGGTATGTACTTGTGCTATGCTATGAAAACCCATAGCTCTCATCGCTAAATCACCCCATAGTAGACATGGAATACCCTCAGCCTTGAGAACTAGGCTGATTGATGAAGCGAATCGGTAGGAGACAATCGGGATTTGTGGGCCCTCGAATAGGAACTGGTACATGGATTGTTGTCCTGCCATGGTGGTAAATATACGGGTGTAGATGTTCAGTGAAAAATAGTAGCAAAAGATGTTGATTAGCAGGGTTGTGTTATGAGATGTGAGGGGAGATAGAGGGACGTGTTGTAGGAGGATTGTGTATAAACTATGGTATCATCAGGGTTCTTCATAGCTCTTGCCTGATAGACAGTGATTCACGTACCTAGTACGGGGAAAGAGCCGAGACACTGTGTTTCTAGTCCTACGTAAGTGAAAGCAAGTTCTTTCCAGTTCAACTACGGTGCCTATTACAGAGGTTGGAGACCCAAAGTCGGGCGAGATACACATACAGTACCTATGTCAACGGAATCCAATCAAGCAAGAATTCTCATTCAGAACACTTTAACTACGCATCTAAACCGATGCCTCTGTATCCAAAGCCTTATCTGACTCGGATAATGGGAATATCTCTTCCGTCGAATACGAGAAAAGTGGCGAAGGTGACATTTGCTGCCGCGAAGATTGTTCCCCATGGCCTTCGAAAGGAATTGGTTTTGGTTCATCAGACCTCCCTGGATACAATGCGGCAAACTCACGGCTTAACTCTTTCTCTAATCTTTTCTGCGCTTTTATGGAAGATTCGCCGGTATAGGTCGCAGTCCTGCAAGCTTCCCACCATTCTCGACATGTTTCGCTGAGCGTTTTTTGGTTTGCATCCAAATCGAATAGATCGCCATATTCAGCTACGTAGAGGTATGTCCCGAAGTGTTCAGTCAAAATTACATCCCAGTCTATTTCGCATATATTGAAGTGCTCGTCCCGCGCCTTCAGGTAAATCAGGGCCTCGGCATAACGAGCAGGCGTAGGTATGACTAGGGGATTTTTAGTGGGCGGATGATCCTTATTCTTGGGCCGGTGAACTCCCTTCCAGCGGAGTCTGCGGTCTAATGTTAGCATGAAATTTTCGTCCGCCTCGTTGGCCTCCGTCTGCACAGTAAACTTTGGAAGTCTCCACAATACATTCGACTTGCGGTGGAGTCTTAGATCGTGATGCTGTTGAGAACCTTTTGTCACGCCATGGGTCTCTTCCAATCTGCGATGAGAGAATAGATCGAATAAATGAAAAGCGTGAACAGGTTTCAGTTCGTTACCAGGACAGGCTCCTTCATTGTAGGGGCACCCCGGATAGTTGTCATGGTCTCTGAACCCAGCCTTGCGCAAGGTTTCAATGGCGTCCGTCATCTGCTCGTCCTCAATTACAAGGTCTATCGATAATGGTTTCTGCCTCATTGGTAAGCACGAGATCCTGTACAGCATAACTAATTATATGTATTAGACGTACGAAAGCATCATGTATATGTTCGAAGATATTTTCTAGCATGAAACCCCACAGTACACAGGGAATTGGAGGGTCTGCTTCCTTGAGAATATTACTTGCATCTGATGCGATGATAAATGCATCGGTCTGCCCACAATACTTTTCCCCTAGATACTCATACACCCTTATCAGGCATGGGGATGGCGACCGATATTCCTGGGGTGGTTCATCCTCGCTCATATGCGAGGCGCTGCGCGATGCTTCATTGTCCGCTTCCAATGTATCTGACGGTGGATCCTGGGGTGGTTCATCCTGGCTCATAGGGCAGGGATTGCGCGACGCTTCATTATCCGCTTCGATAGTCTCCACTGGTAGATCTTGGTGTTGACTACCACCCCCCATAAGCGAGGACCAGGGAGAAACCTCGGGAAGAAGCGAGCCAACGGGCGAAGGGACGTCCATTGCGAACCAAAGGTGGAGGGCTGTATTGTTCTATCTGGGTAGTCGAAGAGCCGGTCCGTTGTATGTCACAGACCAATGATAGTGGAAGGCTGTCTACCAGGTCCTTCCTATTTGCCTTTTATAGGTTCATCGTACAAGTACCCGGGTCGGGATGTACCAGGGGGATTAGGGGCATAGTGCGCCTCTACAGCATTCATTTCTGGGGAAGTCCTGCTTCTGCACGGAGGGATCCATCTCACGTCGTGGCTTGGGTTGGAGTCTGCTCCGATTACCGTGGAGTGGCTCGAGATAGCGTGGATCATTCCGTCGTTCTGCAGAGGACAAGTGTAGTACACTCTCCAATAAAGGATTTAAACCATAAATATTGATTGGGGAGAGGTATAGAAGAGGAACAAGCGGTACTAGTATGGGGTCGAACGATCGAAGTATGGCCGACACAGAGTCACGAATGATGTCGAGATCGTGTCACCTGATTCAGTGCCATGCTCATTCCATACCAGGCATTACTAGTTGCATCGCTCTTTTTAAACCAGTAAACAAGATACAGGCAATGAGACTACTGGTACCTGATATGATGCAATATTCCAAGCAATGAATTATATACTAAGTACTTTTGTCATGTACATGCAAACGTCTGGTCCCATAATAATCACATCCCAGATATGTATATCTCATTCCACATTAATCAGGATTTCCATCAGCCGTTTCCAGAACTTCCAGTTAAATCACGCACCTCAAGCGTGGAACTTCTTGCCACCGGCAACGTGAGATGGCTTGAGAAGAGTAAGAGAGTCACCGACGGTGCCATCATCACCACGGATCAACTCCCACTTGAGAGCAGTCTCGTTGAAGATGGTCAGCTTGCTGAAGCCGTAGTGGACCTTGTCCAGCAGGGCGGTGATGTTGGTCAGACCCTCGCCTGAGCTAAATTCACTGTGGCTCTCAATGTTGCCGGCCATGCCGTTGATGATGTGGGTGATGGACTTGCCGTTGTGGGCATAGTAGGTGTTGTTGTTCACAATGGCGGCAGTATCGATGGTGCCGTTAGCCCCGAGAGGATAAAGACGCTCGTACCAGTGGATGTGGCTGACGATAATGTTAGCGGGTGATGTACAAGTTTAAAAAAGGGGCAGACTCACCCAGAGAAGTAAGCATCCACGCCATACTTGAGGAGCAGACCCTCGAATGCCTCGCGCACGTGCAGCTGGTACGAGGAATAGGCGGAACTGTACATAGGGCGGTGGCTCATGACGAAGACCCACGGGGTCTTGCTGCGGTCGACCTTCGCCAGATCCTGCTTCAGCCAATGCCACTGCTCATAGGACTTGGTCTCATGGACACTGCCATTGACGTTGCCGAATGGAC